GACATGCTGGTGGAAATTCCACAGGAGAGGGCCCCATCGCCGCAGAAAGTACCACAGCGAGTAGGGCCCATGCAGTATTCTTTTCAGGCACCATCTGGGCCTCATTATGACCCCTCTCATGAGCAGCCCGGAGCCTACGAGGTGGACCCCAAGACAGGCCATTTCATGGGCAGCTATGATACACGCCCGAATAAGTCAGGAAAGGTACAGTGGCTGAGGAAAATGATAGCAGGGTCAGTGCTCACATGTGGGCATAGGTTCAAAATGCATATATGCGGGAGTGGGTGGACAACAAGTGGCAACTGTATCAAGACCGGGTCCTTGCTGGCAAGAGGGGCCCCGCTGGACGGTGCAGCGAGTGTGGGGTAGGCAAAGCTGTTTGGAAGTGTCAGGACTGCAGTGGCAGCGTCATCCTCTGCGTGTTCTGTATGCGAAATGGGCACAAACTGCTACCATGTCACCGCATTCAAAAATGGAGTGGTCGCTTCTTTCAACAGGGGGCTCTGTGGCAGACTGGGCTCAAGCTCCATGTGGGTCATGGCGGATTGCCTTGTCCAAGCCTAGATGCAGCGGTTACCCCACTGCCTCAAAGAGTGCACCCGAATATGACAACTGGTGGCAAAGATACTTTGACCCATCTCGCAGATGCCTTGCAGATGCCCGTGATACAGATTATTGACAATCTTTCCAGGGAGCTGGCGGCCAGTGACAATGCAAGGCCTTTCTTGCTCCAAGTGGCCACAGTGCTGGCGCAAGATCCAACAACCCTGGCCTTAAGCCTGGAGGCTGCCATTGCCATGGCTGAGCAACAAGCAGTGAACAAAGAAGAGGTGGTGGTGGAGAGTATGGCAGTGGCAGAGCATGGAGTTGCGCCACCGGAGGATGAAGATGCAGCCACCAGGGACCTACCACCAGCATGGGACATTGATGAGGAGGAATGGGAAGACGAGGCAGCAGAAGGCACCCCCAAAGGCCCTCTTCCACGATTATTTCCCCGTCACCCGAGTCAGGACGCTGCTAGAAACCCATTCATCACCCTTGTCCACACTAATGGCTTTCACCACCTCCCCATCGTCTGGTGTCGCTGTCAGGGAGAGCAGCCCACTCGAGACTTGCAACTCTTGGATCAGCGACTGTATCCAGCGACATCCGTAAGGACAGAGACAATATTTACATTTGAAGTGCTTGATGACTTCAGGCTAGAGCATTTGGAGTGCAAGACGACGGCGTATCAGTATCATCATAAGCTGTGCCGCTTGACCTATCCAGCTTGCCCTCAGTACAGTCCAAACCGGTATGCAGACTTGCGCCGGATCTCTCGCCAATGGCGCAACTTGAAGCTACACAAATGGTTTTCGATTTCACCCTCAAATCCCACTCGGCGAGGCAACATGGCGCTCTTCTGTGCTGCCTGTCCACAGCCTGGAATAAATTTGCCTGTTGGGTGGGAACAGCTGCAGGAGAAAAACCCGTGAGCGTGATGGATTTATGATGCACCATCCTCATGGGCTAATGGAGGAGTAGAAATATCTTCATACAATCTTTTGCGGCAGATGGGAATTTCACCGCCGATCATGTCCGCCAGATGAACGATGAGCAAGATGTGTGGCTCACAGATGGTGAAGGGTTCATGACCAATGAGAAGCGTTACAAGGACCATTTGGATATTGCGGTGGACTCTCCTCAGGTATGTGTTGCGCCCGTTATATTCTCATGCTATGTGTGATATTTTCTAGACTGCTACATGCTCGCGATATAGGGCACAGGATGGCGCAGATGCGGAGCACAATGGGACCAACCAGACAGGAAATGCGGGTCACTGTTGCGCTCACCACGGTGCCATGGTGCCTGGGAGCTCTGTCGACTTTCAAAAAGGTGAGCGCCAGATGAACATGGACTTTTCTCTGTGCGAAGCCTTGGCCACCACGAACACGGATGGCCTAAAAAAAGTGATTCATATCTATGACATTGCCTGCCAGTACTATGTGCACCTGAAGGAACGCATCCAAGCCAGTCCCTATTTGCAGAAATCAGACCAGATTGAGCTGATTCACGCCATTGGTCTCTTCCATGTGCATGGGCACCAGGACAAATGTCTATACTGCTTCGCCACCAGCTATGTCCCAGGCGCCGTGCAGGTGGATGGCAAAGTGATGGAAACTATTTGGGCAGTGCTGAACTCAATATCGAGAATGGTTCAGACAGCCACTCTGGCTAATCGGACGGAGACCATTGACGACTTTCTGGGAGATTCAAACTTTAAGAAGATGCTTCATATAGGTGACGTAACACCACTGTGCTGCACAACGCTCTGCCCACTCATCAATGGGTAGTTGACACAATTATTGCAAAGTACCGGCGGGCGAGGGCTGCCAAGGTGGAGAGTGAATTGTACCTTGCAGCCCTCACACGGGTGGCGACGGCGGCGGTGACTGACGAGTGGCGGCACATGATTGAGACGGCGGAAACCATGCGCCAGGCAGATGTTACATCTATGGATTACATGCTGGCAAAAGTTAAGCGTGGGCAGACACTGCAACAAATCCGCACGATGCTGATCGACCACCAATTGGGGGCACATAAGGCGCCAGATCCAGATGGAACAGCAGCTGACTGGCTTGTGTCCAGCCTAGCTATTGAGCAGGCACAGTAGGTGACTTTAATTCTGGTGCAACGGCATTCTGATACATTGACAGGATTGACCTCAAGCAATTTGTCCGCCGCCTTGGGAGAAACACCACCAGCACCCAGAGGCTTGACCTTGGACGGAAAAGACAGCAATTGTTGAATTGCATACGTGTGTTCCACCGGCGATCGTGCAAGGAGTTCGGCGATCAGGCAGTGAGGACTCTGGCTCGCCGGGCGGATGTCTGACAGGACATCGACGGTAATATCAGTGATGCTCACCTACCTGATGCACCGCAGCCCCTCCTGACAGATGTTGAAAATAGTCTCCTTGTCTTTCCATCTAGCATCTCCTCTGGTGCTCTTCCCCATCAAGAGTTGCAAAAGCTGGAAAAGGAGCTTCGAATTGGAAAAGCGAATGATGCCTTGCAGGGTGTCCGTGAGATGTTGGGCGATCTGTCCTTTCAGTTCATTGACAAAGTCCGTCGATCGCAAACGAAGGCCCAGAATACTCGCGCCTGGACTGGTGTGCATCTCCTGAATCAGACTCTCAGCTATCATTGCAGGACATACAATCTCAACAGTGGCATTTTGGCGTGACTCGCTCCAACATTACGTGAATGGTACCCTCATCTGTCCAAAGCAGACTGCACTGTTAGCACTGCAATCTCTGACATCAATGCTGCTGGGCAGAGCCAAGCACGCCTGGCCTGGTTCTGGGGGGCTTTAGATGGGTTTACACCAGAGGCGGCGGTGGACCTTAGCAGTGACAGCAGCAGGATGGCAGAATGTAGGTCCCTCTTAGCCCTTCCTGAAAATACCTGATACATCCCCCAGTTGCAAGGATTCACTGGCTCTGGGCTCGGGCCCAGAAGGAAAGATGGAGTGAGGAATATGTATTAACGGGGCATGAGATGGAGTGGACAACCCGCTACTTCATGCATCGCGCAGAATGGTGGAAAGCAACAATGCTGGGTGGTGGAACAGAGGCTGCGCCGGCTGTCCTGGAGTATGCTGAGCAGCAACTTCACCTTTGGAACGAGTTGGGAAGAATTGCGGATGGTTGGTTTGGCAGGGAGCAGGGTAGCTACATTTCAGTATGGAAGTCAGCATGAATATTCATGTGGGTCGCCTGCTGCACCTAGTGGCAGCAAAGTTGGTTCTCAGCATCCACCACATCTTCCCCTCTGAGTTGCACGCATTAAATAGCTATTGTTCATTATAGCTATATACAGACAGGGAAGGATAAACGACATCAAAAAAAATTGTCCGATGATAAAGTCCGTAAGATGTCCAATGCCCTGCATCCATCAATGTGCCGACTTCCGATTTTCAGGCGCCGGTGTTTTGCTCCTTGCGCCGCGGGGGGGGTTGCTTCGAGATGGAGGCCAGGATGCACTTCGTCCTCGGGCAGGCACGTTGGGAGGGGAGGTGACGCGAGTTGGCACAAGAGGGAGGGAGGACCCATGGGTGACAATGAGAGAGGCAGGAGGAGGGATAGAGGCCGTCTCTGGTGTGGGGGGTTTGATTTCGACTGGTGCAGGCAGAGGTTCTGCGTCATCTCTGACAGGTTGTGAAGTGTTGGGCTCTGTTGTCTCCTCAATCGTTGTCAGAGTGGGCTGACAAGGGGGCTGCTGGGGGGGAGGCGTCGCCTCATCCATATCACTATCCTTGATGGGTGCAGCATAGTGGCTGGCCTCTGGCGGACCTTGCCGCCCAGCTGCCACCGTATCAACGCAGGATAAAAAATAGAAATGAGGACCACTTGGAACTTACCCTGTATGTTGATGCCATAATCGCCTCCATTCGTGTACTCGTCGAGGTAGTCGGACTGCCCAGACGGCGAAACAAAAATTTCACTGGATGCTGTTCCTGGAGGGGGGGTGGAGGTGGCATGGGAGGGGCCGGCAATGCGAGCGGCAGGCTGCTGCTCCTTAGGACACCCTTGCCCTTCCAGCAGACGCATGAGTTGCAAAGACATGACGGGATCGCCGGTAATCACTGCTGGTTGTACTGCCCTATCTTCAGCTGCCGTCCACCTGACTTCTTCCCTCCGGTCGATGGCACCTGTAATCATTTCTGGCAGAGCCCTCATTGTCTGCAGGAGGGTGTCGGTCAGTCTGGTGAGGGTGCTTTCAGTGGGTTCCAAGCATTGCTCAAGAGTGCTGGTCCGCGTCTCCGCTGCATCCATCCGTTCCTCCAGCTGCGTCCCCCTTCGATCAGCTGTAGCCGCCTTGGACTCTATGAACTGGCCCTGAGTCTTGACACGCATGTCCAGCTTGGCAAACTGTGTTTGCAGAGATGCGATTTGGCGCTCGACATTTGATTGGCCTTGTCGGAGGTCGGCCCCCAGTTCGGCCACCAGTTCGGCGTTGCTGCGCTTCAGCCCTTCGATTAGTGTTCCAGCGGCGGCAAGGAAGTCCTGGTGAGAGCCTGATGGCTCGCCAGATGGGCTCCATTCTCCGCCAATTGTCAGTAAGGATGAGAAAAGAAGAATAAATTCACACACTGAACATCTCCCTCCCTTTTGCCTCTGAGATGCGAGCCTGCTTCGGCCTATTCTTCATGAGCTTCTTCCGTTCCTTCGCCTGGTCCAACAGCTTGGCTGTTCGATCTCTGGCAGTGAAGGCCTTGTCACTGTCAGCCCTGCAAGTATCCCTCGCCGAGCACTTGTTCCAGAGGCGAGCGCAGGCACGGCAGACCTCCTTGGCCCGCCGGTGATTGGGAGGCAGCTTGAACCAGTAGCACCGTCATCCTCGACCATTCTTGCACTGGTCACACTGGTATTGCCCAATCCGAACGGGGTATTGCTCGCGGTTGTGGAAAGGTTTGTCGTCGAAGCAGGGGGCATCAGAGTCGTTCTTGTAGTCCTGCTCCTCAACTGAGGAGCAGGTGTCGTCCGAATCTTCACCTGGGGTGGTGTACTTGAAATGGGTTGAGGTCTCTGCTTTAGCATCTGAATTGTCAATCGTCGCCTTTGACTTTGTTTGGGTCTTGGTCTTTTTCTTCTTCGGCTTCTCCATGTCACTGTCAGAATCCACGTATGATGCCTCCGGATCGTTGCTGCGCCTCCTCTTAGCCTTGGCTTTCATTTCCTCACCGTCCCCAACCCCTGTTGACTTCTTCCCTTGCTCCTTTGCGTTGCCTTCACTGCCATCATCTTTGTCATCCTCGTCCTCGTCCATATCCGAAATGCTGGGCGGCTGCTGGGGTGGGTGCAGGATGTAGGCATTCAGGTCCTTTCCTCTTCCTCCAGAAGGCACAGGCGCATCCTTTGCTCGATCCCCTACAGCCTCCTGACTGCCCACCTCAATACTCTTCCCTTTGGCTTGCATTTGTCCATCCTCATCCACCATGTCCATGCGTGCTTCCCCTGCAGGCGCCTTCACCGCGGTCTTCTTGCTGGTGCCCTCATCAACCCCCATGGATGGGCCTTGCATATCCTCCTGCTTCATCTTCTTCTGCTTCTTCTGCTTCAGCTGCTGATCCATCTCTGTTCGCGCACCCGTTGCAGCCTCAGTGTCAGGTTTCTGCCGTTTCTTAGGAGGCCCAAACCTGAGGTCGGCAGCGGCGGCAGTGGCGGTGGCAGCAACAGAGGTCACGGTAGCCTTTTGCTGATGACTTCTGTCCCCGGTTTTGACTTTCCTTGGCTTGGGGTGTTTTGTCTCTGGTTTCTCTTCAACATCCATGGCGGCTGCAGGCCGCAGCACTGATGATGGGGCCTTTTCAATGTCGGCGGTGGCAGTCGCCTTCTCGCCAGCAGCAGCCTCCGAGGCAGTTCAAGCCCTTGGCCCTTTGATTTTGATGCAACTGGGCGTTTCCTGTGGGGGCGAGACAGGTGCAGCAATTGTGGGCGGGGGTGTCATTGGTGCCGGCTGCTTCCCTGGGGCTTGAACATCTGGCAGTGGTGCAAGGGTGTCCGGTGTTGTTGTCAGAGGACGGGGAGCTTGTAGGTCTCCCGCAGGTGCAGGTGGTGATGGCTGCTTGGGGCCTTTCGCAATGGCCGTGTCGTACGCATCGATCGCAGCCTTCCACTCCACGTAGTTCGGGATCGCGTCTGCAGCTCCTGCTGCACTGCAGATCTCAGTGAGGCTTTCAAATAGCCCACATTTTGCCAAGTCTGTATCAAGGCCCAACATGGTTTCCACAATCTCAACCTGTAGTTATAATCTCAGTTGTGTCTACATAGAAACTTTTAATGGAACGCACCCAGGCATGCACAAGCAGTTGCCCATGTTCCTTCAGAAATCGCTCATCGCTCCCTGCCAACCAGACGTCCTCATTCCACTTCTTCACTTTGGAATTGAAGTCTTCCATCTTGGCTGTGGAAGACACAATGTGGGATTCGGGTGTGCTGAGAGTTGTCATCGTTGATGTGAGAGCTTGTCGATGTTGTGAACGCTGCATCAAGGTTGGATGCTGACCTTGATCTGCAGATTCATGTGAACATCAGCCTCAACATCCCATGAGCTCGCAAGTCCAGTTGGGACCGCTACTCTTTGACATCCGCCACTCCCCTGCATGTCGTCACGCTCATCCACAAACTTTGTTGAATCTGTATGGACCACCCTCATTTTGATATATAAACGTGAGCCTATTAACAATTCTATCTGACATTCCAGGACGCCCTTCAAACTCTGAAACAATCCTTGCAAGATTTGAAGAAACCGCCTCCATCCCCACCACCAAATTCACACTTTACGTCTGAACCACAAATGTCTGATAAAAAAAGAGTTGCCCCTGTAGATTCTGCTGCCTCGCAATCCCCCAATGACACCGATGACTGGCAAAAGAGCAAGTGTCTCCGCATCATGGGACCGGAGCCGGCAGCAATCGTCGCACCACCTAGTCCCACCCTCTACGAGGTCCATCCTGCGCACCGTGACAAGGTCAGCGGTCCTATCTACAGCCTGGATGGGAGGCACATCATTAGCTTACCACAGCCACCAACGACTCCCATGGAATCGCAGCCCGAGGGTCCAGCGGCTCCCACCCAACCCCCACCACTGCCACCCAGTAAACGCCCTGCTGCAGATTTTGCACGCGCTCGTGAGCAGATCCTTGCCCGCCAGGCTCTCAAAGCTGCATCATCCTCTCCAATGGCGGATCTCGCCCGCAATGCCACTGCACCACCTATTTCAACCGCACCAGCACCAGTGACCATGGACGCCGCACGCCGCAAATACATTGACCTCGGTGCTCTCATATGAGCAAAATCAAAACAGCAGGTAACCCAGGCTGGCCCGCTGATGCAGCAGTCCAAGTCTACAGCAATGCAGGCTGTCGAGGTGTCTTCAGTGGGCTCTGCCACCACCACTGATGACCCCCTTTCGAGCAAAAATTCAACGGCCTTGCCTGATACCTGTGCTGGATTACTCTCGCAGATGCAGCTAGGAGATATCCCTTGATCTGCCCTTCCTGCACCTCCTGTCGCCAGTTCCTCTTCATCTGGCACCGCCGCCATTCTCACTGCACTGCTGTTCGCTGGTGCTGATGTCTCCCTCCCCGCACGACAGCTCAACCCGCTACCGCCTTCTCCACCAGCACAGCTAGCTGCCATCAACCACTCGATTGCGGAACCGGGAAGGCCTCTGCATCCTCAACCTGGTCCTGAGTATTTTGCTGAACTTCGCTGGCGAGTTCAGGAAGCAAGCAAGCACCCGCCGCCGGTGGCGCCCAACGCCCTTGCCGGCCCCTCCCCTGATTCAATGGTCGTTGACAATGCGCCTCGAACAACGATTGCCCAGCACAACACCGACAATGACAACAATTACACAGTGGAGGTGGAGGAATGGGACAGCGATGAAGATGAGCCAGACGATGACCATGAGGATGAACAAACCAATCTACCTCCCCCCACTCATGTCAAGCAGGAATTTATGGAAATTTACCTCCACCGGCACGATGCAGCACACAGTGGAGGTGAGGAGGCGGAGGAAGACCCAGAACCGGATTTCGAACAAGGCGCCGATCGTTTTCTTGTACCGGCCCATGCTCACGGCGCCGTCATTGAACTCGATTCTACCCCCTCCCCCCTCCCCTCCACCCCTCCACCTCAGTCCATGTGACATCTTCAGGGACTACATTCACTACCCCTCTGTCGATCTGGCGTATGTGCACACCTTGTTTGAAGGCCATACCATTGAGCAACGCTTTGGTGTACCTCATCATGCCCCCCCACCCCGAGCCGACCCTCTGCTGCCATTACTAATTCTGGTCAGTCACTGCTGCCACCCCTAGTCCACTGTTCTGACACTATAGCAGCACATTAAGCAGGAGGAGATCATTTCCTTGCACTGGGTGCTCATCCAGGACATCCCAGGTATTGAATCGACGCCGGAGCGCTATGTTACAAACTGCAATCGGACTATCAGACGCACTGAAGAGCTGATGGAGCTCGCCAGCATCCACAACCGGGATCTCTTGCATATCAATGCTCGCCTTGATCGGTTCCGTGCAAGACTCCACGACACCTTGGCTGCTGCCACTGATGCCTCTCCTGCATCCGGCTCTGGCGCCCCATCAGCCTCAAACGCCGGTGATTCTTAGGCCCACAGTAGCGCTCAGCTCTGCAATGTATTATGCATGTATATTAGGTTTCAGCTCTATGTAGATACATACTGCATATATTAGGCATCAGCTCACTTAGCTTTGTGGTCCTTGTTCCCGTGCAATCACCTCTCAGCTGCGGTCATTGTCCCACCTCAACAGCTTCCCTATCTGGTCAGAAGCCTCGGTGACTGGATGGCATCATTGTAGAGTCCATACTGCATTAACACATGAATAACAACCAAACCAAACGGAAAGCAGAGGATACAAGGAAAATGGCATCGCCCAACCAAACGAGAGCAGCGAGCAACACAGGAGTGAGAGCCACAACCAGAAGCTCATTGACCGCTACAGCGGAAAGGAACGCGGCCACACTAAGCGGTGCAAATGCACCACAAACAGAGCCGGTGAAGGATGCAGCAACAGGACGAAAGGAATTGGAACGCCTAGGCTTCATGCCGAGAGACCAACACATCACGACAAAATCACTTGCTTTCATACTCATGCAACTATCAACCACGAAGTACAATGTAAAGACCACTGTCAGCGTGCTACGTGCGGTAAGCTACCTGTTGGAAATCATAAGTGATGAAGCAATTGTAGAGAAAGTAACGGAGATGATCCTCAGCAAAGTTGACGAGGGCTTCAGGCAGGTTCCAGCAGTTGAGGCAATGGAAGCGGCGGCGTGAGAATTTGAGGAGGTGGGAAAGAAGGCAGCGGGAGCAATGGAGGAGTTCAAGGAGGAAGCAGAGGAGATTGGGAAGAGGTTGAGTGAGGCGGCAGCAGAGGTATCTCAGGTGTTGACGGAACAGCGGAAATTGGAGGAGGAATGCGAACACAGAAACCATGAACAGGGCAAAACCTATGCTTGCACAGTCAGGACCGTAACAAAACAATACACACCCAACGCACCGAGAGACAATCACCTCCAGTGACAGATCATGATTGACACCACACCAGGCCTCAGCACAAATGGCCTGGCAGAGATGGATGAGAGGGAGATCGTAGGGAAGGCCAACATGGCACTGGAGTTGATGGCAAAGGCTGGGGAAAACATACCAAAAAGCGCAGAACTTGTTGGGGCAAGGAAGATGAGGAATGGAGGGGTACTTTTGGAGATGAATACGGTTGAAGGGGCCAAATGGTTAAGGGAAGTCGGAACAGAGGGGTTTCTGGAAAGGATGGGAGGAACGTCAGTGGTTACGGAGAGGACAGTGACAGTGGTGGTGGAATATGTACCAATCACATTCGACCCCAGTAACATGGAAGCACTACAACGGATAGAGAAAGCAAGTAGCCTTACAACCAACACCATCGCAAAGGCATCCTACATAAAACCAAAGGAGAGGAGGAAACCAGGACAGAAGGTGGCTCACATCTTCATGTCGCTGCGAGGAGTCGAAGATGGCGATAAGGCGATCAGACATGGTCTCTACATCAAGGAAAAGAAGGTATGGGTGTGCAGGAAAATACCAGAGCCCCAACGATGCTATAAATGCCAAAAGCTGGGGGTCAGTCATATAGCAGCAAATTGCAAGGCAGAACACAACACCTGTGGCAGATGCGGAGGCAAACACCGTTTGGCAGAATGCAAAGAGACCGATAGTGACAACTTCCACTGCACAAACTGCAATGGACATGGCCACGGCCCAGGTGACAGATTATGCCCAGCAGCACAAATGGCAGTCGAGCACATAGCACGGAAGAACCCAGACGCTTTCCAGTACTACTTTGGGCCAGACATGATGATGAGAAGGGTGGAGAATGAAGACCACGGACAAGAGAGGAGGCGAGAGGCGAGAGGATGGGATGACTGGGGAGCAGGATGGCCCGGGGAAGAGAATGACAAGAATGATGGTTGGACGTTGGTAAAGGAAAGAAGAGGAAGAGGTCAACTGGGAGGCGAAGAGAGTGGAAACTGTAGGCAAGGGACAACATATCGAGTGGGGGGACCAGAACGGGAAATGGGGGCGACAAAAGGGGGATATGGACGTGGAAAGGGGAGAGGAGGAAGTCAGAATAGGCTACGCCAAACGGTTCTGCCACCAATGTTCACATTGGGGATAACACAACAAAACCAGGGTGAAGAGGAGCAGAATCAGCAAGGTGATAACTTGGAGAATTCCCTAGAATATGTCTGACGCACCTCAACACCATGGGCAAATGAGAATATGGCAGCAAAATCTCAACAAATCCCTCCCAGCACAGCTAGACCTTTTGCATGCAGCCAACCCCAATGACTATGACATCCTCCTACTACAAGAACCACACATCAACCACCTGGGCAACACAAGAGCTAATACGTATTGGACAGTGGTTTACCCAGACCGGCATCTAAGAGATCCAAAGAAAACAAGATCAGTAATGCTCATCAACAAAAAGATACTGACAACCTCATGGATCCCAATAGCCACCCAATCCTCGGACATAACAGTGATTCAGATACATGGCGACTTCGGGACAGTCAGGATTTTCAACATCTACAACGACTGCCAGAATGACAACTCACTAGATTCATTAGCAAATCACCTCCATACGCAGGAACACAGGGAACATCCTGTGGCTCCTCTATGGATGGTATGGGCTGGAGACTTCAATAGGCATCACCCGCTGTGGGATGAGGAAAGAAACAACCATCTGTTCACAACGTCAGCCCTAGAAAAGGGGCAAAAGTTGATCGACTTACTTGCTGACCACTGGATGGTAATGGTACTTCCAAAGGACATACCAACACTTGAAGCCTTGTCAACAAAGGACACAACACAGGTTGACAATGTGTTCTGCAGCGAGGGCATGGCAAAAGATTTTGACAGGTGTGACATGGAGCCAGAGTGGAGGCCAGTGTGCACCGACCACTTTCCAATTATGTCGACAATCAACATCCAAATGCAGAGCAACATGCCACGGCCAAGGCGAAACTTCAGGGAAACAGATTGGGAGGAGTTCAGGCAGGAGCTGAAGAAGGGACTAGAAAAGATTGAAAGACCGAGGGAGTTTAAGGAGGGTGAGGAAGAGGCATTTGAGAGTGCGAGGAGAGAGCTGGAAAGGGTAGTAATCGAGACAATAGAGAAAGTGGTTCCAATGACCAATCCAACCCCATACGCGAAGAGGTGGTGGACAAAGGACCTAACGAAAATGAGAAAAGAGGTATGGAAAATGTCACATAAATCATACCGGGCATGTCACAACCAGGCAAATCCTATACACAAGCAGTACTGGCAGGTCCGGAATGAGTATTCGCAATTGATCAAGGACACAAAGAGGGACCATTGGGAAGAGTGGTTGGAAGGACTGGATGGAGAGGAGGTGTGGACAGCAAGTAGACTGGTGAAGGGACCAGGTGGGGATGGAGGAAGGGTGAGGGTGCCGACTCTGGAGATACGTGATGGGGAAGCAGGCCAAGCATGTACGGCCACAACAAACAAGGAAAAGGGTCAGCTCTTCTTTGAGACTTTCTTCCCAAAACGGTCAGTCGAGGTAGAGGCAGGAGGCGAGACAACATACCCAAGGCCAAAATGGAAATACAAGCCAGTCACAAACGAGCAAGTCCACCGTGCAATACAAAGGTTGAAACCGTACAAGGTGTCAAAGGAGGGATCTGCACCAAACTCACTATTTACAAACAACAGGAAGATCCTCGTCCTATACCTTGCACCTTTATACCGAGCAACAGACACCTTTAAAATCTACCCAGCCGCATGGAAAGCAACAGAAACACCAGTCCTACGTAAACCTGGGAAAGGGAATTACTCAGTCACTGGGGCATACAGGCCGATAGTCCTCACAGATGGATTTGCAAGGATACTCAACATGTGCAAGACGGAAGACCTTGCAAAAATGGCCAAGCGTGAAGGCCTACTACCTGCAAATCATTTTGGAGGACGACCTGGACACGCGACTACCAACTCCATACACCTGGTGGTCAAGACGATAAAGGACGCCTGGAGGTTGCATCAGTGCTGTTTCTGGACGTAAAAGGGGCCTTCCCGAGTGTCTCAATAGATGTGTTGGCAGATGAGCTGCAGAAGAGAGGTGTGCCAAAGGAACATGTGGAATGGGTGAGGAGGAGAAACAAAGGACATACCACCACGCTGGTCTTCGACGACTACCAATCAGACCCCTTTGAAGTCGAGGATGGACTGGATCAGGGCGATCCAAAGTCTCTCATCCTCTACAATGCCAACATACTGCTGATACCGGTGCGCCAAAATGGAGAGTGGGCATTCATCTTTGTGGACGACGTGGCTCTGGTGGCAACAGGAAAGGATTTTGAGGAGACACACAAGAAGCTGAAAGAGATGATGGAGAGAGATGAAGGGGTGTTAGAGTGGGCAACAAAGCACAACTGCACCTTCGGAATAGAGAAATTTCAGCTTCTTGATGCTGGGAGAAAGAAGGTTGAGAACCCACTCGGAGTAAGGAAGAAGGTTCCGATGCCATGCCCAACTCTGGTCATTCGGGGTCAAAGAATCAAGCCCTCTACCCACATCAAGTTCCTTGGAGTTAATATTGATCAGGAATTGCAATGGAAAGAACAAGGAGTGGCGGTGATAGCAAAGGGATCGGATTGGCTAGCACAATTCCAGAGGATAGCCAAACCAGCAGGAGGTGTCTCGTTCAAGCACATGAGACAACTATACCTGAGTGTTGCAATCCCAAGAATCCTATACACAGCGGATATCTTCATGACACCGGGACGGGTGAATGGTGGAAGCAGACGGAAGGGAGGAGGAATTATGAGAGCAAAACTGACATCAATCCAAGGACAGATCGCGAACATGATAGTTGGTGGTATGCGCTCATCACCACACGACACAGCAGAAGCATATACAGACCTGATGCCATTTCATTTGATGGTGGATAAAGTCAGATTCATGGCAGCTCTGCGACTAGCCACACTACCAGCAACGCATCCGTTGCACACGGCAGTCAAATCAGCAGCAAAAAGAAAGGTCAAGAGACACACGACCCCCTTGCATGACCTAATGCATATGTACAAGCTGCAACCAGAACTCATGGAAAAGATTAAGGGAGTTCAACAAGGCCCAAAGTGGGCCCCCCAAGTCAGAATTCAGATTGCCAGGAGCAAGGAGAGAGCAGAGGAGGAGGAGAGGAAGAGAGCAGATGATGACATCAGAATCTACACAGATGGGTCAGGGTACGAGGGACGGATAGGCGGGGCGGCAGTGTTGTATCGAGGAGGAGTGGTCAAAAGAACTCTCTGGCACAGACTCGGCAAGGAGACAGCACACACAGTCTATGAGGGGGAAGGAGTGGGGCTAATCCTAGCCATGGAGCTCATCCGGAAGGAACAGCGAAGGATACGTGCAGTTACAGTTGGAGTTGACAGCCAAGCAGCAATCCAGGCAATCCCGAGCACAAAGCTGAAACCAGGGCACTACCTATGGGACATCTTCCATGAGCAAATCGACCAAGTACGGAAAATTCATAACGACATAAAAATAACTGTGCGATGGACCCCCGGACATATCGGGATCGAAGGGAATGAGCGAGCAGACGGCGAGGCAAAGAAAGGAGCTACAGATGGATCAAGCCCAAAGATGCAGCTCCCTATAGCCCTCAGGAAGAAACTACCCACCAGCAAGGCAGCCGTGAAGCAACACTACATCATGAGGCTGAAGCTGAAGGCAGTCCAGAAGTGGAAACAGACCAAGAGATATGCAAGGTTGCAAAGATTTGATGAGGAAATGCCAGCGAAAGCATACCAAAAGCTAACTAGGCAGCTCAGACGAAAACAAGCCACCATCATGTACCAACTCAGGACTGGGCATGCACCACTAGCAAAGCACCTCCACCAGATAGGGAAAGCAGACAGCCCAATATGTCCGAATTGCGGAGAGCATGACAAAACAGTTGAGCACTATCTTTTACGCTGCTCCAAACATCGCAGAACTCGGGAAGCCATGATGAGAAGAGCAGGACTAGCAGCCAGCTCGTTAGAAGCACTCCTCACCGAACGGAAACTCCTGCCACACTTGTTCAGCTACATCGAAGCAACCGGAAGACTGCGGGCAGTCTTCGGACGGATTCTGAAGAACCAATTGGACTGAAGAGCTCCAATTGAAACACAGACTATCATCCATTCAAATATAATCACCGATAATACACACTAATCTTACTTACAGATGTGGGCTATGCCACACGTATTATGCGGACTCGTAGCTACCAACTACATACCGCTTGATATCGCACTCAGTGCGATTAGAGCCGCTGACCAGATAGAAAAGCCATGGCTTTACAATAGATTACTAATTAGTGTACAAGTACTGTAGCGGATCCCCGACATATGGCCTGGCCACAATGGGAGAGCTTTCCGGATTAAAAAAAAACTACATAAGACTAAGTTAAAAGCATAGTCACTAATTGGCCGCTACTGGCTACACGACACAGCGCAACGTTTTTGAGCCAGCACTGGCTCCAGCTGGCTTTGCGCAAAGCCTCTAATATGCTGCAAATAAGTTTACTGACTCCTACCAGCCGTTTCTTTTTTATTCAAGTTGGTCTCCCTCCTATTTCTCCTCTTTTGGTGTAGGCCATATGATTTCTGCAACCTCTGCACTTGTCAAGTCCGGCTTTCCAGCGATGAGGTGGTCGTGCGTCAGCTGGAATTTTGGGCTAGCATAAATGTCCCGATTGCAACGAGAAATTAAGTGAACATACCTTCAAAAGAGCAGCAGTCTTCGGATCTGCCCTCTGTTGTTGATCCACAAGAGCCTTCAGAAACGAGGTCCAATCGATTTGTCCCCCCTTCTCCCACTCGGACCTTTCCTTCTTCGGTCGAGCGTCTAAATAACGTCCCGCAAAACCAGGTGTAGGTTTTTCATTTCCGCCACCACTCCTAAACAGCTTGATACGATTCCCGGCCCCCAACAATTGAGCGCACGCACCGATCCGCATGCTATCTGATTCTGCCTCGTCACCTAACCCGAGTCCGTCTAATAGGGCGTTCCATGCAAACGGTGAATACCCATATCCGAGCGCGAACAGGCGGGCGTCACCCATTGCACACATAATCCACGCGTTGTCATAGCCCAAACCTTCCTCCATCTCCTCACCCTCGTAGTCCGGGGCATCCCAGGCTGTGTTCAACAACCACTGCTCAGTCCAGTAGTAGGTATCGTTGCGAACGACTTTGGTCCACCCGTGTGTCTTGGCGACGTCGAACAACGCATGCCACAGGTCATCGAATGCAGCAGGCCTGGAGTCAAACCTCATGCACTGAATGAATTCGCCGATCATGACTGCTTTGTCTTGACCTCGTGGGACGCCCTGGACACTGTTGACGATTCTACCAGAGAGAAGATCGTTCAGGCGAGAGGCGATTATTTCGCGAGAAATGGGGTCGACCAAGAGTGCCGAGGTCCAGGCAGTGACCCAGCCACTCTCCGGGGAATCGTAGATAGTCCCAGCTGTTGTCGGCATTCAATGAATTGCTGGGGGATGGAGTCTTGGGTGATTGAGAGTAAAGAAGTTCTGTGGGAGCTTTTAACGCCCACAAAGCCAGTGAGTGAGCACCTCATGAAACATTGATGGGATTTACTTGACTCGACCCCACAAACCCATTGAGTTAAAAATTCTCACCCTGTTGGGCGGTGGACCCACAGCACTGTGAACATCAGCGATGTCATGTCCGTTGTCAAAAACCCTTCGACATGGGCGCGCCGCTGATGTGAATCTGGTAGGGACCCCTTAGAGGTCGGATGAGACACCCACCATCCTCAACCCCTGCAAGTTGAGGATCCAGTAATCATAAAAGGCCCAGTGGAGTAGGGTGTTGACCTGATAGCAGCCGGTCTGCCCTCCTCGAGTCCAGTCATCCAGGATAACTTGTAGCTGGCCTACATACATTTGCCAAATCCTGTCGCCATAAATGTCAACCAAGTGCTGACAACACCATGCATATTGTCTACATCCTCTTATCAGCCGTTTCTCTTCTTGCCGTTGGATCCAATGCCGCCCCATTGCTCCTCTCTGTGAGATCAATCTTCTTGGGCTTTGAACCTTAACTAATGCTATATTTTAGCCCGATAGAGTATTCGCTCCCCTAGGTACTCGTCAGATTTTGGGGGAAGGCGAGACAATATTTCTAGCTCGTCGAGAATGCTCTGTTCATGGCTCTTGCAACTATTCGTTGACGAAGCGAGCCGGTGGCCAGCAACATCAGAATGGTACGTGTTCCTAATAACGTACTGGAATGGGTCGCTCGTCTTAACCGGCTCAACAATAGAGGCAGTCGGACTAACCACGACGGGATTCCATCCGGTCCCTGAGAATGCAATTTACAGGACGCAAAATGGCGTGGTGTGTATCCTATCTGTGTTCACGTTGACCCTTACTTATCCTATGCAAAGTACACGGGAAAGGACGTGAACAAGCATGCTGCAGCATTTGTTCATGCCATTCAAAATGCACCAGCATATATCAGCAGAAAAAAGTCCCAAAACTCTCAAAGCTACCCAAAGTTTAGCACTGGCTTTCAGAACACAGACCCGGAGAACACAGCCAAGCACAGTACAACGAGCGTCTCGTACCATCACCCAATCCATCCAAATGTGCTGGGAGTTACGTTGCGAACGGATGCCAAGAATAGGCCAGGATCAGACCGTATTGTTGGGTGGCGTTCAATACACGACGGGAATTTAAACATTGGGGTATCGTATCATGATACTACCAAGCCTGTCCCCATAACACAAGGAGCCGGCAGACAGTCCACCAATCATCCATTCACTCTCGTTCATCCCGAGCCGGCTGGCAAGGTCAAGCAGTTTAAGGCCAAGGCGGGGATGGTAGGGTCAAGGTTGTGGAAAGGGGCGAGGGCTCTTCCGTCGAAGGTTTTCCATGGGGCCAAGGCTCTCCCGTCAAAACTAGTTCACGGTGCAAAGACTCATTCAGCGAAGGCGACGCATGCGGTCAAGTCCACGGCCGCGAGTCTGTGGCACGGCGCCAAATCACGACTGGGCATTGGGAAGAAGAAACAGCATTAGTTGGCTTTAATGTTGCTATTGTTTTGTATTTGAGCTGAGTTAGTCATGCTAGGTAGGGATATCACTATATGCATCACCTGGATTTTCAAATTTGTCTCCGTGCTACATGAGGGGCGGTCCGTCCCTGCCTTCGGATTTCTTCACGGATCAACCCTTTTCTGTACAGGCATTTATCTCTTTAGAGATGCTTCCTGTCTCATACAGGATGCTCCTGATACGCTGAAAAGCACAGAAAACGCCAGACAGGGGTCGTGCAAAACTGTTGATCGGACCATGCCGATTGATCGATTGATCGCCGATCATCTTTGCTACCGGACGGGCGCTTAATTTGATAGGCACGTGGGTGTTCGTCAGTCGACTGACTGGACGGATACTTGATAGCTGCAGTGCCTCCTCCCTATAATATATTATGTCCGTCATTCTATGGCCCACCAACAATTAATATCAGGTCAAATCGTGTCGGTAGAGAATTGAGAGATATACTAATCACAAAACGAGGGGATGTATGGACGTTGCGCAACGACTGCGAGTGCGTGATGACCACAACAGCGGAAGGATGGCACAAGTACCACTGCTTTGCCACTATCCCCCTGCAGTAACAAGAGCGGCCGATCTCCTCTTCTAACATTCAAGCACACACATTCAAAAATTGTCTAGGGTCTCCGATAGCGCGAACGCGCCGTACGATGCAGGTAACGACGCGAGGTGATGCGGGTGGTGGTGACGGGTGGCCGGCGACCTCATTGCGCTCGTGGCATGGTCTGCACGAGGAGGAGAGACGGTCAACGTGAGGAGTACCGGATGAGCATATGGTGGGGGAAAGGTGTGGGCGTGGTGACGAGGGGAAGGTGGCGGTAGGTGGGGCTTGACTAGGACTGGTGATGTTATAATCAATGCCCATCCCTCGTCAAATATGCTGTAAATGAAGTTACTTTCCCGACTCCTACTGCTCCTACTAGTTGTTTCGTTTTTATTCAAGTTGGTCACCTTCCTATTTCTCGGCTTTTGGTGTAGGCCATATGATTTCTGCAACCTCTGCACTTGTCAAGTCCGGCTTTCCAGCGATGAGGTGGTCGTGCGTCAGCTGGAATTTTGGGCTAGCATAAATGTCCCGATTGCAACGAGAAATTAAGTGAACATACCTTCAAAAGAGCAGCAGTCTTCGGATCTGCCCTCTGTTGTTGATCCACAAGAGCCTTCAGAAACGAGGTCCAATCGATTTGTCCCCCCTTCTCCCACTCGGACCTTTCCTTCTTCGGTCGAGCGTCTAAATAACGTCCCGCAAAACCAGGTGTAGGTTTTTCATTTCCGCCACCGCTCCTAAACAGCTTGATACGATTCCCGGCCCCCAACAATTGAGCGCACGCACCGATCCGCATGCTATCTGATTCTGCCTCGTCACCTAACCCGAGTCCGTCTAATAGGGCGTTCCATGCAAACGGTGAATACCCATATCCGAGCGCGAACAGGCGGGCGTCACCCATTGCACACATAATCCACGCGTTGTCGTAGCCCAAACCCTCCTCCATCTCCTCACCCTCGTAGTCCGGGGCATCCCAGGCTGTGTTCAACAACCACTGCTCCGTCCAGAAGTAGGTATCATCGCGCACAATCTCTGTCCACCCATGCATTTTGGCAACATCGAATAGAGCGTGCTACATGTCATCGAATATGGCGGGTTTGGAATCCAACCTCATGCACCGCACAAACTGGTTGAGCATGCCTTCTTTGCTTCTGCCACGGGATGAACCAGGGACTCCGTTGACGATTTTGCCCTTCAGGAGGTCGTTCAGGCGTGAAGATATAGTCTCGCGGGTAGCAGGTTCGACCAAGAGGGCCGACGTCCAAGTGTTTACCCACCCTGTAGTCGAATCATCGTAGATAGAGCCAGTTGTTGACGACATTCGATGGATTTTATGGGGGTGGAGCGATGGGCAGTCGAAGAGTAAAGACAAAGTCCAGCTCCAGATTTGAAGCGCCCACAAGGCTTCGGTGTGTGTTACCCGGTGAAACATAGAAAACACTTTCTCACGCACTTTCTCACTGCCGAACACCTATTTGATCATATCTTTCGCACCCGGTGGACTCGAATTAGCGGTGTCACTGCAAAATATTTGCCCCCTTTCTCCCAGTCGGGCATTTCACTTCCTTCTTTGGTCGGGCATATAAGGAACACTCCGCGAAGACGGGCAAAGGTTCTTCATCACCATCTCCATGTCTAGATAATTTAATGCCGTTCCCGTCCCTTAGCAGTTGGACGCAAGTGCCCACACGCATGCTGTCTGCCAGTGACTCTGTCCCATCACTTAACCCAAATCTATCGGATTGTGTGATTCATTCAAATGTGGAATCCGAACCGCCATCGGCCCTCCTATTTGACGCCACACCATCGCATGAATAACCTTCATTCTCGCGGAACCGTCAAGGGAATCCCGGGCATTTCGCGCGGTGAACAGAAGTAGCACGATGTGCAAGCCTGTTCAGTGCATGAAGGTAGATCATCGTGGATAGATAGATGCGGGTGTTTAGGAAATTCGCTGAGTTGTCTTGTGGTAAAGCTCGCGTGAGTAGGAAGGAAAGAGCAATTGTTGCGAAGGAAAGTTATACGGTCATTCAAATCTGTAGCGTCCACAGAGTTCTTGTGTGTGCTGCTCATGACCAACCTGAATACCAATTATCGCAATCATCCTGGTAGATCTGAGTTGGAATTCCCGTGGCGTTCAGGTTGCGAGACACTCGAAACAAGAAGCTTATCCATGCGCATTCGGCGGCACATGAAACCTATGTAATGCCGAACAATCGGAACATACTACTTTCGAATTGCATATATTAATACCATACGGCCTCATGGGGGTCGAAAATATGAAATAAAAGGGGGTTGCGAGTGCTGATGCCACGAGACATGCTAGTGCTCTCAGCCGTCTCTTATTCATTTGGGTCAAGGGAGATCCTGACTTTAATGATCTGATCCAATGTAGCAGGAAGTCTCATCAATTCTAGCACTTTCAGTTTCTGTTCTTCCGTAGCTTTCTGTCCCGGGGCTCCCAATAGGACCACAAATATCGGCGTAGACCCCTCTTGAACGCCCTTACAAACGAAACCATCAGCGCGACTCATGACTCTATTTTGTAGTATGACGTACTGTGCTGCAATGGATGATTAAACCCTTCGTCTCTTCGAATACGACTTGAAAAATCTTATGCAAGGTCGCCATCCAGTTGTCGCATCCATGGTCATCTTTAACAGGGTCGGGAAGGATTTTGAACAAATTCTCGTGGCATAAGCCTGAGGGAACTGCCTCATATAGTTCATCTGGCCACTTTTGAGGTACTTTCAATACTGTTGGGAGATGAGAGAGTCAATTATGGTTTGAGGCCGCAGCGCTCACGGACTAACCTTCCTGCGGGCATATATGCCCACGGGCATTGAGCCATTCCAACTGAATTTCGAATGGTACTTCCAAGTAGGGGAAAAGATCCATGACTTCTGCGGGTTGAGACGTATGCGTTGTTGTCGTCAACCGTTCTGATGGTGGATTTAAATTCTTCGGTGTTGGTAGATGGTATTGAAGTTGGGATCCATCGAGGCCTTCCCTTTCTAACTTTTAAGTCAAGGGGTACAATAGCACGTGACTTTGGCGTTAGTGAAGCAGGAAGACGACGTACCAAGAAGAGTACGAAGAAACCATGGATGAGGATAATCTTCCCACCTTTCCACACTACAAGCAAATTAGCTCGCTGCATATCGTTATGCGGCCGAAAACCATACCATTGGACCACCCGAGCACATCTGGTATGGGCTCTGGAACCTATTTGCAAATGACCTCGCCCACGATGACCCGAGTTTGCTGGTCTTTCCCCAACTCGACTTCCAGGCCCAAACCTCCAATTCCACTAGTTCAATCTCGGACAGCACAGGATACACAGATGTAGCGCTTGCCGACAGCAAGACAACGTTTACTAGCAAAGACGCAGATATGGTGGCGTCCAGTGAAACCCGAATTATCATGGTGATAGAAGTCAAGCCCCACTTGATAATTCCAAAGGTAGTGCTTCAGAAGATCTTGCAAAAACCAAACGCTATCCTCGAAGTGGAAAAGGTCAAACTTCTAGGGGGTTACGATGCTGGATCCTCAGAGTCTCCGTAGTGAATCCGTGGTCAGGCGTATTTGACACGAGGGATTTTGTTGACGGTGCTAGTAGACTCGCGGAGGTCATGGATAGATTGCAGTCGGCGAGGTCGGGGATAATGTGGAGCAGCGACTGGGCAGGACTACAGAGGATAATGGTTTTGGAATCAAGGCCGCTGAAGACCCACCGGTGCATGTTCAAGCCACAGTAGGAGTGTAAACACTATTCTAGTCCTCGATTAAACGAGGATACAATAGTAGTGTAGTGGGCAGTAGGCAGTAGGTAGCAGAAGAATTAATTTCTGCAAGTCCTTGCGACGGAATACCGTTTGTGGACTTGGCGATCTTCGCGGACCTTGAAGTCCATTGCTTGGTGATATTTATCTGGCGGGTGGTCCACAAGTGGTTGGACCATCCGGGTCCCGCCGAAGGTCTCTTTCCTCGCGCTCTCTCGTTGTCCGTGTACCCCAGGTACATCGCCCAAGATCAGAGACCAGCGTCTACAGTGTCAGTAAGCCCCTAATTATCAGCAGCTCTCTCGTCATCGTCCCTAACGGGCTTGTAGATCCACAATATACGGAGCTCGCTGTTCGTCGTCTCAGACAGCGCCACCGCCTGAGCTAATCATGAGCAGCACATGGACCACCCGTACATGAGCCCCATCGCCACGACGTCGACAAACATGGCCATGTCGGCTACTCGGGGCCAGCATCAGACATCCTCGCAGGTCCCGTCGCCGGAAGAGGTGAGATGTCTGCGTCTAGCAATCCTCGGTCTCCTAAATTATGGCCTGTGGGGTGTGGGATATCGATAGCAAATGCGAAGACAGCTAGACGAGCTGAACAGATCAGTCACGATCGTCATATGGTACAAGGTATGCCTCCGAGCGTTCTTGGAGAGACCTCGCAGCTGACCGACAGTGTCTGCCGTGGCGTTCTTGATATAGGCCGATCATGAGCCTATACGACTGCAACAAATCCTTCCTACGTTCCCGTACTTCCAGCTATCGGGGTTTAGCAACATCATTTCCGACCTAGGGCTTTCGAGCACTTCTTATCTTGACACCTACATCCCGGATTCGAGTCAATGGGAGCAGCATACCATTTCTTCTGTCCGAATTGTTGGTACACAGCAGCGACTGTTATATCGCGTCCGCCGTAGTTTGGTCGACGGCTTGTCTGAGGATCAATGCCCGCGCATTCAGGATGAACTTCAAATGCAATCGAACTGTGGGCCGCCACCACCACCGCCACCTACGAACGGAGTCTCTGCTTCTTCGATTCCTACGCCTCCGAAATCGTCTCCCACACTGTCGAAAATGGCGAACCCACCCAAACCGTCTCTCAAACGGCCCGCGCCAGACGTCCAAGAACCAGGAAACAACTCCAAAATTCACGTTACGAACGGTTATTATATGGCGCACTCTGGCTCGTCGACAATGGTCCCTTCCAGTTCCGTGGCTGGCCCTTCAAACACCGACACTTCTTCACCCACTGCTTCCACCAACCAATCAAACGCGCAGGCGCAAGACAGTGTATACGGCATGTACAACGATTCCGTCTTCTACGCCCCCAGCTCGCCCACCCAATCACCTAACGACATCACCTCCGCCACCTCCATCAACTCGCTCCCGCACTACCTCATCCAACCACCCGCCCCAGCACCGCCCATACCATACCACCCGCACCCCCCACTCAAGCGCTGGCCGAACGACTACACCGTCTCCGAGCTCTCGCAGGGGTTTCATGCCATGGACCTGCTCATCTCGCAGTCGCCCTCTGGGGCGAGCATGACCCAGCGGACGGCGTTCGAGCGTGTGTTTGGGAGCCGCTACGTGAAGAGCACGGTGTGCCGGCACCGCGCTGTGTGGCGCAAGGCGCACCGGGCGCTGAGGGAGCAGTTTGAGGCGATGGGGTCGGATGATAGGGCGTGCTGGGGTGAGTTTGTGAGGCGGGTGGAGGGGCGTCCGCCGGGCAAGAATTCGGGGTCGGATATGATGTCGCCGTCGCCGAGTGCGACGATGAGCGGGTACCATGACCAGCAGGAGGGCGAGGGCGATGAGGACGTGCATGGGCAGGAGAGTGTTGGTGTTATGGGGTCGTTGCAGAACCAAGGTGATCTTTAATTCGATCTTCTTGAACAGAAGTCTTAATATTTTTTTCTCTACCAGGAGTGCCTTCGTCGTCAAACAACAATGGGACCAACAATATGCAGAACAGTACGTCGCCTGAGTGTGTTTTCGAACCAGAATTAATGACGAGCTCTCAGATATGAACGTTTACGACCCATCACGGAACCATATGCCAAACGGTACTCACAATAACTAACTCCATGCTCATGTTCGCCCGAATCTATGTGCATTTATCTTGTGGGGTATGGAATCCCCTTTTGATACTGAGACGAAGATATGTTCGAGTCAGGATGTATGCTCTCACCTCTGCATGGGTGTTGAAATATTGAAACCCACAACTTGGAGTTCTGGCACTTGTGAGCACCTGCTCCTGCCCACATTTTTTTGGGGTCATGGGTGTTCTGATGACGTCAGATGCATGTTCAGCGTGAAATTTTGCGTTCGGTCTGATTGCTGAATGGGGGGTGCAGAGCAACTCCGCGAAATTGTGAGGCTTGTATCCTAGACAACATGGGGTATTCGAGTGATGTATGCCACTGTACATGCATCATAGTTTTGGACACCATAGTGGTGGGGTTAGAGGCTTCTCCTAGAATAACGAACACTAGTCCGAATGTTAGCTTTGTACTAACGGTCCAAGAGGAGCCAACACGTACAGAATGGTACACAATTGGTGCACAATGCCAGCATCTCCCCTGCTGGCAGCCATTTGCTCTCCGCTTCGCGTTCTTCAACCTCGCCTTCCAAGTCTCATCTGCCATCTTCTTAGTTTTGAAAATAGATGATCTGCTCTGATGTCAGTTTACGGAAGGTAATTTCGATCTGAAGTTCATAACTTGGCAAGAAAACACCGAACGCAGTGGAGAGATATGTACATGATTTTGGTATCCTCGCCCACAGATAGACCCACACGTCTTTTCAACGACGCCATCAATCAGTACCGGCGCCCACGACCGCTGTTAGGTCCTTGGTACGGGCCATAATCCGGCGGGGGTCGTCCACCACTACGGGGTGGAGGAGGTGGAGATTTGGCTCTTGGGTTTGAGCTTGGGATGACCGCGTTGCGGAAGAGATTCATGAGATCGTCGGTACGGAACACAGGTCCTGCAAAATAAAAATAAAAATCAGTGATGACTCATAGCAAGTTGCAACAAGAACGTACCGTCAAACGCAGCGGGGGCAGGCAACTCACCAATGAACCACGACAGGACCTGCGGAAGGGCGGTCTGCCTCGACGCTTTGTCGTCGTCTCTGTCCCTCATTGGCAGCGGCTCTCGGCCCCTGCCACTACCACTTCCTCGTTCCTCGCGCTCCCAATTCGACGGGGCCGGCGCAGGCGAGTTAAACCTACGCCCGCGGCCTTCCCACCGTCCACCACCCTCTCTATCCCTGTCCGCACCGCGAGGAGGCGGCGGCGGAGGAGGCGACAATGGTCTCGCGCGTTTGTGTCCTCCGGAGTAATCCCCTGCGCGCCCGTCGTCCCTTTTCCTGTAGTCTGGCGACGCAGGGCGTTTGGGTGCCTGAGTTTGCGATGACGTTCCTGCGACATTCTGCGAGGATGATAATAGTGATTGAGTTGTTTCGGCGCGCCCGAGCGAGCTGGACGCCGTCGCGCGGCGGGCGATAGCGAAGCCCAGGTCCCGATCGGCGATGGCATCTGTGCCGAGGTAGATGTGTCTCTGGGCCAACCGTTTTATTGGCGGGTCTAGGGTAAGAAGTCCGCCCAGTTAGCCAGAGAGACCTTAACGTAATACAAGACAATAGACATACCAGATGCGTATACCTCGGCCATTCGCTTCTCCAGCTTTAACGATGCCTCCAGATCGCCGTACTGATACTCGTAGCGTGCCCATCGTTCCCAAAGCGGACGCGCGCGTTCCGGCGGGAATGTCGTGATGACGCGTTCAAAGAGAGCTCGGGCATCTGCGAGCAAGAGAGTCAGTATCCATTTGGCGGTAGCTGCCTGTCAGGACCTGCAAGACACATACTATTTTCGTCGTTTATCGAGATGAGGAAACCGAGATAGCGGAGGACGAATTCGATCTCGTCCCCGTAGACATCGAGACCTTTTTCGAAGATCCGGCTGGCCACGCTCTTGTCATCCGAGCAATGGTATTCCATCAGGGCTGCGAAGCACAGATAAGAGACAACAACAAATGGTGTGGCGGTGGAGCGTACCCGCAGCCTCGTAGACCTCCCAAGGTGTCCATCGCTGTCTCCTAGCCTGGCCGAAAATGCTTCGCGAGGACTTAACACCTTCTGCTCGTCGCCCGAAGCGCATATACATGATCCACGCAAGACCATACTCCGTCCGATGCTTCTGCAGCTCGGTAAGTTTGGGCGGTTTCTCCTCCGATGCTTGTGTGTTGAAAGATGATGACGACGTTTGTGACTCGTTATGGCGTGACTCGTTCATTGGTGCTGCAGAACCGTTGGATGAGAAGGAGTTGGTTTGGGTTTGCTCGAGTAGGTCGAGGTTGCTTTGCAAGGTGTTGAGGAATTTCTTGTATAATTCATGTACCGCGGCGATATCCTTCTTGACCTCGAGAGCCTCGGCGTAGGCAAATGTGAGAAGGTAGCTAGAGGGATTTGCTTCTAGACCAGCCTTGATGATATTCAAGGCCTCCTCGTGCTTCCCTACGCTGTTCGTCCACGTATAGGCCATGAACCTAGGTGATGATGAGCAACTTCTCTACCCATAGTAGTAAAACACGCACCAGATCTCTGTGTAATACCGCATCCGAATGATAGCCTTGCGATACACGCCCTGTAGCCGCGATATCAGCGTCGTCTTGTCCTTGTCCTCGATCTCCAGCGGGTTGCTCTCCTCCCACTTCAAATATGCCTTCCACTTGCCGACGAGAGCGCGTTCGGACGCGTCAAACTTGGGTAGTGATGGTAGGTATAGCTCCTGCGGATTTGACGCATATAAGGGGCCGAGATGGTTCGTAAGTTGGCGAAGGACGGTGCGCGCCTGCATATGCGCCGGAGAGAGGTCGGTCATGAATTTTTTTGCCGTGATCTTGTTCAGGCCTGTTTCGAAGGCTTCGAGGTCTTGCCACAGCCGTTCGACGTTGTCCAGCGGGATCTGTACAGCGCGGTGGTACACCTTCCGCAGCGAATCCATCTTCTGCTGTTCTTCCCATGTTGTTGTCGTCTAGATGCGTCATGAGACGAGTCTCTACTGATGCCACCGCACGTACCTCGCCCGACTTGAGAAATTGGATGTAGTCACTCCAAATTGCCCCGCTGTCCTTGTCCTGCCCGACGTGATTGAGAACAAACTCATACGACGTCTTTACGATGTCTCGACGCGAAGCCGCCGAGTTCAGCCGTCTGCTCACACCATCAGTCCACGAACAATTCACGCACACCTCTCCTCACCTCACGTAGGTTAGGTAGAAGCTCCACAGCTCGACACACGGCGAGGGCTTCAGAAATTTCTTGAACAGCTCTTCTGCTTTGTCGAACGTCGACTCATCGCTCAAGAAATGGTTAATGTATTGTATTTGCGCCGTGGCCTGGCTCACACGACACGTTGAGAACAGGGAATCGGAAGCACAGCACATACGCACGGTGTTCGGGTACTGCTCGAGGAGCGCGTCGTACGTCGCACTGATCTTGTCCATTTCTCCGCTGGCTTCAGCAGCGCTCACAAGTCTTCGCCACGCTTCTGGATTGTGGGGGTTCTCTGCCAGTTGCGATTTCAGGACTTCATATTCACTAGGTGGTTGCATTTGCGGTTCCGAGCCTTGAGATTCAACCTTCATCGGACTGTTCACAGATAATGCGCTCAGGATCTCTTCGGAGGGTTGGGTTTTGTCCGCATCGTCCATTGAAGATTCGTCGCCTGGCGCTGCAGGCTCCGACGTCAACGTGTTGGGGTAAAGAAAAGGTAACCGTCGTGGGAAACGATGTTCAACCTGTGTTTATCCCAGGTTTAACCTGTCCACAAACGGCGACCCTGATGCAGCCTTCAGCGCATGGCCACAGATTGCCAGAATGCCTGGCACGACACGCCATGTTTGGAAGAAAGACATATTCAGTAAAATACCTGATCACGAAGGGGCAACATTTGCGCCTATATCTTCCTCATCTTTACTAGGATAGTTTTGCGCCTAACTCCTACGCCAAAGCAGGCGCATATACCATGTCAGCTTTATTCTTTTTCGTATATTTGACTGATTGAAGATGCTATATTTGACAGATAAAGTGGTCATGGAGCAAGAGCCCTATCACGCGCACCCTGGCAGTGTCAACAGCATCAGAACAGCCATATCATCTTTTCCACCTAAGAGGCATATGGTTCCTTCCACTTGCTACGTACCAGCACCTTCTCCCTCGTACTACTGCAATTTCTTCACGTTCCCCGCCGTGTAAACTTCCTCCATGGCAGAGAGTCATATCTTTGCTAATGCGAACAACGTCTCCATCCAAGATTCGCACTTTCACGCTGTTCAGAACAACTATCAGGCCGAGTATCAGGTTGAGCGCCGTACCCTCCTGAAAGGTATGCTTGATCATATCAAACCTCCTGATCTTCATCCTCAGCTTTGATTAGAACTGGACCTTCTCTGCGAAAAGAGCGCATTCAATGCTCTTGTAGACTCAAATGCTCGATATGACGCACCGAAGTGCGACGAGGGAACTCGCGAGGCCATCATCCAGAGGATCATGGATTGGATTGAGAGCGATGAAGCCCAAGCGTCCGCACTCTGGCTCCACGGCCCAGCCGGCTCGGGGAAGTCTGCATTGGCGAAGACGATCGCAGAGCTCTGCATGGAGAAGAAGAGCCTCATCGCCACCTTTTTCTTTACGAGGACGCGAATCGATCGTGTAACAGATGGAAACCTCCTGATACCAACATTGGCCTATCAGCTAGCAAGAAAAATGGCCCTTCCCCGACGATACATCAAGAAAGTACTTCTGCGCGACCCCGCAATTTTCTACAGAACGAGGAAGGCGCAGATGGAGGAGTTGATCATCAAACCTCTGAACACCTATTTTTCACGCCTAGAACATAACTACAAGCGTTTATTCCAGGGAGCATCACTCCGCCTCATCGTCATTGACGGTCTGGACGAGTGCTTTGGCAAGGATATTCAGCGTGACCTGCTCAGTGTGCTCGGGAAGACGATAGAGAGACTACGCTTACCAATCCGTTTTCTCATTGCAAGTCGACCAGAAACTCAGATTCGAATGTTGATCATCGATGACGGAGTCTTCAAGGCTGACCGCCTAATCACCCTCGACCTCGGTAACGACCCGAACACTGCTCATGATATTCGCACGTACCTCGAGATCCATTTCACAAAAGTCCGATATCAACACCCAATCCGCACCGAAATCCCAGCATCCTGGCCGTCGACCGAAGACATCACAACCTTAGTGGAAAGGGCATCCGGCCAGTTCATCTACGCCTCAACTGTCTATGGATACGTTAGCTCTTCAAAACACAATCCCGTCAAACGTCTCGCAATCATCATCGAACGCTTGCCACCGCCCCGATTGGATTCACCTTATGGCCAGTTGGATCTTCTGTACCAATTAATCTTCTCTTCTGCAGAAGAGTCAGGGGTGGATGTTGAGAAGGTTTTGCAGGCCTTAGGCATCTTGATCATTGAGCGGCCTAAGGGTGCCCTTGATTATCTGTATAGGACATACGCTGGTGTTGCCTCGGTCTTGGGTGTCACCCCAGGCGAGGTTGCTCTCCTTCTCGATGAATTTGTATCTTTGATAGCGCTTCCATCTCTCGAGACTCCGCGTCCAATCCAGATTCTGCATGCTTCCCTCGCGGACTTCCTACTTGATGGTTCCCGGTGTGGCCGGTTCTACGTTGACAATCGTCGGATTCACAGTATTCTAGCCTTGAGCTATTGCGAGCGAATAGGTGATCTCGTTTCGACAAGTAAGCACCCTGCAGTGAATATCAACCATCAGATATAAATGTACTGATAAAGCCTAGTGACTCGGGCTACCCATTGCGACGACCTGGAGCATCATTTCTTACCTTTCATCACTCACTGCCAGAATAGTTATCTTCCAGCAGGCGATTTCTCCAACGCCATGTCGCTCATCGCAGAAGCCCTATTTTTCTCGTGTCATTGTGCTGAGCCATGTGACGAAGTCATACATGGAAGCTTAGCAAACGACGTGCGTCTCGTTATACGTTTCTGTGAATTTAAAGTTACTGATGTGCTTCCCAGCCCACGACGTCTTCCCTAGCTGCTGAATGGAATGAACAAATTAGAAAGAAACGTCTTGCCTTCATGTGCGCCAATATTATAAACGAAACACTCATCAGTCTTAATCACTTATTGTCGCCTTATGCCTCAGAACAATCACCCCATACTTGGTGAGGAAGTCTTCAATATAATTCCCTGATTTTTAACGATTTTATGTTAGGACCTCCGCAAACTTCCCGTCTGGTCCCACCTTTCAGAGCAGTTCACACGAACCAGGTGGATTGTTGAGGGCCCCGAAATGTCCCACGTTGAAGCACTCCAGTCCTACGACGTTTCACAGGTGTTTGGGGAAGACGAGTTGATAGTGATTGATATTCCCTCCTTGTTACCTGGGCGATGTTTGGCTGTCCTTGAGTGGTTGAAAAGGTGCTGCACTTTAGTGCACTTTCTTATGGACTGTGTGTCGAACTAACTCCATGGCTTGTTGCATAGGCTGAGAGATAGACGGGTCAGTTTTTGCGGTATCCTTTTTTGTCAGGACGTCATGCACGACATGGGCTGGGCCAAGAGTCAGGAGTGCCATGGATTCCTCAACTACTTTCAGGGGCTATGCCCTGTTGGCCTCTTCTTGACGGCTCAGCCAAAGAAAGGAGAGTTGCCAATTCGTTCGATCAAGGTCAAGTCTGATGGCTTCCGTCCCCTTCTCGTGGGCTGGCAACAAGCAACACAGTCCCGGGGACGCCTGCTATGGTGCAAGTATTGGCAAGAAACTGAGGCAAGCTTGCATCAAATCCTACTCGATACGATACTTTCCGAAGGAAAAGTGTGAGTCTCAGCTCTATTCCTTATCCCCTGTGTGGGTGACGGTGGCCGATAGGAGTGAGAACGACATTGAAGACTTGCAGTCGGCCTGGATGCAACTAGTGCCGTACGACGATCAGCCCTTTCACTTCCTGGACGTACGAACATTGCCACGGCGTTAGCTTCGTCGGCCTGCGCAAATCGAGTTCAATTTGTAGGGATGACTGCCTTGGGACGACTGCTACTCCAAGGCCGATCCCGCCAACTGCGGATTCGCATATCAACGAATTCAACGATAATCGCTCAAATCCACTTACCGAAGGTTGATACTTTTGGACACTGTCCTAGCGCGTCCTCTTCAGAGGCTGACCTCGTTTACCACTCCAATGTCGAGTAGGAAGTTGAAACCTTGATAGGGCTCAGACTCAGTGAATTCAAAGCCCTCGGATTCAGCTTGTGCAAGTCGTTCAAGTAGAATAATGTCATTCCATAGCTTTCAATACAATATGCTATATATTATGTATCACTTCATCGTTCTCCGAAGATATATTTCGCCCGAGATGGAGCTTTTGGATAGAATGCAATTTGGCGCCCCCCTTACCAAATTTGTGCACCGATCGGCAATGTGGATCCACCTTCCAAACTCGCTGACGGAGTCTAATTTGCTTCCGTGATGCTGCGCCGAGTGTCTTAAACCGCCTTTGTTTGGCCTCTCTTGCATCGCCTTCTTCAACTTGCTCCTTGACACCACAATTGACCACATTGTTCTGCCTCTCGCATGCCAAAGAACACCCTCCTCTCCAACGCAAATAGCGTCTTTATCCCGGTCTCAAGCTTTCTCAGAACCACACCCATAACAAAGCCCGGACCACGGTCAAAGGTACGTGCTCTATCTTTGTTGAAACATCCGTTTCTGCCAACATCTTGGCCAACAACTACACCTTCGATAATGTGGTCCAACTGCCAGACACTTCTCCTGCACAACCACTTCCCAAGAATTCGCCAGTTGGTCAGCCGTTCAGCTTCGTCCAGAGCTCATATCCGAATGAAAGATCTCTTCTACATTTTTCATCCCGCAGGCTATGTCTTTGCAATCCACACAAGACAGATATCCCGTTCGAGGCGTACGACGACAAGAGGATCAAGCCCATCGACTTCAACTAGGCCAGGTGCTATGACTTGAACGGTTGTGACCACGTCCAGGCGAAGGTCGACGATATGAATAGTTCTGCATGTCTTCCAGTCAACGAGTGCGCGCATTATTCGCCGTCATCGATTGGTCGAAGGGTACGCGGCTCGGAGCTCGATTTGATTTTAGCACGACTGGGATTCTCTCGATTCCGACTTCGTTTGAACATGCATATATATGGTGATGCACATGGCTCTCGTAGTTTGCGCCTTATCACCTCCGCAAAGCAGACATTTATCTGGTTGACTCAACGCATTGCTATTCGCATCACCACCTCCTACGTCTCCAATCCCCACGTCATTTCCTGCAGTCTTCCCTAGCGGACTTCCTGAGTGATCATTCACGACTCGGTCGTTTCTTCATGAACATTTGCCACATTCATGGTCCTAACTAGCTTCAATTTACCTGTGGAAAATCCCTGATGTTCTCTCTGAAAGTAAGCGGCCCGGTGTCATGTTTGCTGATTTTAATTCAATTATTACACCCCCAGTCGCTTGGTTATGCCTGATGCATCATCTTTCAGGTTTTTTCAAATCATTCAAAGAAGAGGTATCTTGCGGCCCGCCAATTTTCCAATGGTATATTATTACTCATTTTGGGGGCCGGTATCTTTCTCATTTTCGAATGGCCAAGGAGTGCAAAATGGCAGGATATTACATTATCGAAACATTCGAGTAAACGAGGGGAACATCCGTCGACTTCTCGAAAACAGGCATCAGGGGCCATATTTAGATCAATTATCTCCAAAGTTATTCTTTGGATATCACCCTCAGAACAGGCAGGATGTCAATTGCGCTGTATTTCTACAAAAGCAAATTAGTTCTGGAGAGCAACTGGAGAGCTGACGACGCGGTCTGCCATTTCTCGGTGCTCCTCGGTGATCGCCGTGATGCTTATGTCATGCCACAAATCTGCTGCTTTCTGAACCGCCTCACGCCAGAATCCAGATACGAAACCTCTTATAACGACATCCATCAAATACAAGTACCATAGTCAATGGAACCTGCCATCCAAACACCTGAATACAGAAGCCCCTTTCGTGGCCTGCCTCGTGCCCTCGCCTCGTAAACCCCTCCATGGCGGAGAGTCATGTCCTTGCGAACGCGACCAACGTTTCCATCAAGGATTCGCATTTTCATACAAACGCCATTCAGACTCATTATCAGCCAGAGCTACGTACCCCCCTCAAAGGTATGCTTGATCGTATTTGACTTCATCTTGTTTTCGGCTCTCATCTCTAGTAGGACTGGACTTTCTCTTCAACAAAAGCGCACCTAGCGCCCGTGTAGACTCGAATGCGCGTTACGACGCGCCAAGATGCGACGAAGGAACTCGCGAGGCTATCATTCAAAGAATCATGGAATGGATCGAGAGCGACGAAGATTGGGCGTCCGCACTCTGGCTCCACGGACCAGCTGGGTCGGGGAAGTCGGCTTTGGCTCGTACAATTGCAGAGCTCTGTGCAGCAAAAAGGATACTTATGGCCACCTTCTTCTTTGCCAGGATAAGGACGGACCGAATTATCGACGGAAACCTCCTGATACCTACCTTGGCCTACCAGCTCGCCGAGCAGATGCGCCTACCTCGAGCATCTATCAAGAGGTGCCTCCTCCAAGACCGCAGCATTTTTCACAAGACGAGAGAACTGCAGATGAAGGGGTTGGTTATCAACCCCTTGAGCACGTATCTGTCCCACCTCGAGTATCGCTACAAGCGGCTCATTCAGAAAGGCCCACCTCAACTAATCGTCATTGATGGCCTCGACGAGTGCCTTGGGAAGGATATTCAGCGCGACCTGGTACGCGTCCTCGGTCAGGCGGTTCAGACCCTCCGCCTTCCAATTCGTTTCCTTGTCGCGAGTCGACCGGAGAGCCAGATTCGAGAAATGTTTGTCACTCAAGGAGTCTTCGATGCCGTTCGCCTCACCACCTTTGACCTCGGAAAGGATCCTAATACCACAAATGATATTCGAACGTATTTGGAAGTTCAGTTCACAAAAATAAGGAATACACACACAATCCGCGACGAAATCCCGGCGTCATGGCCTTCGCGCGAAGACATTGCGACACTCGTAGAAAGGGCCTCTGGTCAATTCATTTTCGTTTCAACCGTGGCTGGATACCTCGGTTCCTCCAAACAGAACCCCGTCAAACGCCTCAACATCATCATCGAACGCTTGTCGCCTCCTGCGCCTGATAGACCTTATAGCCAGTTGGATTTACTGTACCAACTGATCTTCTCGTCTGCAGAAGAGTCAGGGGTAGACATTTATGCCGTGCTCCGTGTCTTGGGCATCTTGATTGTTGCACGACCTGAAGGTGCCCTCGATGGCTTATACTCAACCTATGCCGGCATTGCAGGCATTTTGAGCATCACCTCGGGTGATGTTGTCCTACTTCTTGACGAGTTTGTGTCTCTCATCGAGCTCCCACCGCTTCAGAGCACACTTCCAATCAGAATTCTACACGCCTCTTTAGCTGACTTCCTTCTTGACGGCTCGAGGTCAGGTAGGTTTTATGTCGACGTGCACCAGATTCATGGAGTCCTTGTCTCGCATTACTCGAAGAAGATTCATCATCTCTCTGAAAGTGAGTAATCAAGATCATACGAGATCTCACATTGGCTGGAGGCTTACATATGTGGTGTCGAATAGTGACGCCTGCGACACATCGGGATAGCTTGAAGCATTTTTTTCTCCCTTTGCTCATGCACTGGAGAGACGCTGACATGCTGAAGGAACACGGCGACCTCCATAGTGTCATGTCGCGCATCTCTGAAGCAATGGTTTTTCTATGTGAGTGTCCCGAATCCTGCGAAGATGTCCTTTGGACAATGTATCAGAAGGCTATATCAACCCATGTGCGTCTTAATAAAGCCCAAAAATCATTGTAACTCATGGGTGTTGGGTTTCAGCAGCTGCGGATATCGACCGGAATGCTAGAACAACACGCCCAGATTGCCCCGAGGCAGCCCGTTATCGTGTGCGTCAACATAGAGGACTTTCTAGCTATTTGCAAACTCATTTCCCTCACCTTTTAGCACAATATCTCTTCGTTCCGTGAGTAGTACAACACATCGTGGCAGTGTACGCATCTGACAATTTTTTTAACAGCCGCCGAGTGTCTGGGGGTCCCTCGATTCTCAGCTATTCCCTTCACGGACTATTACACGGCGTATAGGGAAGCGTGGTCCCGAAATGTCTCTTATACGAGCAGTAGATTTCAGAGGAGTTTCGACTGTCGCCGGCAAAGACGAGATAATCGTGATTGAGATTTCTTTAGCATCACCTGTTCGCTGTGAAGCTGTGCTCGAATGGTTAAAAAGGTGAGGAGATCCACCCAAGGTCGTTCCCGAACTTACTCCATTGCTTTTGCAGGCTCGAAAAGGCACGAATTATTTTTTCAGGGGTCCTTTTTCATGAAGACATCACCTCCAAACTAGGTGTGGTTGAGCCGGCTGGCATTTATGTTCAATTTTTTAGGCATTGTCTTTCACTTTGCCCCGTTGCGATTATCCTGGAGAAGTGCCAGCACGGGCTGCTTCCCATACCAGGACGTGAGTCGCCCGACGCCGATCAGCTCCTGATGCCCTGGACGCGAGCGGCTCAAGGGCACCAATGTCTTCTTTGGTGTCTAAGAACGTGGCAAACCGCGGGCGAGATCCTGGTGAGCATATTATTAGAAAGTAGAATGTAAGTCGCAGCGTTTTATTTTGCCTGCTCGTCACTGACTCTCGCGAACAGGTGGGGCCAGAGCTATCAACACGGCTTTGACGATCAGAACACCTTTCCGACATTAAGGGAAATCAATATTGACATTAGAACATACCTCGAGATCCAGTTCGCAGCCATCCAAGACGCACATCGCTTGCGAGAGGAAATACCCGCTGTATGGCCATCGCCGGAGGATATCACGATCCTTGTTGAGAGGATATCTAACCAGCTAATCGCCTCCACCGCAATTGCGTACATCGGGTCCCCTAAACACAACCCTGTCATCCGTCTAACAACCCTCCTCGAGCATCTGCCGCTTGCTGCAACCGATGCAGTGGGAAGGCAGTTTGATTCTCTTTATCGCCTGGTCTTCTCTTCTGCGGAAGAGTCGGGGATCGATGTCAAAGAAATCCTCTTAGTCATGGGCGTGTTGATTGTTGAGCGGCCTGAAGGTGCCCCCAACGACCTCTACAGCACATACTCGGGCATTGCAGGTGTCCTGAAAATATCTCCTGGAAATGTTGTCCTTTACCTCAAGGAATTGGCAGCTTTCATTGAACTCCCACCTCACGAGAGCATGCTTCCAATCACAATTATACATGCTGCCTCTCTAGCAGATTTCCTCCTCGATCCCGCGCGAGCTGGTCGATTCTACGTCGACATGGGCCCCATTCATGAGGCACTTGCTTTGCATTACCAGGAACAAACCCATGCGCGCATCTCCAAAAGTGAGTCCCCCGAATATCAACTTTCAGATGGGTTTACTGATTTGGCATAGTGAGTTGCTCTACGCATTGCGCTGACTTGAAACAATACTTCTTTCCTCTTATCTTTCACTGCAGGAAGACTGGAATTTCAGAACTCAATCATCACTTCTGGGGTTCCATATCGTTCCTCTCGACCGCCGTGATTATGCTTTGCCAGTGCCCTGAACCATGCTACGACCTCGTCGAGGAAAAGCTCATTGAAAACGATGTCTGTTTCTTTTTTTCCCTTGAAGTACATGACGCCCCTCTCATTGATATGGTTGTGAATAGCCAGTATCTCCAATGCTGCCAGAATGGATCGAGCACTGTACAAAGCAGCACTTTGCCATTCTGTGAGTCTCGCAATGTGCCAGTGGCCCCTGATTCGCTCACGATGCTCACTTCCAGGTCAGTGACCGCGACCTCCAGTTTGGTGGGTAATATACTTTACTTTCAAGACTCATAACCAATCTTTCTGTTAGCCGCCCTATATCTGGAATACGATTGACTCGCCATACTCCCTACATACAAGAACGAGACGGATTGGAACAAACACCCCCGAGATGTCTCGCATCAGATCAGTTACCTTTGAGGGGGTCAAATCTGCAATTTGCTCGAAATTAATTGGCGAAGATGAGATAATCGTCATCGAAATACCTTCACTGTTGCCTGGTCGGTGCGCAGCAATGCTTGACTGGCTTAAAGGGTGAGTAGATTCATCGAGAGGATATGTTTCGAAGTCAATATATCTCTTCCTGGGTATGCAGGCTGCAAAAGAGACAGATCCAAATTTGTGGGGTTCTCTTCTGCCAGAATCCCACCTCCGAACCAGATGAGAGCTATCAGGAACTTCTCCGTTACTTTCACACGATTTGCCCTGTTGCACTTCTCTGGCCAAGAGTGGCACCCCACAAGCTGCCGAAGGAAGACAGTGTTGAAAAGGCTCTGACGATCTGGCGACAGGCAACTCTAATCCACGGAACACTGCTATGGTGTAAGTATCAGGGAACAGAGGAAAGTGCATGTCAAATCCTGCTGGATATGTTGCTAGAGAATAATAAGTGAGTTGCATCATCATTTTTCATTGTTCTAATGAGTTATCTCCGCCGATAGCTGGAGTCAGAACAATTACCAGCACTCGGCTTGGAAGGAAATAGGGATAGTCAAAGGCCGTAGCCCGTAATTACGCCCCGAGTTTCTGTGGTCGAATTCAGTCTGACTGTACGTTGCCGATTTCGTAGCTTACAATTCGAGTTGATTTCCAAATGAACTGCCTGGTGGACGAGCTACGCATACATTTAACTCCGGTTTCGGTTTGTTGGCCATATGAGATTCGCGACCTCGATGCTGTTTAAATCCGGTTCCTCTGACACGAGATGGTCGTGGGTGACCTAAGAATAAGATAAGTTAGACCCGGAAATTTAATCTCAGGACTTGAACAGCTCGACGAAACTCGCCTTTAAGAGTGCAGCAGCTCTCGAGCCTGCCCTTTGCTGCTCATCTACCAGCATCTTTAAGAAATTCGCCCACGTCTCAGCGCCATTCTTCTCCCAATCGGCCCTCTTCTCCTTTGGCTGCGCGTCCAAATGCCGGCCCGCAAACCCGGGTGTGTGGCGCTCCTCGCCGCCTCCGAGAAGGTGAAGCTTGATTCTTCGCCCAGCGCCTAGGAGCTGTGCGCATGCACCAATCCGCATGCTGTCAGAGTTTCGCTCCTCCCCACCGAGCCCTAACCCATCGAGGAGTGCATTCCAGGCAAAGGCGGAGTAGCCATAGCCGAGGGAAAAGAGGCGAGCGGCGCCCATGGCACAAGTGATCCAGGAGTTGTCATATTCTTCGCCTCCTTCGTCTGAGTCTTCGTCGTCGGAGAGGGCGTCCCAGGCGACGTTGAGTAGGTATTGCTCCGTCCAGTAGTACGTCTCGTCGCGGAAGTGCTCTGTCCATCCATGGCCCTTGGCAATGTCGAATACGGCGTGCCAGACGTCGTCGAGTGCCGCGGGCTTGAAGTCCCACTGTGCTGTGCGGACAAACTGGGAGAGCATGTCTTTAGGCTTCTGTGAAGCAAGGATGCCTGGGACGCCCCCGATGCTTTTGCCCGCGAGAAGATCCTTGAGACGTGCTGCGATCGTCTCACGTGAGGCCGGCTCAGCGACGATAGCAGCAGCCCAGGTGTCGACCCAGGAGGATGTGTCGTATATCGAGCTCATGGTCAATGTCAAGGTGCAAGAGTGGTGGGTGCGAGAGGCGAAGCAGGAATGAAAGTTCTGGCCTCTTACAAGCCGCGACCTCCACAGTGTCCGGCTTATCATCATCGCAAGCCTCATGACCGCTGGGGGGCGATGCAGCGGCGGAGCACGGCCAGCCAAAAGGTAAATCCCAAATGACGCAAACCGTCAGAGATAACAGCGGTTTGATGGTTCTGAGACCATCCGCATCAAAACATCAGATCAGCGGTTTCAGGCGGAGTTATGGGCGCTACTTTTGGGAAGAGGCACAGCCTCCAAGCCGCCGCTTATCCTTTCTGGGCGCTTAGGGACGGAAAAGGTGAAGCGCGACCCTGCGGGCAGCGCAGTGCCGTGGTTTGCCATCCCGCTCGTGTCCATCGCTTGTGTGGACGGGGCTGATGGGGCGAAAATACTGCAAATCAGAAACGAGACCGGAACTTGGGGAAATCCGGACGATGCGAACGCGGTTTGTCCTTGATGCGCCCCTGCTGGCGTATAAAAGGTCGGCGAAAAGATGGAGCTTCCCCAACAACAGCTGGTCTGTCTCGTAGCAGGTCTACACAGTCAACCGTCCTCCTCATTCCTATCGCCCGACGTTGATTCAATCATGCGCATTATCATGCACTCCCTCATTCCCTTCCTCGCTGCTGTCGCGATTTCATGCTCCGCTGCACCCATAGCACAGGTGAGTCGTGTCTCCGCATCGATGTGTTCAAGAATGCTAACGCATTCCGCGCATAGCCGCGAGAGTACCTCTCCTTGATGACTCGCGAAGTCGGAGAGCTAGATGCACGAGACATCTCTGCCCCAGTCTTCGAGGCCCGAGAAGAGCTTGACGACCTCGAACTTCGTACAGATGACCTTGCGTGGCTTGTTGAGCGGATGAATGGCTGGCCTGGCCCTGGCATGAAGCACAAGAACGGTACGTCGCCTCCACTCGCCTCCTCCGGCCCATTGTTCATGAACTGGCGATTGCAGAACATGCGGCTGGAGGTGTGCCGACATCAGGCTTCCACCCTGTGCCCGAGAACACCTACTACAGGACGCACAACAATGTCGTACGTACCTCCTCCTCTCCAGCCCAGATCCAATCTAACGCCCTCACAGTACAGCGGTGCCCAAGTGAACCAATACGCTCACAACATGGTGCAGAGCATACCACACGCCGACCCCTGGAACCGCAAAGCCAATAGCCGGCTCAAGTCGTACCCCAAGCCCAGCACTGGCTTCCGCAACAGCGAAGCCGCCAACCCAGCACCGAACTCGCCGCACTCCGTCGCGTACCACGCGCCCATCCCGCCGCGGCGCTCAAACACGATGCCCGCGCGCCCCACGCGCCCGGGAGGGTCGTATAAGGTCGGCACGGACAGGGTGTATGGACACAGGCATATCAACGACCCGAATTTGACGGTTGGGGTGTCGTACCATGACCCGAAGAAGCCTATCCCCGCGCCCGCGCCTGGGGGCACACCGTCGAGGAACCATCCATTCTCGGTGGCGCAGCCTAAGAAGGGCGGTCCATTGAAGAGGTTTGGAGCGAAGATTGCGAAGGCGGTAAGCAAGCCGTTCAGACCGGTCAAGAAGGCGTTGAAACGCACGAAGACCCTTTGAGAGCGCGTAGATAGGAGTGAGATTAGTGATACCCTAATACACATCTCATAATTTGTTGTCTTGGGAATGATAAATGAGGCTTAAGTCAGGTGTGAAGAAAAATGACAGACCTTTAGGCCTTCTCCACGGGTTTCCAAAGGTTTTTACTTGCGTTGAGCAAATTGCCCTTGTCGTCGAACTTGACCCCTTCACTGGCAAGCATCTCAATCTTCTGGTTACACCGTGTACCCGTCTTATGCTCCTTGCCCCACTCTCCGAAGAAACCGCCTATGAAGAGATTCGACGCGATAACGCGGTGACATGGAACGTATGGAGCGAAAGGATTGTTTCTTAGAGCATTACCGACTGAAATCTCTGGTCTATCGGCGCCCAATCAATCAAAGGAGCCATCGACGTACCCGAGCGAGGCGAGCCACCGACTGCGAGTGATACGTCTTTGTACGTTGTGACAGTCCCTTTTGGGATGGTCAGTGTAAAGTCGTAGACTGCCCATAGATGTGCGGTCAATTTCTGGAGGAGCAAAGGTCGGTAAATTCAGGGAATTGAGCGAAAGAAGAGAATTTTACCTTTCCGGTCTTCGTCTTGTACGAATTCCTCTTTGAAGCGCTAATTGGATAGGGTATCGTTTCCTTCGGCTCAGAACAGTCAGCCTGTGTGTCCTCGGGTTCAAACTGCAAGCCTTTCGGCTCCATTTCGACAGCTTCATTCGGTGAACCACTGCGCTGCACAGACTTGAAGAACTTGGATGGTCTGACAGCGGGTTGCAGGTATATGGTGTTCCTGTCTGTCAAAGTTTTATCTGATTGTGTTCTTTGGGCAGGCATTGGTGGTACAATGTTGTGGTTAAAAGCAAGTTGCTTCAACTTGCAATGAGTCACTGAGACGAAACGCGTGGTTGAAATTAGTCACGTGAGTCAATTAGGGCAGGCTCTTTTGTGACCCCTGACCACTGTAGGCAGGCAATGACGGACCGAGGCCAGACGATGACACCACGTCTTCCCCACCGGCTACCGTGTGTACCCGAAATCTCCTTGAGGCCCGGCGAACGACGCAGAAAATGAAAGGCCCTGCATGAATCAAGCAAAGAAACTACCAACGTAACTTTCATCTATTGCGGGAGTGCAGTCGAGTAAGGTTCTGTGTAAGTAAAGTTCGACGGCAGGCACGCATTCGCTTTTGGAATGGGGTTCTTATTATACCACAGGCTGCTATAAAAGACCTTACGCCAAGGCAACCTTGACCGACGATGCTCGTACAGGCCGAGTCGCACACTATCCCTGCCTCGATCGACTACCCCTTTGTCCTGAAGGCAAAGCGGTACTGGACGAAGGCGTGCACTGAGGACCCGTCTGCACAGACGCTGATAGTCCTGCACTCGACGAGCTTCCACAAAGAGACATGGGATCCCGCCCTCGAGGACCTATTTGTCCTTTTAGCGTCATCAGGTTCCGCCATCCGAGCCGGGGAAGGGACGAGGGCTAAAGGCACCCGTGTGGCCATCCGCGAAGCGTGGACGATCGACTGTCCGAACCATGGGGAGTCGGCGACATTGAACCACCGAGCCCTGAGCACGCCGGAATATGCCAACTGTCCGTATTGGTATACTCTCTATTTCATCCGTATCTATTGTCAACGTCATACCCGTTGTGCTAATCTATGGTCGTACAGACATCTCCTGCACGCGGTACGCGGAAGCCGTGCACCGATTCCTCACACTTGCCCCCGTTGACTTCTCCAAACGGAACATGATTGGAATCGGACATTCGCTGGGTGCCAATTCAATGTATGTCTTCTTTTCTCTTTCCATCTCGGTAGCGAACCCCCTCTCTGTCTCCATTTATCGCCCGAAATGAGCTCGATGCATGAGATCTAACACCGCTTGGATGACAGGCTGATACTGCAGCACCTGCAACCTATATATATGTTCTCAGCGCTGATCATCATTGAACCGATGGTTAGCGCCCTGGGGCTGCCAGCGCTTGATCCACTCCGCGACAGACTTGTTTCTGAGGCGGCGAGGAGGAAGGACCGATGGGGCAGCCGGGACGAGGCGAGGAAGATATATAGAGAAAGAAAGAAGATTCAGAGTTGGGATCGGCGGGTCGTTGACGCTTTCGTGGTAAGTTCTATCACTTCCTAGGCCTGAAGCCGTATTAATTGTGCCCTTGTAATTGTAGAACTATGCAATCTACTGGAACAACGAGATGCGAACCTTCACTCTCTGCTGCTCGCGCCAACAAGAGAAGGTGGTTCAATTTTATCTCTTATTCGTCCAGATACAATGACGTCAACTCTTTCGTAGGTCATGTACTTCGACGAAGAGGGCCCTCTGCGGTCCATCAGCGATATGAACAAGCTCTGCAAGGACGGTCACATCCCTCTGCACCTCATTCTTGGGGAGATACCCGACTTTATGTACGTCTTCGGCGTCATACGAATTCGACGCAGGCTTTAAACGCCTGGTTACTTTCCTCAGCCCAAAACATGTCCAGGAAGCCCTCATCGCCAAGAACTCAGGTCGTCGATTTGCCTCCTCTGTCATCATGAAAGGCGTCGGTCATCTCGTACGTCTCCACATTTTCTCGAACCTCGAAACATTTTGACTAACTCCCAATCCTCCGTGCTTAGATCCCACAAGAGAAACCAACCGAACTCGCCAAACTCATCTTCGACATCCTCGTCAAGACGTACAACTCTGGCAGAGCTCCTCCTTCCACCACTACTGTATCGTCAGCCTCTGGGACGCCGAGTTCTGCTCGGCCGTCTCGGCTCTGATAATCCCCTCTCTTTTGGGAAAACAAAAGTCGAATATTCGGTGGAATGTTCGAAGTTTGAAAGTCTGCTTTTTCTGCTATTCTGTACTTCCTGCAATCACGTATGATACCTTTGCCATATCTACTATAAGTTCTTAGTTATTCTGCTTCTTCACATTGCATACATGTAAGTAGCTGGTAGCTGCGTCCAATCCAAATATTTTAATATGGTACAAAGTGCCTAGTACTTATTATCTCTGTCGACTGATTAGACCCTGAGCTAGGCATAAGTAAACAAGATAGTAGAAAGTGTGGACTCGAGTCATACCTCAACCGGTTTGAACCTTAGACTCGTCAACGGACAATACCTATCTCCTTTAACACAGGTAGGTTATCCGCCGATTGACCAATGAAATCTTTATCTTGAGGTCGTGTCCTATTATTGAGAGCGTCAGTTCCTTGTATAGAAAACAATGCTGCGACTCACGTCATGCTCTCTGAGAATATATCCAGCAAGGTTTGGCGCATGCGTTCCTTTCCCAATGCCTTGCACCAGAGAGCAGTCTCCTGACCCTTCAGCGCTTGTTGCCAAGTCACAAGGGTGGGGTGTGTGTCCTGATAGTCGAAGTCTCCTTCCAGGATGACGAATGCAGTTGGGAAATGCATGCGGCAATTCTTGAAAATCAGAGGGAAAAGCACGCCAAGCGCATTTTTATATGCCAGGACGTTTTGCAAAACGAGGAAACCAGCAAACTTGAGCAGATGTTTCTTTTCTAACCTGGATAATGGACCAGACAGTGTCGTAAGTTCAGCCTGCAAGACACAGCGGGTCTCTCACCCTTGCAACCACTCAAGAGCACCGTGTTGCAAGTAATAATAGCGTATCTCGATCACAATCACCTCATTAATGCGTGTCGAATGGTCTTGAAGATCCACTACGGCTACCTGAGGGTCTTCAAGTTCCAAGTGCCATGTGTATCGCAGCAGGATTTTGAAAACAGTCTGAGGAAGCAGTCAAGGACCAGAAGTGGTGTTATAAATCCTGCTCACATGCAGAGGGATTATGCTGATGATACAAACAAATGAGCCAATATGACAGGGATTCTCAAGTAGATCACGCTCACACGATCACAGGCCGTTCGCTGAATTGGCGTTTCCACTCTAGCAGCTGGCAAATAGGCGAAAAGTTTAGTGTTAGCCATGATTAAGGGCGGCATTCGAGATCCACCTCGTCCGGAACGAAACCCTGACAAATAGCCCAGAAGGCATCCTCGCATGGCTCACTACAATTACACTGGAAGACCAAGTACATGAAGATGGACTTGACGGCACTGCAGAACCAGCTATCCTGTGTTGGAATGTCAGACTCCTTCCAGTGGGTGACCAGAGGGCAGAAATTCTTCTCCCAAGCTTCATCGTGACCATACAAGCAGCACAGATAGCCCCTTTGTACCCAACAGTTCACAGACAGCAGGTTGATTGTGTCCCGAAAAGTTCACAGTAAGTGCAACATCTCAAGGGGTACAATTGTCTCGAACTGTTCACAGCACTTACTGCCCCTACAATATTCCCAGTTTTTCCTAGCACTTACCACTTTGTCCGCCAACGGAAATATGATATCTCTGCCTCTCCAGAACTTATTTCCGCCCATCCACAGTTTATTTCCACTGATCCACAGATTATCTCCACCTGTCTGCAACTTATTTCCGCCCATCCGGAGCTCATTTCCATCCACTTAACACTTTATCTCCACTTGTCTACCACATTCTGGGTTCTCTGTAATTATCCCTCCCACAAAAAATATATATTCTGGTTAATTTTTGCCTTGAAAACCATCTTGTTTTCAACAAGAAACTGGTGCTGTTATGTGCAAAAAGATGTCCAGACTCTGTCTGCTTTCTCCTCCTAGCTCCATCCGCTTTCCTGCACACATCTCCACCCACTTTTCCACACAAACTCCGTCCGCTTTCTCCTCCTAGCTCCGTCTGCTTTCCCACACACATCTCCACCCACTTTCCCACACAAACTCTGTCCACTTTCCCCTAGCTCCACCCACTTTCTTGTCCTAGCTCCATCCACTTTCCCAAGCACGCATTAGAGGTCACCTCTACTAGTCTGAAGACTGGAACTAGTTTGTAGTCTCTTAATGGACTGCCTCCCTTCTCCATCCACTTTCTCTTCCAATCTACTGCTTGTCCATAGAAATCCCCACTTAGATCATCTGAACTACCATTAGCAACAGTCGAAGACTTGCATTGATAAGGCCACCAACAGCTAGCCTTATAATTTTGCAATCTCTCTACAATAGCAAACCCACATCTGCTATACCAAGTGTTATTAGTGAATGACTATAGACCCAGTCTTCATTATGGCGCCTAGTCTTTAAGTGAACTTGATCAGTCAATAGATGTGAGTGCGACTATATTCTATGGCATGTAGTCAGTCATTTGTATTGAGTGCACTACAAACCATCCCAAGACTAGTGAAGCAAACCCCAGAGTCACATACCAAAGCACAGTTAATTAAAGTCTACTAGCTAGGTCTAATCCTATACTAGTCTAGCGGGGCAGAAACAAAGTCCACAGTGACTACTGAATAACAGCATGAGCATACTTAGATGCATGGTGGACTAATGTGAAGTGTCTTTAATACAGTGACTACAAATACAAAGTGATAGTGAAGGCATTCATATAGACTGGCCCTAAATAAGGGTAGTTGTCGGATCACGAAAACAGTTCTGAACAGACTGTCTGACCAAGTCTATTAAAATACTACAAACTAGTTCTAGTCTTGAGACAAGTAGAGGTGACCTCTAATGCACACTTTGGAAAGTGGACAGAGCTAGGAGGAGAAAGCAGATAGAGATTTGTATGGGAAAGTGGACAGAGATTTGTGTGGGCTAGGAGGAGAAAGTGGATGGAGATTCATATGGAAAAGCAGACCAAGCTAGGAGGAGAAAGCGGATGGAGCTAGGAGGAGAAAGCGGATGGAGCTAGGAGGAGAAAGTGGATGGAGCTAGGAGAAAGCGGACGGAGTTTGTGTGGGAAAGTGGGTGGAGATGTGTGCAGGAAAGCGGATGGAGCTAGGAGGAGAAAGCAGACAGAGTCTGGACATCTTTTTGCACATAACAGCACCAGTTTCTTGTTGAAAACAAGATGGTTTTCAAGGCAAAAATTAACCAGAATATATATTTTTTGTGGGAGGGATAATTACAGAGAACCCAGAATGTGGTAGACAAGTGGAGATAAAGTGTTAAGTGGATGGAAATGAGCTCCGGATGGGCGGAAATAAGTTGCAGACAGGTGGAGATAATCTGTGGATCAGTGGAAATAAACTGTGGATGGGCAGAAATAAGTTCTGGAGAGGCAGAGATATCATATTTCCGTTGGCGGACAAAGTGGTAAGTGCTAGGAAAAACTGGGAATATTGTAGGGGCAGTAAGTGCTGTGAACAGTTCGAGACAATTGTACCCCTTGAGATGTTGCACTTACTGTGAACTTTTCGGGACACAATCAACCTGCTGTCTGTGAACTGTTGGGTACAAAGGGGCTAATGTTTGTGATACAAGTGTACTAGGCAATGCCAGTAAACATCTGTTTAACTCTTGATCTGCTGAAAACCCACTTTTTTCGAGATACTCATGGGTCTGCTTCTGGTAGTACAATGCAAGTGCACTGTGAACCCGGTGGATGTTGATGTAGAAGGGGCCTGACTGTGAGGCATCAAAGAGGAAGCCCGCAATGGAGGCGTGCAGGATTCTAATCTGCCTCCAGCTCAACAGAGGAGGGAGGTCAAGGAGGGATACAAACTCGTTGAGAAGGAGGACGTCATCGTCTGGTGTCATGTTTAAAATCTTGCCAATACCGACGTATATAGTGTATAAATCGTCAGGGGCTCCTTCAGGCCGTGGAACAATTAAGATGCCGAAAACTTGGAGCACTTGGTCGATATTTATCTTCAACTCTTCTGCGAAGGAGAAGATGAAGCTGTACAATAAATCTAGTTGGCCGTAAGGTGTATCGGCGGCAGGGGGTGGCAAGTGTTCAATGATGATTCTTAGATGCCTAACGGGGTGGTGTTTGGCAGAACTGATATATCCACACACAGTTGAGACAAAGATAAATTGGCCAGATGCTCTCTCTATGAGAGCTGTGATGTCTTCAGGTGAGGGCCAATTTGCTGGAATCGCGTCTCGGATTGGGTGCCTACTTCGGATTTTTGAGAACTGAAGTTCCAAGTATATGCAAATATCGTGCACAGTGTCCAGGTCATCTGCAAGATTAAGGGTGGTGAGGTGATCAACCTTGAAAGTCTCCCCATCAGTGATCAATTGCCGAATATGAGTTTCTAGCTGACTGGCGATGAGGAAATGAATCAGAAGGTGCAGGCTTTCAGTTGCCTTCCCTAGTATGTGGAGCAGGTCACGCTGAACCTCCTTGCCAAAACACTCATCAAGGCCATCAATGATGATTAATTGAGGCGAGGCTCTCTGGACGAGCTGCCTGTAGTGGTATTCTAAGCAGGAAAATTTTGTGTTTAAGGGCTTGATGATCAATTCCTCTGTCTGCTCTTGCCTCGTCTTGTGGAAAATGCTGTGGTCACAGAAAAGGAGCTTTCCCATGCGTCATTGTGGAGGGGCCATTTTCTCTGCAAGCTGATAAGCCAACGTGGGTATCAAAAGGTTTCCATCCATTACATGGTCATCCCTTGTCCTGGTGAAGAAAAAGGTCGCAATAAGACTGTTCTTCGTCATGCAGAGTTCTGCAATTGTCTTAGCCAACGCTGATTTCCCTGAACCAGCTGGCCCATGGAGCCAAAGGGCAGACACCCGCTCTTCATCACTTTTGACCCAATCCATGATCCTTTGGATGATTGCCTCATGAGTGCCTTTGTCGCATGTTGGTGCATCATATTGAGCATTCGAATTGACAAGAGCACTGAGTGTGCTTTTCTCAAAGAGAAGGTCAAGTCCTAGTCAAACCTGAGCACTGAGGTCAAGACGGTCTAATTCAATCCAGCACCTTTGAGGGGGGGCACGCATTTCCACTTGATAATGATTTTGAACGGCGTTGGTATGAAAGTGGGTGCCAGAAATAGAGACATTGTTCGCGTTGGGCAAGATGTTATTCTCTGCCATGCAGAGGTTTACAGCATAAGGGGAGAGGGAGATACGGCTGTCTGAAGGAGAGTGCAGATACACAAGGCAGTGATGAGGGACTGGCATGTTTGGAGGGCAAATTCCATTGACTGAACCTTCCTTGACAGCCAGTGCCTTTTTGTCGTGAAGATGATGGATTTCGGGTTATGTTATCGTCCTGACCCTGTGTTTCGAATTCTGGTGGTGGCATGGACATTGTCACCAAATGGCTGTGTAGATATAGGCGGTGGAGATGTACATTTTATTTAGGGTTGCGGAAAAAAGTCGGCAGGGTACATGTAAGTAAGTATATTAAGCAACCGCTGTAGGCAGGGGAAGGCTCACTGCACCATCTCACTTGGGCCACCTTAGGGTCTTTCAGAGTAAAATAAGTACCCTTTAGAAATTGAAGAGTAATAACTACGTTGACGTTGAGCCTGGGGTCGTGGCTTCAGATCTATAATATTAAACAGAAGTGGTTCTCATGCTCGAGCAAAAGGAGCCTTCTGATTGGCTGAGACAAACAAGCAAAACCTGCAATCTGATTGGCTGCTCAAATCCTTCTCAGGCCGACTCACCTCTTCCACAACACTTCATGCGTGTGCTAACATAGATTTTTCTAATTTCACAACAATGAAGGCAAAGAACATGGTGTCTGAGATCTATTCAAGGCCTACTACACCTCTACACCTCTCAAAGACTGGTGCTGTTGCCTCCGGAGCCCTGGGAATCGGGATTGCCCACTCCTGAAATTCCCGCTTGGTGTTACCCCCTAATAATGGTGTTCGCAGGCCACGACTAGGAGAGAAGCGGTTCAGGTGCGCTTGCTGCCTTGGATTTTCATGAATATTCAATCAATTTTGGCAGGGGTCTGCTCCGATGCAGTTACATCACTGATGCAACGACATGTGATGTATTGCTCTACTTCATTTAGCGGGGTTGGTGACTATCCATGTAGGTACATCACTGTTTGTCCTGCTTCTGCCACTGATAGACGCAAACCAGGTCTGAGGATGCTCTCACTACCCTTCAAAAGCAGCAGCAGAAAGCCGGCCAGGCTCTGTGAGAGCTCGCTCAAAATGCGAATCAGAGCCCATGCTGCTGCCACCTCCCTGCTGCTCGACCAGAAACTCCAACTCCCCCAGCAGCTGCACGTGTTCAAAGGACGGCAACACGGTTGTCCAGTTGGACTGCTCAGGAAAGCGAGCTACTTGCCTCTCCAAGACACTGACACATACAGAACAATGGAGATGAAAATTGAGCTCCACATGCCTCTAGCTCGACATCGGTCACGTCGAATCGCAGGACAATGGTGAGTTGTCGTTAACATGCTATACATATGTGCAATATCCTGAATCTATGAACAATTAGATGTGCCCTCGCCTTGCACCTCTCACTCCACTGCTGACACCACAACCACCTACTGCCCAGCCAAATGCCTGATCTCTTGCCCAAAAAAGACGCAGAGCTCGTGAGCACAAAGCACATCAGAGTGCCCCACCTCCAACTGTCCTGCCAACCCATCCTGCACTGATCTTGCCATCCCAGGAACCTGATCGCCCACACGTCCATACGAGGATCCATGGAGAGGTACGACTACCTCCCAGTAGAAGATCACTGGCTGCACAACAATGTCAGGAGCACGAACACTCTGCAACACCTGGCCGATCATCATGACCTCAACGAATGTGGATCTCTACAGCTTCAACTCTTCCAACCCCTCCCAACCTGCACCTCGCACTCGGGGTAAGTATAGATGCTACAGCTGGCAGGTGCATGATACCAACCAAATGTTTCAGGAGCCCCTAATCAACAAAATCGATGAGTGCCAGAGCAGGAAGTGACTCCTCGGCAGGCAGTAGATGATGCACTCAGGCGTTCAGGTGAGAATTTGGGTTTTCTTTGTGTCTTATGTTGTAAACCCATCTTATGAATGCAGATGATGAGATTGCAGATTCAGAGGGTGAGGACATGGTCGAGTTTGTCCACAAAGAATTGCACCAAAATCAGCCATGTCAGCTACAATTCTATATCAAATACTGCCTTTAAGTAGTGGGACGGGATCAGTCCTGGCTGTCATAAAGCAGTCAGGCCGTTTGGGGGGCCATGCCGGGACTGCCGTGTCTCGGAGATGGGAGCAGGACCTGTCAACATAGACAAACAATGCAGGAAACAGTGTCCAAACACTGTTCCTCATCGTTTGTGGCCCTCCTGCTACCGTTTTCAGCGGGGAAAAGGCGCCAACGACACGGAAACATATTTCCTCATCGTTGTGCACCGTTTCCCCCATTGTCGGGGGGCGGGAATGGGTGGATTGGGACAGGGCGCTTTGGATGACGCTCGGCATTTTTACTGCATCATCTATTTTTAGCTGGCATTCTTAATGTGCACACAAAAATAGGAAAAAAAATTGTATTAAATTGTAAAAAAAAAATACATGATGCAGGTGGCTCTACTAGCCACCTGCTACGAAATAGGGATAATACGAAACAGAAACGGCGCGTCCTATGCGCGCCGTTTCTGCTCGTGGGGGCGGGAATGGTCCCCACCTCCGCTCCCGCCTCCGCTGCCTCCGCTGCCCCTCGGTGGGTGTCTCCGCCTCCTCCTCGCCGCCTCCATCCTCCTGCGCTCGGTGTGGCACTCTCCGCCCTGCGTGTGCTAGGTGGGTCCCTCCGCCACGCCCCCTGCGCTCATTGGGGCCCTCTCCACCCCTCCCGTGTTTGTTGGGGTGGGTTAGGGCTCCTCCGCCCCCTCTGCCTCTTGCTGGGGTCGGCTGGGGCCTCTCCACCTCCTGCCATGCTCGTTGGGGTCAGTTCGGGACCCCTCCGCTCCTCCGCCGCCTGCTGGGGTCGGTTGGGGACCTCTCCGCCCCTTCCGCGCTCTCCATCTGCCCCCATCTGCCCCTCCTCTGCTCGTTCGGGGCCCTTCGTCACTCGTTGGGCCTCTTCGGGTGCTCGTTTGCGCCCTCTGCTGGTCGATCGCTGGTCGGAGGGTCCCCTCGAGATGGCGAGTGGTGGAGGGCAAGAGGTGAAGGGCGAGGAGACGGAGGTGAGGGCGAACGGGCGAGGGGGGGAGAGGGCGAGGTGGGCGGTGGGCGAAAAGGGAAGGGCAAAGGGGAGAGGGCGCAGGGTGAGGGAGAGGGCGAGGGCGAGGGAGGCGAGGGGCGGACGAGGGGCGGACGAGGGGCGAGAAGGCGCGGCGAAGGGCGACAGGGCGAGGCAGAGTGCCCTCCCCACCGTTGTCGTCCTGCCCTCCCTGTCGTCGTCGTGCTGCCCGTCGTTGTCGTCATGGTGAGACAGCGGGGGGCGAGAGGGCGAAGGCGAGAGGGCGAGGGTGAGGTCGGCGAGAGGGCGAGGGCGAGGTCAGTGAGATGGCAAGGTGAGAGGGCGAGGCGGGTGAGAGGAGGAGGTCGGCGAAATGGCGGGGCAGAGGGCGAGGCAAAGGGCGACAGGGCGAGGCAGAGGACGGGTGAGCGAGCGAGGGCCGAGGACGGGGGCGAAGGGTGCCGCCGTCGTCGTCGTTCCCCCATCGCCGTCCTGCCCCCCGTCGTCGTCGTCGTGCCCCCGTCGCCGTCGTGCCCACGCCGCCGTCGTCGTCCTGCCCGTCGTTGTCGTTGTGCCCGCCATTGTCGTCGTTGTGCCCGTCATTCCCATCCTCCGCCTGGTCGAGAGAGTGATGGCGGGCGGGCGGGCGGTGGTGGTGAGAAGGTGGTGGTGGGCGAGAAGGTGGTGGTGGGCGAGCGGCCGGCCATGGGCAGGAAGGTGCCCTAGCCCACATCCCTGTCGTGAGGGGAGGGGCTCAGTGGCTTCGTCGTGTCGTCATAGACATGGACGGGGGTCTGTGAGGGTAGAGGTGGGTTAGTATGGATGTAAGTACATATGAATGATATGTACTTACCTTCTTTTCGTGTTTCGGGGCTGAGGGGGTGAGGGAGGTGGTGGAGAAAGACGCAAATCAACGATGTTCAACATCGTTGATCGCGGTTCGGCGAATTCCGGCCACGCATCCCATTGGCTAGGACTTGCGGCCCGAGCTCCCTGCGTTCCGTTGTCGACCAACGGAACGTCTCCGATGAATGCAGAACGTGTCGTGTCTCCATTCAAACTTTCGGAAATTGTTATTAGTATAGAAATGCATTTATACATGTAGTTTTAACAAAATATCATGAAAATTAAATATTTTATGAGTGAATTCATCTCAGGCACAGGCCAATTGGGACACTCTCTCCTCTGTATGTAGATTCCAAGAGGCAGAAGAAGCGAAATAAATATATAAAAATGGTATACAGACTGAATACCTATGATAGTATTGAGAAATAAAGCTCCCCTGGCCAACTTAGTAATTTTAGGATGTAAACTAAGAAACTGCGAACGACGGGGTAGATTCTGTAGTCAAACTAACTCATGGATGTGTCAAATATCGGACACCGGCTTGTATCATAGGATTTACATTGTAAATTCAGACTAATTTTTATGTATGATATCCTCACTTACTGAAGGATCAAAAATGCAAGGTTATTGTGATGTTTCAGCTTGTCAAATGAGCAGTATTCGAGGGGTTAGAACATCAAGAAGACGATGATCACCACGCGAAAATGGTAACTCGAACTTTTTGCTCGTTCTTGCTCTCATATATTATTCGGACATACATAAATACATAGACGATAGTAATTTAATTAATTACCGATGATAAACGAAAATGTTTTCATCATGTCTCGGGCGTACTGGCTCTTCCGAGGTCGATGAGCGGAACGCGGGATGGCCGGACCGCCTGCGCCAGCCAATCATTTCGTTCACGGCGTTCGCCGGATAACCCATCAACGACTTTCATCGTCGTTGATCCTTCATCTGAACCACCACCTGGGGACCGCCCTCGTCGTCCACCACCGCCAATGACGCCTCAAGGCATCAAAAAAAGGTAAGTAATGTATTTTCTTTATAAATATGTCCTCTAATTTGTGTTTAAACCACCACTAGGTCAACGAACGTCGACTTTAAGTCGACGTTCGTTTTCTTTGCCTTTCATGCCCCTCCCCTTCAATAGGGATGTGGGCAGAGGCACGAAACCCCCGCCCGGGTCCCCTCTCGCGCCCCTCTCCCCCCCTCCCTCCTCAAGCTCCCCACCACCTTCCGCCTCTCATCGCCTGCGCGACGAATGACGACAGCGGGCGACAAACGACGACGGACGACGGACAGCGGGTGACGGCGGGGGCACGATGAGGACGATGGGGGAACGACGAGGACGGCGGCAAGACGAGGACGACGAGGAGGGCGACACGACGAGGACGGCGGCAAGACGAGGATGGCGACACGACGAGGACGAGGGCGAGGGCGACACGACGAGCACGAGGACGAGGGCGACACGACGAGCACGACGAGCACGACGAGCACGACGAGCACGACGACAGCACGACGAGGACAGCACGACGAGGACGGCGACACGACGAGCACGACGATGAGGATGGCGACACGACGAGGATGGCGACACGACGAGGATGGCGACACGACGAGGATGGCGACACGACGAGGGCGACACGACGAGGACGACGAGGACGAGCACGGCACGACGAGGACAGCACGACGAGCATGACGAGGATGGCGACACGACGAGGACGGCGGGGGCACCACCGGGGGCACCCTTCACCCTCGCCCTTGCCCCTAGTTCGCTCCCGTCCTCTGCCTTGCCCTCTCGCCCTCTGCCTTGCCCTTGCCCTCTGCCTTGCCCTCGCTCTCTGCCTTGCCTTCTCGCCTCTCGTCCGCCCCTCACCGCCCTCGACCTCGCCCTCGCCCTCTACCTCGCCTTTCGCCCTCGACCTCGACCTCGCCTCTTGCCCCCTGCCCCACCTTCTGCCCCCCTCCACCCCTCGTTCGCCCCTCGCGTCCTCGCCCTCTGCCTCGCCCTCTCGCCCTCTCGCCCCTCGTCCACCCCACCTTTGCCCCTCCTTCGACCATCGCTCACCCTCGAACGACGACAGCGGACGAGGGACAGCACGCGACGACCGAAGGTGGCGGATAACGAACGAACGAGGACGGCGACGGACGAGGACGAGGACGAGGACAGCGGCGACGGTGGGCACAGGACGTCAACGGACGTCAACCCGCCCTCTCGCCCTTGCCCTTGCCTTTGCTCTTGCCCTCGCCCGCCGTTCTGGTTTTCACCCCGCCTCACGCCCCTCGCCCTGCCCCTTGCCCTTCACCTGCCCTTCGCCTCCTGGTCCACACCCACCACCTGCAGCTCAAGCACAAGGGAGAGCGCGAGGAGGGAGCACGGGCACCCAAAGGGGCCCAACAAGCGACAAAGGGGGCAAACGAGCGGAGGAGGGGATGGAGGGGGCGGAGGAGCCCCACGACCAGAGGAGGCCGCGGAGGAGGCAGAGGGGCAGGGGGGGCCGTACCCATCTCCATGAGCAGAAACGGCGCGCTATGGCCACGCCGTTTCTGCTCGTTTTACCTACTTTCCATAGCGGGTGGCCCTACTAGCCACCCGGATCCTGTATTTTTTTTTTGTACAATTTTATAAGATTCTTTTTTACATTTCTTTTCGGCAGGGGCCAGGGACCAAGACCAGAGCAGAAACGACGCGTCGTGACGCGTCGTTTCTACTCTTTTTCTCCTTATCTTATAGTGGGTGGCTAGTAGAGCCACCTCCACTTTGTATATATTTTATTTCAATTTGATACGATTTTTTGGCTAATTTTTTGGTGTACCCCGAGCTCGCCGGACGTCATGGCAGACGACGGCGAGAGCATTACAACGGATGTGTCATAACAATTACATGATACCTAAAAATAGCCAAAGGCCCCGAAAAACGGCCGCGTCATCCAAATGCACCTGGCCCAATCCAGCCAATCCGGCTCGTTACTCGTGCTTGTGGCAGAATACTGATACTGATACTCGGCACCTCGGCAATTATGTAAGTAGTCTCACACTTGTCTCCTCGAGCTCGTCGATGCTCTCAGCGAGCTATTTGGACACGTCAGCTCATAAGAATAGCTATAGACCATTGGGAAGACAGTTGGAACAACGGGGTCAAATTTTTTTGTAATTATTCCACTAATGACCCCCCAAAATGCAAAATCTTCTTCTTTTCAACATCGCCCCCTCTGGGTTGATGAAGGCACCTTTTGCCCATTTTTTTAATTCTTGATCAGTGTGTGAGTAATGTGAAGATAAATTCAAAAATTTAACCCCAGAAGTGCAGTGCGTCGTGCGCTATGAGCGTTGTCGACGCAAGCTCGGAAAATGCCGAGACACCATTTGCGCGGGCGAGCCATTGCGATGTCTGTCCTCGACGAAATCTTATCTTCTTGATTTTGTGATGATCAAGGTGCACGCGGGCGACATCTAAGCGAGTATTCGTGCGCTGGCCAATGAAAATGCAAGGAAAAAGGTGCACTGATGCAACCTAAGCGAGTATTCAGCCTGCCGAACAGGACGAAATGACTGGATATTTCCAAACATGGCCCCGCAGGGCCGCCAAAGGTAATTTGCCTCTCAAGATCGTCATTTCCCGCATCGACTGGGGCAGGACAGGCATCCCTACACTCATTTCACAACACGGTCACGAGCTTCCCCCTTTCCTCCTCTTTCCTTTTTTGATTTTTCTTTTCTTTTTCTTTTATTTGTAATTTCCATGCCACAAACACCAGTATCGGGCCGCCAATCCCGCACCCCAATGCCGGGGGAAATGGTGCACAACGACGGCGAAATATATTTCTGTGTCGTTGGCACCTTTTCCCCACCGAAAACGGTGGGAGGGCCACAAACGACGAGGAACAGTGTTTGGACACTGTTTCCTTCATTGTTTGCATGCATTGATGCCCCCACCCCCATTCTTGGAGACCGGCACACCTGGCATGGCCTCTTTCTTAGGCTGACTGCTTTATGACAGCCAGGACTGATCCCGTCACACTGCTTAGAGGCAGTGTTTGATATATTTTTGTAGCTGATAGAAGTGCCAAAATAGGGGTACGAAGTTGTTAGCCCCTTTTTTCTTGATATTCTTTGGCTAACTTTTCAACTAGAGGAAGTTACCGAAGGTACCAAAGGCAATGGTGTACAATCTGTGGGAGAGCATGAGGCCCAAGGTACGTTGCTGAAGGTTGATATCTTCCCATTCCAGAACTAATTTTGCGTGCTCAGGTATTCAGAGGCGCTCCTTCCTTCAGTCTCCCTGTAGATTACCTCCTGACATGTGAAATCAGCCTCCACTACCCCCGCAAAGTGAAAGGGAGTTCGCTTTGATTAAGTACAACAACGACAACCGGCCTAGCCTGAAGGGTCAACCAATTTCATGGCTACCCCGAGCACACCAAAGAAGTAATTATAAATTATCTACAGATTTCACTGTGCAGCCTCATGGGTATCTGCTAGTGTGATTTATGTAATGACTGTCATCATTTTGCCATCGGTGACATGAAATTCAGGCACGAGTACATTCAACGCTGGATAAAATTATCTGATATCTCTTAACTATTGTTATACTCCTCGAACTACCACTTTCCACAGCCTCGGAAGGGGCCTGGCCTTGGTAAATGGCCTTGTGGTGCAGAATTGGCTGTATGTCCAAATGGCAAAATTTTGAGCTGATTCTTGTAGTTTTTTTGCTCATATCCATTCATTACATGATATGTGTGTACCTATATGCACAATTATGGTGGTACAGGTAGAGGGAAGAGCACAGTAATGTCGACAAGCACACCAGGGCAGCTCAGTCATGCTTGCAGAAAATTTGTACTTGTTTGTCTGGGCCCCCCAGCCCTTAGAGCTGATAGATGCTTGCTTCACTCGCAATTACAAAATCCAAATTTGCTCGATGTAAATAACTAAATTACATCGTAAATTACATTTTTTCCGACATACATGTGACATAAGATTTAAAAACCGCCTAAAATCGGTTAAATTGATCTAAAAATTGCCCAGAGCTGCCAAAGTGACTAGATCGCTATTGCCAGTACACTGAGCTCGAAACTGGTGCCCTCTTCCTCCTCTTCCTCTACTGAGGGTGCCAACACTGATTTTTAGTCCTCCTGTGACCCAGAGTGCCCCCCAATATCTCCCTGAGCTCGAAGTCAACCTGGTTGTCGATGTCTGCGCGAGAGATCTTGGCCTCATATCTTGGCCTAGACTTGACAAAACTTGGCCAAAACTCAGCCAAGGCTGAGACTTTTTCTCATTTTATACAAGGCTTATTTCCCAATATGTAAAAAAGTCGTAAATTACATGTAATTTACACTGTAATTTACACTTTGTAAAAAAGTCAGACTTGTTTCCGCAACCCTAATTTTATTATCAGAGGTCCATTCTTCACACATCACGGCTGGCTTTGTTTACTGTGTCCGGCCTGGTAACGGGTCACTCTGGCGCATTTTCGCTCTCCTGGACGCAATTCTCAAGTAAACCTCTCTGAACTTTTTTTCTTGTGTGTCCATACCTCCTGAGAATTAGTAGGGAGCATGTATATTACCACACATTGAGCATATAAAATGTAATGAATATTCTCCGATGCTGAGTTTAAAATCAGTAAATCCAAGGTAACGGGTCAGCACCTATTTTTCCAAGAGGTAATTGCCTGATGACCCCCGGATCCCACAATTCAGGAAGAGGACATTCTATTGTACAGGAATGGTGAAAAATCTTGGAAGCAGAAACAGATTTCTTGAAATAAACGAGGGCCAAAAGATGTATCAAATATACAACTATGGGTGAAATTTACACTATTTAGGGAATGTATGCAATCTAAAACCTTCCTCACAGTCTAAAAAGCTTACAGAAACATGATAGTAGACTAGGAGAGGCTTCATATACATTTATACAGCTACAGGGCTCCTTTTGAGACCAGGATGTCCCTATCCAGTAACACTTGCAGTTGTAGTGTTCTCATTTTGGCCGGTTGTGAGCAATTTTTTGATATCAAATGGCATGTCAATGCCCAAAAATTTTGTTTCTTATCATAGCTATTTATATGACCTCCATACGGCAAAAAGAAATGAAGAGAAAGCTCCTGTCGTCGTCGAGAAATCGGCATTTGACCCGTTTCGTGGTGTGACCCGTTACCGGACACAGTATAAATGTCTGTGCCAAGCCGTTGTCGGAGTAACCTCGCATCAATATCACATAATATTTTCTCATCCGCTAAACTATCTATCGACCTCCCTCTATGTATCTGCCATATGTCGTGCAGGTGTACCTGCCCTTGGGAATCCCTTGACCCCAGCCCCGGTACTGCAGTAACTGCTGGATGTGCGGGGACCAACGTGAACGATGATAGGGAGCGGTAGAAAAGGGGTCCAGTATGCAATCCAACTTGGAGCAGTCCACAAGAATCCTCCCCCATGGTAGCGCCAGTATCACATCGTGTTGAATTCGGTCACATTGCCATGACATGGGTAGGACTTCCACATCGTTGCAATAAGAGTCAGTACTAACCGTTGGGTTCGTAGCCGATGACGAAGTGTCTTTCTTCGTCCGTGATTTTTTCCAAGTCAACATGAAGGCCACACACGCTATCCATGTTATCCTGCGCTATCTGGAGGAAAAGGGATATGATCCGTCGAGAAAGCTCAAGGGCATCTTAAAACGCCAATGCGACTTTCACGCTTTATTTATATATGAAAAGCGCAATAAGTACATATTTCAGAAAACGGAGCGTGAGATGTGACAATCGTAGACGTGGAACAAACTTTGTCGCAATTGTGCTGCAAACCCCCTTCATAGCAGAGTAGAATCAATTGAGCAGAGCATTTATAACCTCTTTTCTTGCCCACTGTGCAACGCCGAAGTTCTCAGCAGTCTGCGCACCAGAAACAGACGACCATAGTAATATCCGAGGTGTTAGAGCATCCCACGCGGAGACATGTCTGTCAAGGTGCATGGTCGCGCACCATAGGGTCTCCACCAAGGATCCCCACAAAAGCAGAGAATGCTTGCCATCGATGGCGGCTTGCTGGTGTATACCCGAAGACCTATGCGGAGGGGTCGGAACCAACGGATTTGCCTGTTGCAAAGGTCCCAGGCCGAGAGAATGAAAGCGTACATCGCTTTCGATTTTCTGTAGGCAGCAAACAGCCAGATCCAGGAGTGTGGGAAGGTCGTGGAGAGCAGGCCCGGTCAAGGAGGCCAGTCGCAGGATAACGGGGACCGCATGAGCAAAGTTCTCAGTAGGAGAGGCTGTTTGGGCAGGGGTAAGCGACCCCAAATGCAAGATAGACAAGATAGACAAAATAGCGTACATAACTGTTTCTCGTCGAGAAGAATGAGCAGGCATCGACAAATCACTATGCGCCACTCTCCGTTCGTCGCTGCTTCGATTTTGTCAGAATCCACAATAACCAGGATGTTCTCGAGTATCTTGATCCAAGCCAGACCTTCGGCGTTCGCATTCGTGTTTGAGCTGGACGCCGAATTGAGGAGCTGCATCTCAATCCAGGGAAGCAACGCCGATTTCAGGAGCAATGATGTCGTGGCTTGGGCATTGCACGTCACGTTCGCGAGCACCTATTATTGACAATTAATCACGATGACAATCACGATGGAAAAGCTAACAGACTTCCAGGATGGCCAACCGTAAAGCCCCATCGTTTCCTGCACTTTGGAAGAGACTCGCTAATAGGTCCCATGTATGCCGCCTCTTCAGAACCTTCCAATCTTCCGACCCCACCATTCCATCTGCAAGGAACTTGATCATCCACATCCGCTCTTTTTTCCAGTTGTCATCTGAGCTACTGTAGAGCATGCTATACAGCATCGGCACGTCGGAGGTGTCGAGAGTCGGTCGTTGAAGGAGAAAACGGGCTGTGAGTGGATATATAGAATTTGACGGGTAGAATACCCCACGGAAGGCGTGCATCAATAGGAGGGTGGTGTATGTGGGTAACCGGCGTGGGTACTGCGATTCAGGAGATTCAGATCGATTTGAGGTAGGGGGCATCAGGTCCTTCATAAGACTGAGGATGTATTGCACATGCGGCTTCTCGTGGAGATCGGCGGTCTGTTGGAGTGAAGAATCAGCATAAAAGAAGCAATATTGGCCACGATGGGACACTGACCTCTAAGTGTTTCCAGAGCGCGACGATTTGGCACAACGCCAACTCTCGGACCCTTCCATCCTTGGCAGATAATGCCCTAATGAACAGAGACACAACGTTCGTCCTAAACAACTCGATCCAGGCGAAAGCGGACGAAGGCGGCTGCTCAGAGAGCATCTGGCTAAAGAGCAGCATCAGGAAGATCGAATCGTATAAAACGACGTCTGGTCCATCGGGAGGCAGCTTGACGCTGGATTGATCGTCAACACGGCGCCATCGAGGAAACTGCAGCGTCGTCCGAAGCACCAAAATGGGATCTAAGGATTGGAGGGCCTCCAATGCTGTTTGAGACGAGATGCCAAGAGTAGCAGACCACCGTGAGAGAAGCGGCGTGACGGAGAGTCTGCGTTGGCCCTCAAAGAGTTGGAAGATTGACAAAATGCGACGGTCGGTCCTCGATAGCGTACCGCGGTAGACTTTGACGATGGGTTCGATATGAGTTATTTGACAGGTGTTGGCAGGATGGAGGTGGAATAGGCGATGGAGAAGCTCGACCACCACTTCTCGAGCTTTCAATCCTTTAGCCAATGTGCTGACACATATCTTGAAGAAGTGCGGATGTTGGATGATGCTTTGCAGGTGTTTATTGACGGCAACTGGCTAAAGGCGGGTTTAGCACCGGATAAGTGAAAGCTTTGCATGAACGCACTTTTAGCTGAGACGAAGACAAACACTCAGCCGTGAGATGGAGTGCAGGCACATTGTATAGATGGTTCTGAACGACAACAGAAAGCAGAGTTTCGACGAGATGTGGCTTTGAGACATTAGCCTTCTTGACGAGTAATGCTGTCGAGACCTTGTGAGCTAGTACCGGGAGAGGAGCGAAAAGCAACGTACTAAGCCATTGAACAACACACGTCGAGCCCTCAACCTCCTTCTCATCCGCTAACCTATCAATCGCCCATTGCATCCCATTATCGACGATAATTGACAACAGGACGTTAGCCTTCAGGCCATAATGATCGGCTAACCAGACACCAGCCGATAGCGTTTCAGCCGACACATCAGCCTTCGAGAACTCTTTGAACTCCGCGACAAGGGCGCTGAGGATTTTTTCGGAATCAGGTTTCGAAGCCGTCGTCAGTATGTCGAATAAGCATTGCTTAGCCTTGAACTTCAACGCAGACAAGCCACTTGTATTCACGAGGACGTTGACGATCCTTGGCAATAATGGTGCCCAAATCTCGTATTTCACTGTCTGTCCCAGAGGGGCAGAGTCGAGGAAGGCGTGTATGATAGGAAGAAGGAGATTGATGTCGCGACGAAGACAATCTTCCGATGCAACCCACTGCACGAATATCTCCCGCGAAACAGGACGACAATATAAAAGTGCTGAAATAATTCTGACCGTCGCTTCAGAGAATGTGGTTTGCATGAGAAACTGGCGAATATCCAAGTCGATCTTTGCTGCTCGACTGCGATGAGCCCAACGTGTTTGCGACCTCTTCACCACGACAACCAAGTCCGAGGGTGCACTGGGAGGCGAGAATCCATCCAAACCAATTGGAAGGGTGGCCTCCAGTGAAATCGCGATGAGGTCGTCAAGTAGGGGAGAATCTCGCAATACCGCGCGAAGCGAGAGAAGTTGAGGTAGACGCTGGACGAATGTGGACTCGGCTTCGAGCTCAGACGCTGCCATTGAAGAAAGAGCCACCAAAATCACGTTCGCCAATTCTGCGGCAGGGGTTGCATGTCCATATTCTTGAAGATGACCCATGAGTTCAAATAGCTGGTGCGGCTCGAGATATTTGATCCACACACGGGCAGCAGACACCTGGTTATGTGAAGGTCAGCTGAGGTTCATTACAATGGCGGAGGAACATACGGTAGCCTGATGTTGGATGTGAAGCTCGGATTTAAGAAGATTGAACCAATGGTTACTGATTTCCGAAACCACTTTACGATCATCGCTCGAACTTGGATCGAGGACAGTTCCGAGAAGATTGTCGATTGCTAAAGAATGTATGAGAAGACAAGTCATGAAGAATCATCTGCCACTTACCCTTAACGACTTCTTGAGAGGTGGGTGAGGTGAAGACGTCTTTGAGGATATTGGGTTTAACGAACACCATCTCCTTCAAGGCGATAAAATCCGCTGGAGATAAGGCTGTACTAGCAGACTTTACGATGTCTGCGAGTAGTGCGAGATGTCCTGTGACGAGAGAGTTGTCTTGTATAGTGGACGCCACACCGTGTATGACAAGGTGCACAACGCGAGTTAAGTCGATTGCACTCGGGCGGCGAGAAAGGCAGACGTCAGAGAGAACAGCACGGTATTTCTCATCCGTTATTTGCCGCGAGCTAGTATGGATATATAACCACTCAAATCGAAGGCTAGGTGATACAATGGGTTATGCAGGTAGTCGAGCAAAATGGAACATACGCACTGCGGTCGTAATTCGGAGAAGGGTGACATAATGTCCGTTGCAGACCAAAGATTGGCTTGTCCAGGAATTAAATTCATGATGAGAATGGGTAAAATTGTCGGGTCAAGAGAAGTGACGAGAGACACGAGTCGTTTCAAATGCCCTGTCTCCAATGAATGATCGACGGTTCGTAGCCAATCAATAGCCTGCAATGCGGCTGCCGTTCGAGAGGCCTTGGTTTCTGCTAGGGGTAGGAAATATTAGGTAAATAAAATATGTTTTTGTTGAAATTTGGCGAGACTCACGAGTGCCAGTCTTCTCCGCCTCCTCCAACCAATGCTCAACCTTGAGACTGGCGGCATCCATATCCACATTTGGATCGGCAAATTCAAAGGCCAAAGTTCTCCGGATGGTATCCATCTCCCTCTTTACACAACCCTCACTCCATTTTTCACCTAAAGCACTCTCCAATCTCCCAGCAAACGTCTTCAAACAACGTAAATCAGGTGTCTTGCTCGTGAAGTAAAATAGCAGTTTCCTCAAGAACATCAAGATACCAAGAGTGGCAGACGAAGATAGAGACTTGTTGTTCACTTTAGCCTCGAGCTGCTCCACGACGGTCATCAGCAGCGGACTGGGATATGTGTCTAGTCGATTGAGGGTGGTGGATGCGACACCTTCGGCGTTCTCGGGAGTGTGGAAAGAGGCGAGTCCATGAAGTGCCTCAATATAGCGATAGGGCGTCTTCATACACCTCTGGAGGCACTCGTCGAGGAAGGTGGTGACTGAATCCACGTCGTCTGCTCCCGCACCCGAATAACGGCGCGGAAGGGATTTCAACCACAGGGCGGGCTCGTCTGGATCTTCTTGGAAAAGAATACTTTGCGAGAGAACATGCTTCAGGACGTCGCCTAATGCATGTCGGATGGCTGGAGTCGGCGTAGAACAGAAGGCAGATAGGAGAATATGAATAGGAGTGCTCGGTAAAGAGGCTAGATAATGAAGTGCCCATGAACGAGGGGAATACTAATGGTGAGAAGAGGATTCATACCAACTTTTCCAGACCAGACAAACTGCTGGCTATCCCGAAGCAGCCGAAGGACGTGCAACTGCTGGACACGGTATAGCCTCTCCGCCGGACTTTCTTCGATCTTGTCGGCCTCTTGATTGTCGACGTTGTTGTCCAAGGTTGATCTCGACTTTGTAAAAGTACCAAGCAACTTCCCGACTTCAAATCGCGCCTCCAGGACCAGCGCAGGTAAACAGCGATGATAGAGCCACAGCACCCTCTGCGCGCTCTCCGCCAATAAAGAAATTTGAGTCTCGTTTGAGGTGGCGGCCTTGTCATCCTTCAACCCTTGTTGTGCGCCGAACTGGAAGGCCAGCACGACCTGCACTTCCGGTACTCGCCTCCTCACTTCTCGTTCGACCTCCTTCCATCTTTTTGTCCATAAACCTTCAGACGCAGCCCCATCATCCTCATCAAGGGCTATCCTAACTTGATCCCAGGCCTCCTTGACCTTCTCGTACTTCAAGAGACACCGAGCAAGCGCAAGTGCAGTACAGTGTTGCACCAATTTCGAGGGCGACTGCAGGCCTTTGGAAAAGTTGTTCTTTGTCCCAACGGATGGCAAGACGTTCTCTAGGACGGATGAAAGGGGTGGAGGAGATGGGTTGTAGAGGTTTGAAGATGTGGAAGCTGGGAGCAGGAATGATGAAGAGGGTACAGGTAGAGAAATGACATTGCCGAAGAATGCGATATTCGTTATCCATTTTGAGGAGAGGCGCGGTTCAAGGGTTAGGGCGGCAGCAGACCAGTATCTACCAATGAGGTCAGTTCGTGTACGCGAAGAGATGTAAGAATAGGCGGACCCAGAAACTAATTCAGGACTGCCGAGCAATATTTTCAGAGCCAGTTCTTGTTGCCTGGCGTCTTCATTGACTTTTAGCGTCTTAAGAACGTTAGCCAGAATTTTGTTGTATATACTGCCGGTCCTCTTCCTCCCGCCCTCCTGTTCATCCTCCTTTGCACCACCTTCATCCACATGTGCCTCGCGAGGATACCACCCTCGGTCTTTGAAGCATATCCCTACGCCTGCGCGTGTGCATATGGCAAGGAGAAAGTGGTGGACTAGGTCGGCTGGTATGTGCTCTTCGTCTTCATCTTCCGGCTGAGCTCTTTCGTACAATTTGAGTAGCTGTATCTGATTTAGCTTCGAAACTTTGACGGCATGAAAGTAGACACACATGCCCGATCGTCAGCTCGTTGAACACTCCAACTTTAAGCGTTCTTTTGACTTTGTTGTCTGCCCACAGACCGCTCCAGCTGACTTCTAGAACCTTCCTCGCGAGGGAATAGTGATCCTGGTGGAGCCCCTTGAAGACCGCAAGAAATGCATCGCGATGTTGTTCGAGAAAGAGGGTTTTCGTCTGCGCCGGGGTACTTGGAGAAATGAAGGAGAGAAGCAGTAAAACGTATAGTGTTCGGATATCCGGGCGGAGGAGCGGATCTGTACGGTCTTGCGTACCGCTTGTCTTGCGCCTCATGTGCAATAATTTCGGCAGAGACTATCTTCTAGTTAGCCACAACGAAAAAAAGGTATATCTTAAGATACACACCTTGATCTCCCAACCAAACCCCTCCAGAACAGCCTTCCGGTCTCTACCACTTGCGAAATCCGACATGACGTTATATAGCTTCAGCGTAACGATGATAAGTTCGTTGTTCGATCCTCCGATAAACGAGTTCAACTGGCGCAATTTCGCCGGGTTGAGCAGTGTTTTCATGATAGGTTGACCAAGGGAATGATCTGTGTAGTGGGATGAGAGGAGAGACAGAATCGATGATAGGCAAGACAGAACAAGAGATATGAGGGATGCCTGACGCTGCTCACGATTAAGACAAATTTTCAGCTAAAAAAACGGCACATACCGGGCCCGCATTCTCCCAGACCACGAACAGGTCTTGCAAACCTTCCGTCCATTGCTTCGCTAAAACTAGTCGTTCATCCTGTGGTGGAACAGAGGTTTCGTGCGGTTTCAACGCCAACTGGTTGCGCAAAGAGGTGAGAACTGTCGATCACGTTAAAATTTACAGATACGATGGGAGATTACACGAACCTTCCGTCAAGGTGATGGGATTCTCTGAACGGAGTGCGGTTCGCATGTGAGCAGCATCGGTGAATTTTTGCGTTTCCTTTGCATTGGTTTCGTCAAGACGTGGCCTTTTGGAGGGATAATCACGGCCTTTCCGACTGGGTGGCATTTCCTAATAAGAAAGGGGTAATCAGAGTAGCACGGGCCATCACGGACGGGATACATACTGGCCAACGTCGTCGAAGTTGAAGTCAGACTTGTTGGGAGTGCGATCAAAAGCTTGCGACCCTGAGTGCGTCGCATCCGGGGCACCGGAAAATCGGTCGCTTCCGCTTCTCCCATTTGACCATGGTTGAAAGGCAATTTCCGTCCTATTCCGTCATACATTTTCTCTTAAACTCTCTTTGTTATTTTGGTCTTCAACAGGTCTTCACCAAGTCATAAATCCTTTGTGGTGCAGGCTCGGCCAGTGTTATAGTGTTATAAGTCAACTGGACAAACTGAAGCACGCCCAAACGAACTCATCCTCAAACCACCACGACGCCAACCATGCTTGACCACGACGAACTGGACCAAGTAGACCACCCCGAGGATCCCCCCAGCGCCGTTCTGCGACATATCAAGGACCCCATCCATAACTACAGTGAGTCCGCTTACTTCCTTTCAGTCCTCGTGTTGATCCACTGCCCGGTGCAGTCCCCGTTTATCCGCTGCTGTCGCGGTTTATCGACACGTAAGTGGCGGCTTTTCGCGTAGCCGTTAATGTAGCTCACAAAAGACGCGTGCAGAAAGCAGTTTCAACGTCTACGCAACATCAAGCAACTCGGGACCACATGTTATGTCTGGCCAGGAGGGTCGCACACGCGCTTTGAACATTGCCTGGGTGAGTGTTCTCTCCATTGAACACGTTTGCGTTCTTTTCTTGTCATCAAGTGCGATGGCGAGATGATAATCGACAAGTTAGAGAAGTGAAGGGGCGTGACATACGTGGTGAGGACACCCTTACCAGAAGGGGGGACATGAATGCCTTCTATGCAGTTGATGAAGGCCATCGGCGGTGTTTGCAGAAGTCGTGTTGTCTATTTTACGCGTCGTTGGCATGTCGATTTTGCAATTGAACGGCGTTCTTCCAGGGTGCAGAGAACAGTGCACCCTTCCATTACCTTCGCATTTACTACCCAAATCTGGCCTGAGGGCTGCATGCCGTGGATTTATCCGCGATTTTTCTGACTCTATGAGGAATATCAAAACTGTTTGGTTTTCTATCTCTTCTCATTCGATGCTGACAGACCGATGAGTCTAGGTGTCGCGTTCCTTGCACGTCAGATGGCTACCCACCTCCAGAAGAGCCAGCCAAACCTGGAGATCACGGACCGCGACGTTACTTGCGTCGAAATTGCTGGCCTTTGTCACGACCTCGGCCATGGGCCATGGAGCCACGTCTGGGACGGGCTGTTCATTCCCGCTGCCCTGCCTGGCGCCGAATGGAAGCACGAAGACGCATCCGAGATGATGTTCAAGGACATGGTTGAGAAGAACAAGATCCAAATACCAAAGGAAGACCAAGAGTTTGTGATGGCTTTGATTGCGGGGGAGCATTCTCGAGTGTTCGTCTTACTGTCGCTATTTTTAACCTGTCGTGCTGACTAGCCTTCATAGACCACACGAGAAAGCATTTCTCTTCGACATCGTTGCCAACCAGAGGAACGGATTAGACGTGGACAAGTGAGCCTTCTTTCTTTATTTAATGATATCTGAGCTAACACCATGTAGGTTCGACTACATCCATCGCGATTCCCATATGATCGGCGAGCCTATCCACTTGTCTCTCGCCCGTCTCGTGCACTCTGCGCGCGTTCTCGACGATCAAATCTGCTACGACATCAAGGACGCGAATCAGATTTATGAGATCTGCCAGGCGAGGTTCAAGTTGCACAAGATTTTCTATAACCACAAGGCAGCAAAGGCGATCGAATACATGATCATCGACGGTCTGATGGCGGCTCAGCCGTACATGAAGATCGCAGAGCGGATCACGGACCCGAACAAGTTCCTGTATCTGACGGACGACATCATGCTGCGAATCGAATCTTCGGAAGAGCCGGTACGTGTGTCTCGCCTTCTTTACACTCAGGTCATACCGACGTCGTTCTTAGGAGCTTGAGCCTGCTCGTAAAATCTTCGACCGCATACATGAACGGAACCTTTACAAGTGCGTCGACTACAAAGTTATCGACTGGCCCCATCGCGAACTTTTCCGTGCCAACATCACAAAGGCTGCCATCGTGAAGGAGGCGAGGGCGCTCCGTCTTTCTGGAGTGTCGACACCCGTCCTTGAGACGACCCTGGGAGTAGGCATGGAGGATCAAACCGATGTGGACGAGATGCTTGCGACAAGCGCCAGTGCAGAATCGATGATGGTGGACGAGCTGGAGGAGGAGGATGTGATTGTCGACTTCTCGATGATGCATTATGGGAAGAAGGAAAAAAATCCCTTGGATTTTGTTAGGTTTTACTCCAAGAGGAACATGAACCGTAGGCTGCCTCTCTGCTTTATCTTGATCAGGCACTTATTCCTCTTCGCAGAATCGCAGAAAGCGGAACGAGGCGTCTATTCGAACCTCACTCCCCAATACTTTGCCGAGGACCTTCTAAGGGTTTACACGAAGAAACCCCAGTTCTTTGGGCTCGTGCAAGCAGGATACCGCGCTGTCCTCAGGCGCCTGGGTGACGCTGCACCGGGTGAAGAAGGTCGAACCGGACTTGGACTGGACTTGGGCTCCTCCCAAACTGACGTGGCCGCCTCCGCTGATACCGATGTAGAAGGTGACGATTCGGCACAGGACAAGAAAGCTGACACCCATCCTCAGCCTACTCCTCCTGAGACTGAGGCTCCGTCGACCCCTCGAGCGAAGTCGCTCACCCACTCGCGCCAGGGCAGCATGACACTCACCTTGGGCAAACAGGGCATTGTCGGCTCGGTCTCCAACGTGAATGCGACACCGTTCTCGAATAACTGCTTTACAACTGTGCCTCCTAGCTTTGGAGCCCCGCCGAGCCCGACGCGGGCTGGGTCTGTGCGCAGCGTGAAAGGGAGGATGAAGGGTAGGAGTCAGAGTAAAGGTGCTGGGACTGGTGGTTCTTCAGGTAAGAGGAAGCGAGAGGAAGCGATGGACGATGGAGAAGCAGAGGCAAAGAAGAAGAAGTAGGAGGTTGCTTTATCCATGTCACGCCCCCGGGGGGGGGGCGTGCGTTAACACAGGTACATTATTTTCGATATATTGTCTGCTATTGGATCCCTTCATTGCTAATATTGTACATTCGTTTATTATCACCTTTCCATGCTCATGCACACGAAACCTATTCCGCATTCTTTACTTATTGGATTCATACCGTCTTAACCTGTAGCATATTCTTTCGTCCCTTCCTCAAGTTCCGTTACCATCCATTCTATATGAACCGCTGCGCATTATTAACTACGAATACAATCTGTACGAGGTGACTACAACTTCGCGGCAGGAGAGTCAATTGCATTTATATAGACCTTGAAGAGAGGAACAGATTGAGGTCAGCCCCTATCCATTGCTGACAAAGTCTAACGCGACGCGTCAAGCACGTGTCGTCCTCCTTTCCGTCAGTCCGCCACCAGTTTGAACCAGCTCTTTCTAATCAGCCCTCCTTCCTCCTTGGCCGTCAAAAAAATCGCGAAAATACAGTCCATGCCACAGAAGCAACTTGCCTTCGTCTCCTCAACCATCGCTTCTGTGTCCAATCACCTCAAACCTCACAAAGCAGAAGCTGTTCAACGTATACGCACCAATGGATTGTGCCTCATAGCAACATTGATTCTATCGTATCTTTTACCTCTACCCTCGGTTCCCTCCGCTGTACGAGCCATACTGTCTGTGAGCCACTATCAGCGTTGGTCGGCGGAGTGGGTTTGGGAATGGTTGTGTTTACTCGGTGCGTTCACTACTTTGTAACCGTTCTGCGTGATCTGACGAGCTTCTTGGTTAATCAGAGGTCGGAATGATAAGTTTGCTTGCATATAACATGCTTGAAGCAGCGTATGCCCTCAAATATCCGCGCAAACCGCTACCACCTGTCACCTCACCTGCAAAGCCCAAGACACCAGCCACACCCTTGTCGACGCCACAAAGATCCTTCAAAGTACTTTCACCAAACGTACGTTCGTAAAATGGCTCCTCAGACTCGTTTTTCATTCTCCAACCGTAGACAAGCCCGCAAGTGCAAAAGCCTTTTGCATTCACACCCGGAGCCTCGACGTCGCTCACCTCCGCGTCGATAGCACTTTCAAGTTCTGGTGCAAATAAACCTTATGTTCAGTCGCCGGTTTCAACGCCTTCGCGAATCCTCAATTACACCCTGCCACCTTCGGCATCTACAAACACGCAAGCGTCCTCAACCTCAGATTACCTTTCCACACCGAGCCCCGTAATTTCTGCATATAGAGGGAGGCATTCTGGTACTGATGTTGGACGTAAGTCCCTTGTTTTACTTGTTTCTTGGAGAGATTGACATTCTTGGTTTTTAGGCGCATTGGATGGCTCATACTTGTCAAGGATCGCCGCCAACGAAGATGAAGAAAATTGAATAATGAGTATCTTATGACCACGTGTATCGCGTCCTGCTACGGCGAACGCCTATTTTTAATGGACACAAGTCTGCACCTTCATGAGCGTTGAACCTTTGAGCGATTACAAACGTGACTGCTTCCAAATTCTGATTCTTGAATAGGGTGTGAAAACAACCTGAACCAATTCATCAAAGGTAGTTCACAGTCGATAATCATCAGCCTCTGCGATTGTATTTCTACCAAAAGTCTGAAGTGCAATGGTGGAAGGTCACGGTGGTTGAAAGGTGCGCTTACGTAATAAATTGCACACAGCTTCAAGCAGTGCAGTGTGCACCAACCCCAGACCTGTCTTCCAAATCCAAGGCGTTCGCGACCATCTTAGTTCGTCCGTGGCCCACCAGAGTCTCCTAGAAGCCTTAGCTTCTTCTAATTAAGGGATTCAAGCTCTCTTACTTTCATTCTAACCCGCGGAGCAGGGTCGATTCTCGAACATCGCATTCGCAGAGGCCTACTTATCTGGCACCTTCTTCACTCTCATTCTTTGTCCTTTCTTATTTCAAGCCATGCAAACGGACGCTAGACGGACCCAGCGACAAGATACTTTTGATTTGCGAGAGCAAATCCACCCCGACGATGGACAGCACCTCCAGGCTCATGCGGACGCCACCATGACTTACGGGGCAGACGAGGAGGAACATTCGATCCTTGAAGATGACTCGGAGGCGGAGGAAGCAGAGGAGATCTACGAGGACGACGACATGTCATCTACGCTGTCGATTCCAAATGAATCCATCGACTTCGACATGGTGTACGCACTGCACAGTTTTGCCGCCACGGTGGAAGGACAGGCGAACGTGGTTAAGGGCGACAGCTTGTTCTTGATGGACGACAGCAACAGCTACTGGTGGCTTGTCCGTGTCCTGAAGACACAAGAAGTCGGCTATATTCCTGCTGAAAACATCGAAACGCCTTTCGAGCGCCTAGCGCGTCTAAACAAGCACAGGAATGTCGATGTATGTGTTTTTCTATATTTCTTGCTCTACATGCTATTTACATTGTTCCTTAGCTTGCTGCACCTACTCAAACCGAACAGCAAGAAGGTTTGGCTCCTCGCGTCAATCCCATTCGTCAGACGCCATCTCCGGGCCGCACGACTAGTCGCTCTAATCAAAGGAAGAGCATCCATTTCAACTCAGTACGCTCCCACCACCGTTATGTTCCGGCCCTTCGCGAAGGAGAGGTTGAGGATGAAGACGACGAATGGGACGTTGAGGGCTTCGAGGACGAGGATATAGAATTGGCCAACGAACAGTACATGCAGAGCATGGACGAAGATGACATTGCCGCCATGGATGCCGACGACGGGATGATGTGGGATGATTCGGTTGAAGGGAGACAGATGCAAGGCGTTCCAATTCCCGACGCCCTTTTGCCAGGCTCTCTTCGCGAACAACAGCAGCAGCAGATGCTCCGAGCGGCACAGCAGCAACAGGTTCAACAACAACAGCAAGAACTGCAGCTTCAAGCTCAACAGCAGCAGCAGCAGCAAATAATCGCACAGCAACAGGCAGCTGCTCAGCAACAAGCCGCTCAACAAGCGCAGCCGCAGCAGGAGGCAGCCGCTACGCCGGACCTGGGAGAGAAGTCCGCTCAGGACGCACCCGTGCAGATACAGCGTCGAATCGACCCCGCCGAAGTGACCGAAACCCGCAAAATGACCGTCACGCCTACTATTGCCCGCGAATATGATGATCGGCCAGCCGGTCAGCCTTACCTTCCGAGTGCCATTGTGGACGACGAGAAGTCAAAGAGGGCCCGCGAAGATGACTCCTCAGACGATTCGGCTAAAAAGAAAGCGAAAGGCAAGGACAAGATGCCGGCGCCAGTTAGCTCCGCCACCTATAACAAGCCTCAGCCAGCGAAGCTCCGTAAGGATCCAGGAAGAGGTAATGGGAGTGATACCACTGATGACGAGGGCAAGGACAAGAAGAAGAAAAGTTCGGTATTTGGTGGCCTGTTTGGACGAGGCAAGAAGGAGAAGAGCAAAGATAAAACCACTTCCGCCGGTTCTGTGGAGACTAGCGAATACGGGAGCCGTGGGTCAGAAGATTCAAGCCGATCAGGTCACCGGCCATCGCCCTCAGATGGCGCTGTCTCGCCTACCACATCCGCTGCCCAGCAACAGCAGCAGGCGATTAGTGTTATAAATCGTGCTGTATCTGAGGACCAGCCGCCTCCTTCCACACCTGAACGCTCCAATACGCCTCAAGTCTCCCAGCACGCCTCCCAGCTTCGCCAGCGCGACCAGCAACAGCAAGCTTTGTACCAGCAGTATCTTAATCGCTCTCCCTCATCTCCCCCTGAGGCGCAGCCTTCATATGGATTGCAGTCCGCTTCCGCTGTCAATCTCAGCTCTCCTAGTAACTCAGCACTGGGTCCACCTAGCTCGCGCCCTCGTCCAGGATCGTTGATTCTTACTAGCCCATCGTCGAATGATGGCCAAGCCAACTTGAGTGTCATCCGTGTCTTTGCTGGCAAGCACTTACAGACTGAGGCCACTTTCAAGACCGTTCTGTTGAATTCCTCCACAACGGCGTCTGATCTTGTCCGGCAAGCCATTCAGCGCTTCAGGCTTCCTTCCGCAGAGGATGAGAATGATTACTTCCTCACTGTCAAGCAGGTCGAAGGGGGTGCATTCACTGTTCTTCAGCCAGGCGAACATCCGCTGGTGGTGTTTGAGGCGCTCGTCAACGAAGCCCTGGAGCTCCCTAAGGTCAAGAGGAGTAGCGTGGGCAGCATCAGCTCCATCTCGAGCAACCTTTCGATGCACCCTGCCATTAAGAAGCTCCCGATGAACGACTTCTCAGACGATTCGGCTGTCAAGTTTTATTTGAACAGGAAAGGCGAGGACAGCATCGACGAGAGCCTGAATGGACATGATGCTGATACGACACTCACTGCGGACACGTCCATTAGCGCGAGCGAGTCGTCTGGCGAGCTTCAGACGAGCAGGTCTAACCAATATCTTAGTGTGGTTACGGCAGGAGCCAACGTTACACCGGAAAGGTTCACATCACCCTCGATTCGGTTCGCGTTGCAGGTGGTGATATATGCGGACGATCTTCCGGACGACATGCAGTTCCATCCGTCCACTGAAGCTATCGTGGCCAAGAGCTCACTTTCAGACCCATATGCGCCGATACTCATCTCGCCGAATTTGCGGCGGAAGATCTTCATGTTCCCCAAGAACGTTACTGTTGCAGAGGTCACCGAAATCAGCCTGGAAAGATTCGGTATCCAGGATGGGGTTGTGGATGGGGGTGACGAGGTTGAGGATAAGACCACCAAGCGGAGGAGTGGTGTGAGGGTTAGATACGGGTTGATGTCTAGCATGGATGGTCATGGTACGTTTTCACGCCATCCCGCTATTTGATTGCCTGCCTTAACGAGCACCTTCGATGTAGAAAAAGAATTGTCACCTTCAAGCAAGGTTATTGATGCCTACCCTCGCCCTCCTCAATACAGAACTCCGGATCGCCAGACAAATGGTAACAAACGGCGTTCTCTAGATCCTTCCCAACTTTACGGTGCTATAGACGACGTCCGCCCAGACGATCCTGTCTTTGTCCTCCGTCGAGCCACTTCTTATCGAAATTCGACTTCTCGCCGTCGCTTCTCCGCTCCATTGGATGAGATCGCGCTGCAGCATATGCACCGCGAGTCTTCTTCTAGTTTCAATTCCGAAACACCGTTGGAAGAGAATAAAGTCAAGCAACCTTCAAGGCAAGAGATCATCGCTGCACAACGGGCTGCAACACGTGCAACTCAACGTGCGATGGTCTCTGCTCAGGCGAATTCTGTACGCGGAATGGACGTCCGTCTTCCTGATAACGCTCTGCTTCGCAGCTCGCGGTACGAATCCGGCGACAGGATGCGCTATTCGTATGTTGAACCGGACGGCGAGACGTACGACATCAGCGACATCATCGAGGAGGAGTGGCGAGGCATGAACACAAACAAAACTGACATCCTCAGAGGCGTTTTTATCCAAAACAAAGACGGCATTGACGAAAAACTCGATCGTGTCCTTAATAAGATCAGAAAAGGTAAAGGAAAGGAGAGGGACTACGCCTCGATGTCCAGCAGGGATAGTCGCCAGCTATCCACCCACTCTGCATCTGCGTCAGAATATTCTGGTGACGAAGCGGAGGGTCGATCAGGGTCGGTTACGCCTGGCTCTGCTGCTCTGAACTCGAAGATGGCGGATGCTCGCGCTACGCCGATCAATGCCACACCGCAGGAGAGGAGTTCGCGTCCGGGCACGACTACACCTACAGCAGCTATGAGGGCCAGCCCCCAGCCCACTGCTGGCAGTCGTCGCAATCCTTCCATCGCATCCATTATGTCTGATTACTCGGACCGTGGCGGAACCCCTCCGGCCCAATCACAGGCGACGAATCTTTCTCGTGTTGAGGAAGAAGGGGCTCGCGAAGCAGCCAAGAATGCCAAACCCCAGTTCGTCCTACCTAAGGATAATTTCGGCTTTGATCAAATGCTAGCGGTCATTGAATACAAGGCACTCGCCAGCGAGCCCAAGAAGAAACCCACTCGACCCTTGGATCCTGTTGATGAGCTGTTGTTCGGGGCACCAATTGACTTGGACTCCTTACATCCTTCAATTAGGGAGATCTATGCTCCAGGATTCAGGCAACTCGAGGAGATGGACAAGGTTTGTTGTAAATTGACTTCCTTCGCCTTGGTGCTAAATTTATTCTACTTAGATTCTTGATGGGTACATTGGACGATCCGTTGTCGGTGCCTTCTAAACATTGAACTCATGTTGGATTTTATTCTATTTTGACGCAAGCCCTTGTCTCTCTTTCACTCTCTTCCATTTCTTGTCAACATATTTATCTGCTCTGGTCTGTCTCGCCGATTCCTTGTACAAGCTTTTGTCTTTATACCCAGCTAACGAAAACTAGATGTATGACTTCTTTTATTTGAAAACGGCTGGTTCAAGGTTGTCGTTACCTCCTTCTCATATAATACTCGTTATTATCAGCGCCTTTATCTATTGAGGTACAAGTTATGTAAACCTTCAGACCTTCAGCTTCAGGAGCAATTGCAGGCATCAGGGCCTGCCAAGGAACATGCTAAGTAATTCGGATGGCCCTTCTAACTTGTGTAATCTCCGTCTCTGTTCCTTGTCAAATCACCATCACCTCACTTTCAAAGCACCTCTAGATATCGCCGACAACCCTTAATCTCATCGATCGTCTCCAGTTGAAGTCTAAGATTTGACACATGTAGTCCGCCCAACATGGCTCCAGGCTCTCCTTCCAACTATGTGGCAACAACCAACCCCAGAGGCCGACGTGTTCATAGAACGCGTAAACGCCTTACCAAACGAACCTGGCGTCTCTCTCGACCATGCTTCGAAACCCTCTCTGGTCGAGGAAGAGGAATTGAGGAGGCTCTTCGCGACTGACCCCAGAACACCGCCAACCCTAACGTTGGGCTCATCGATCTTTTCAACCGACCGGCCTCTATTAGAACGGCAAGGCCCCGAGTTGTCAGGGATCCTGAAGACCTCAGCGCAAAATATATACTTCCCGTTTCTGAGGCGAAGAGGAGGAAGGAAGCAGAAGTCGATCAGTGCAGACATCAAGTCCGCAAGAGAAAAGGTGGAGGCAGAGAGTGAGAAGTCGAAGAGGGAGGACGGTGGTTTGGAGGACGGAAACGACGATAGCGAACGAAAGGAATTGGAACGTTCTATGGTCGGGGTTGCTGGATACATCGATTTCGATGATTAGGATGCTGTGGAGGTTCCTTGATGTCTTCCTGTCGGATCGCACAATATCCACTCTTATTTCCAACCCAAGCGACAACAGATATCGCTAATTCAGGACGACTTCCATTTCATTAAGTGATGAGTTATTTGTTGACGAAGTGAACACGTCTGCCCCAGCAGCCAATGAGTCGATCAACAATGCCAGACGCGAGGTTCCAAGGTTAGGTTCCTTCAAAAATAATAAAATAAAATAAGTAAAAATGTCGTGGTATAGGCACAGATAAACGCGCCTTGCGAATCGTCTCCAGATCGTCTCTGAAACTATCTGCCACAGATGCCATCCAAAATTGCCGGAATTTATCCTTCAGCTCCTGTTCCTGCAACTTAGATCCTTCCGTCGCGTCCTTGGAGGGCAAAAACGATGGTAGCTCTACCGGAGGTGGTGAGGGGGAAGGAGACAGTCTGCGAACAGATTTTGGAGCGATGTCCTTGTCTTCTTGTCTCCCTCGCGGAACAGCATTTGTGGTCATTTCCTCTTCATCTGAAGAGCTTGAATCCGAGGATTCTGATGACGAACATGAAGACGAAGAAGAGGATTCTTGCGGGATTTGAGCTATTGGTGCAATTTTCTTGGCCGGGACATCATCGTCGCTGGAATTGGACGAGTCAGAGGATGACGACGATGAACTGGACGATGCAGCTCTTCTTTTTCTCTTTCTGTTGCGCTTTCTGGGAGCTGGGGGTTTTGTTGCAGCTGCCGGCATGACGGTTAGAAGGAACGACTGCAAAGAAAATTCGAAGTGAGGAAAAATCAGATCACGTGTAACAGATTTCCTATTTTGGTCGCAGTGTAGGCGAAGATCATGAAAACGCGCCACAAAACTTGTGCGGGTATCTTGGGGTATCAATTCCTGAGTATCTAGTTACAGTGATAGCTTTCAAAGCCGTCTTTCTCGTGTTGCAGTTTTAATTCCGGCGTGATTCCCTGAATCTAGAACGAAAGTGTCTGACCAGCACCGGCGGCGACAGCCGACTTCACTTGAGCGACAGAAGAGAGGGCGTAAGAGTAAGGAGCAGAGGTGAAGGAGCCATTCGGAGCAGAGTTGGTCGCCCCTCCGAGATCATTGCCATGGGCTACAGCGAATCCGCCGTCTGTGGAAAAGATAGGTTTCTTCGTGCTCGCGAAAACGTTGTTCTCAACAAGGAGCTGAGCGCCTAATATTCAATACGAGATCTTTAGTGACCGGTGGCATAAACAAGAGGTGGACCTTACCAAGTCTTGTGTTAATACCGTCGTTAGGGTTTTGGAAGAGGTTGTTAAAGATGTGGCCGCGGCCGAAGCGGAAGGAAGGCAAGCGCGAGTTGAGGTTGACAAATTGGTTATTGGCATATGTCACGGTTATCTTGGTGTCCTCCGCCTTGTTATTATCGGAGTGTCCGACGAGGGACGCCTTGAAATGGTCGTGGAGCTTGCTCCAAGAAACCGTGAAGCCGTGCGTGATGTCCAGGAGACCATCGTAACTAACAAGATAAGATCCCGGGTCATGTGGATCCGGAGAGAAGACCACTTACAAGTCTTTGTCGTGGTCACGATCGCTGGACAAGTCCAGGTGGTCAAGCCAGACCCTGCTTGATTTCTGGATGGCGATAGCATCACCAATAGAAGCCAGGACTTTGGAGACTTTCACGTTGCGGATGATGACATTGGATGCATCCTTCACGCGCAGTCCGACTCCAACAAGGGCTACCAGGTTTTTTAGCAGACGAACGAGAAAGGCATTATTCCCGCTACTCACAGGAGCCTTTTTTTCCAAGAACAGAGGTGTTACTTCCGACACTCACAACAGCATTACCAGTAATTGTGCCTAGATAACATGTGGAATCCAGAGCCAAGTCATCAAGTGATTCAGGTTAATATTATTCAGACGCTATGAAGCAGATGCCCGATCACGATCTTCTTGGAATTGCCTTTAACCGCAGCAGTCAAGGCCCCGAGAGTGGAAACGGTAGTCGTAGTCCCGCCTACGCCACCTGTAGTGCTGCCGTTTCAGAGGAAGAGAAATTAACATGCAGCGGTAGGTATTGACATGCAGGGGCGTCTCGTACCCGCCGTTCAAAGTCGCAAAACCAATGTCTGCAGCATCGGTCGTGGACGCCCTTTTCTCAAGCCCCGCAGGAGCAGCCTGGGGAGGAATATAAACGTTAGGAAAATATCAGGTCCCAGAACAAGAAGAACGCACGAAAACGACTTGGAACACAACGGCGAAAGAAAAGAGAGACAGAAGCCACTGCATGGCTAGTTGGAAATATCCGGAGAGTAAAAGAGCGACGGTAATTGAAATGTTAATCCTCCAACCATTTCACCCAGCGCTTTTATATATGCAGGCGCACATGAGCGCCGGGATTGAGCCAGAGCTTTTTCTCGCGGGCCGGCACCACCAGACAAGAGAGCTCCCCACAATTTCTGCCGACCCAACCGAAAATCCTCGAAGGTCGAGCACGCGTCACTATCCCCAACGAATCGCGGCAAGAACAGTTGGTTGCATTGCCCAAGCATCGCGTGCACGAGGTTCCGTTGCATAAGCGCCTGCGTCTGCGCAGGGGCCCCTCCTTTTCATGGTGTAGATGTTGACATCCCGTCAAATGGCCGACTCTCGTCCGAGGGACGATCAGTCTAGGCAGGGTCAGGTGAGTCTGTTCGAAGTCTAAAACCCAAATGGTTGCAGATGACTTCATCATAATAAGTTAACGAAGGCGTTGCCTGACAATCTTTGTTAATTATAACGTCAAGTTTCTGTAAAATCGCAGAATTTCAGACGGTTGAAGTAAGACCGAAAATGAGTTGCATACTTTCTACCTCTACTGTCAGCAGTCCTTGAAGCGAAAGGAATTTTCGAATTCCTTGAGCCGAGAGTGGGTGAAAGGGAGTTATAGGTCGATTGGTAAAACTCAGATCCAGATCTGAGATGATCGTTGCCTTATTCAGCGTCCGGCTCGCCACAGACTCACCAGACCGACGAGTGAACATAGGGAGACCCAGGTCACCTCTGCCTCTGTAAATATAGCTATTTCATCACGGCTACCGCCTTTTGAACTACTAATTGTAAGCCTGTATTAGTATCTTATCTAATCTTAAAACTTTACCTGGCAACTCTGCGATTTGTCTGCGATGCAGAGTTTTGCCGGAATGCCATAAATCTGTGTCGTTATACCTTCAAAGACATGGCCCCGCTGGTGAACTGGTGACAACATGGTCCTACTGAGGGCCAGACTGTAGGTGTAGACTTTGATTAGACGTAGATTAGATTATTGCTACTCGAGAATTCAGAATGTATCTGTTATGTTTCTCCTGCTGCTCTAGAGTATTATCATCCGAAAACACGAGTCTGTTCAACATCGTGGAGCAAAGCCTGCAAATACCGACAATGATCTCCTTGACTCTGGCACAAACGAGGCTCGATGGCAGCTTACCACCTCATATAAAGCTTTTCAGGTTCTTGAAGAATGTCAGATGCAACTCTCCCAGACCACCATCTTGAAAGAAACATCCGAGCGTCCATAGAAACCTACTCATCGATATATTGAACTGTTATACTTAAGTACATTTATGTAAATAGAAAATGCGAAATGGAACCTGGCTACATCGCAAAAGAGAGGGAGGAGCGAGCCTGTCACCCTCACGAAATTCTGTGAACTGCACCGATGTCATCCGTGTGCCATATTTACTCGGGTCTCCGAGACGAGGTCTCGGACGACCGTGGCCTTCGTGATTGCTGAAGTCGAGGCACCGACGTCCTCGCCGAGCTTCGCCCATCTCTCCAACATCCTCCATTCACCTTAGTGCTAGAACCGAGGGGTTGTAGCACAACAGCAGTGGGCAACGTCCATCGCAATGGCCACGAGAGGTCAGCACGGTCGTCTTTGATGACTCGAGGAGTGCACGAGAGCCTTACCGTGTGCACCGATGCCCCACTGTATGTCGTCTCCTGGGGCAACAACGGCTGCGAGAACGAGGATCTCCCCTAGACGCCGCCAACACGATTGCGAGCGTGGAGGCGACAGCACGAACACGGGCAGGTGCTGGTCTTGGTCGTCCTGGATCAGTTTACGGTCGGGCTCCGTGGCAAGGAGAGAGACAACACGTACCGCCCTTGTTCATGTTCACCTTCTAGGTGAAGAGACGGAAGGATTTGGGTAAGTATATGGGTTCATATATATAGCATTCGAAAGTGAATGCTTACCGCGTCTCCAGATGCTATGGCGTCTGCGTCTTGTGATTGCGACTGACGGCGCCACGATACCAGGGATGGAGCACGAACACGGATAGGACATCCTGCGTTTCCCCCTGGAGCTCGGCGAGGGCATCGCGGTCTCCAAGGACCTCCGTTTGTGCAAATTCAGTCGTGTCGTGGCCCTCAGTGTGCCGAGAGACACAGGAGGACCAGTACACTTCATCCACACCCTTGTAGATGGGAGCAGTGCTAAACATTGTTCTTGTGAACGGCTGAACCGTGTCGAGGATTGGAGCTTGGAGCTGAGAGGGTCGCGCTGTATGCCACGGAGTCTGAGAGGGTCAGATTCGGTCCGGGGAGTCCATAGGCTGTAAACACGCTAGAAGATGCTAGCAGCTGGGGCAGCTGGCTTGAATCTAAGGATGGTTATGGCGACAGATTTCCGACTGCAGAGGTCCCTCAGCGAGTCTCTGGAGTCGGTGAGTGTAGCCTCGACATTGTGAGGAGACGACGACTTACATGTAGTTGGCCCAGCTGAAGCTACGCCCACATACGCCTACATCACTGCTAGCTTGTATGGCACACCGCCTACGAGGGCATTCATGAGGTGGTTATATCAGTCGCGTACAAGAACAATAGAGCGCCAGCTATCCGCTCAGCTGAACGCGTAGCTCGGCGAAAGGTAGGCGTCCTGTAGTGCACTGGTGCTTGTACACGAACACGACATGTTGAGTTACGCGTCAAGAGCAGGAGTGGCTTGGGTCCTGGGTGTGAGAATGTGCGCGGAATCAGCCGTGATCTCAGATCCCGAATCTGAGTTTTACCAATCGACGCATCACTGGGTGAAAGGTGGGTGAACATCACGGCACATTGATCGACAGACCTCCGATATAACGCACTTCGTATGTGTACAGTCCGTTTCGGCTCGGAGTTTCCTGCAAATCATATAGTGAGTACACGGCCAGGGATTGCTCCTCGAAGCAAGGCTCGAAGAATAATACTTACTGAAAGTCCGTCTAAATGAACAGGCTATCCGGATTACTTTCGTCGTTTGGGGCAAGTTATCGTGGGAAAGCTATCTTGCCGACAGAGACAACCAGGAGACAACTTAGGAAATGTTGAACAGTTCACAACCTCCACCTCCTTCGGCGTCTCGTACGTCTAGAATGCCGAGGAAGAATGATTTTCACTTCTTGGACTGCCCATGTAAATGTCTCAAAGTAAAGGATGCACTCGAAGCGACACTGCAAAATAAGCTTAGGGCTCAGAAAATCACCGCGATACCTCGTTCCTTCCTTGTTCCCGATCGTTTGAGCCCTGCTGGAGCTTCACTTACTGTCTCCTACACGGAATTTTGTGGTGCAGGACCGCCTACGGCTGTGAGACCCCTCGGAAATCCTGGTGACATCTATATCGACGAAAATGAAGGATCGCTAAAGCTTTACTGTAAAGCTTCCTTTACAACGTGGAAGGAGTGGTGCTGCTCCGGACCATCTGGAGTGAGCGAAGGTATACGGCATCCGACGTTTTCAGATTATATGCTACAGTGTGGCATTGGGACTGCTGCGGTAGTAGAAGGGGCACCTCAATATGTGGTCCAGCAAAATAGGTCTTCAGGTGAGGCTTGTTCCACTGAATCTTTAAACGCGACTGAATCTCGTGCAGTGAAACGGCCTTCAAGAGAGAATACTGCGGGTGTGCTAAATACACGCTCTAGAAGAGCGATTTTGGCTCCCACTGCGAAGAAGAGGCCACAACAATACTCTTCAGAAAGCTCAAAGAGACGCAAGCTGGTAGATGCTCCGAGCCAGCCACCTGTCCAGTTTAACCTCTCCAGATCCAGTTCCGTTTCTCATCATATCGTTGCAAATACTACACCTGAGCCTCACAATTTACCCTCACAATTTCCTACCTCGCCCACGATTTCCGGACATGCTCCGCTAAAGATAATCATGCATAAACTATGCCCAAGCTTGCCGTCTATTGCTCATAGCTCTGGAATCTCTACTGGTGGACCACAAAATCCAACATTGCATCCAGTAGGTGTACCTTCTTCCTGTGAAATTTCTATCATTCCACCAACCCTGTCGCACAGACCATATCCAAGTCGACACCATTATTAAGTATTCCCTCGCCTACACAAGTTCTCCCGGCAGCCCCTCAAATTCTAAGAAAACCCACCATTCAACCCCTTCAAGTCACCGGTCCGCCGCCTCACGGCGGCACACTCATAAACTTCGATGGCAAGCCCTACCTTCATCATCATGATTTTTTTCATGCGCATCATGCTTATACTCAGCCGTGTCCAGAACCTCCAAGAGGACTGATTCCAGCTGACTACCCTGCTTCTCTTCATGAAGAACCAACGAGATATTCTCTACCTTTAAATGCTTTAGAGAAACAAGTAGAGAGCCGATCTGCAGAGACGCTGCAAGTCGACGTATCGTCAGTATATCGTGGTCAAGATGGTTTCAATGCTGATAAGCAAGCAACTGAAAGTCACATCTCTGAAGGGAGACCCGAGCCGCCTCTTCAAGATGTTACTAACTCAGCAGAATACTGCTGCGATCCTTCATCTTCGAGAGCAGACGGCCCTTCTTGTCGAGGAAGTGCTTCATTAACTCAGCTACATACTGAAAGGTGCTTTCGCTGTCGATCACGAACAACAAATAGCATATACTCACGTTTCTCACTAGTGGTCAAGATGTAGTCCTCGAAGGCATAACATCGACGCTGTCTCAGCCTCCGGCCACTCCCTTGATCCGGAAAACAATCAAGGAATGTCAACTCGTCGCTCCGAAGGATGACAATAATGCAACCACCGCACCACTTGACGACTCTCGTCCGGCAAGCCACACCGTTAATCCGAGTTCAAAACCGCCAACTGCATACAAGTTAGCTAAGGTTAAGGGCGTGGTGGTGCAGACTGCTCTGCTAGAAAATGGACCTCATGTGGAGGGTATGAGCTTGGGCGACAACACCGAAGCAGCTCAGATCTCGAGTTCCGATTGTCCAGATGAGGCGATTGCTCAGGATACTGGATATGCTGTGCGATCCGGTTCTACTCCTGCGTTGGCTATGGCAGTCAACGTCTCTCCGGTTGCAGACAACCCTGTCTCGGCTGAAAGGTTTTTGTTTTCTCAAATTGATCCCAGGTGGCCTCTGACTGAAGTGCTGCTTTACCTCAGTCGCAATTCATCAACGCCATGTACAGACACATTGGACCCAGAACCAGACCAATCTTGTACAACATCGATCGTAAACCCGGAGACAACTAACAGCTGCCAACATGTCGCTTTTACGAAAGATGAAGCAGCAGTGGAACATCCCACTTTCCCCGCACCACCAGTCAATCAAATGCACGTAGAAATCATGTTCGTTCAGATGGATTTGAAATTGGCATGCAGACTATGCCTGTATGTCTTTCATTTTCTCAAGTGGCATCTTTTCCAAGTGCAGCGCTGAATCGGAATCATATCGCAGAGTTGCAGAAGGAGCGTGCACGACAAAGTTCCCAGCCGGCACCTTGTTCGACGACCTCGTAACTCATTGTGAACAGGCGCATTCGGAATTTTTAAACGACCTTCTCGGGCTTGATCCTGGCCAGCTGGCACTGATTAAGAGTCAAATGGACGAATCTATGCTATAAATACTCAGGCACTTTCTGGTCTATGCATATGATATATGACTTGACCTGAAAGGTGACTTGGCCAATGGGCTCTACAACTACCATCGGCGCGGCGGCTGCAGACAGCTGCAGACCTATGTATCAGGATTACTCTCGGTGATGACTCAAGTTGATCCGCTCTATAGTCGAGGTGGCGCAAGAGTGGCGCATATACTTTCATCAATGTTCCCGTTCCTGATCGTTCCTGGCGGATTGGACCTCAACTTGAAAAGTGTTCCTTATATTGCACAACCCCTCCCCAAGCATGAAACGGAATCACAAATTCTTCATTCATTTTACAGACCAACGTCATACTATTTCAGAAAGAGTGTCTACACTCGAATCGCCTAGAAGGACAAGGTCTGACCGGCCCCCGAAACGACGGAGGACCTTACACTGCCAACAGCGGTGAGGCTGTAAGAGTATGGCGCGGAGGTGAAGGTGCCGGCGGGGGCCGTGTTGGCGACACCACCAAAGTCGTTACCACGAGCTACAGCGTAACCACCGTCGGTCGAATAGAGGGGCTTTTTGGCGTTACTGAAGACATTGTTCTCGACGAGGAGTTGTGCACCTGTCATCGAACATATCAAGGATATTGTCGGAAAGAAGAAGATTTAAGTCGTACCAGCGCGGGTGTTGATTCCATCGCCGATATTGTCGAAGACGTTGTTGAAGATGTGGCCACGGCCAAAGCGGAACGACGGTGTGCGCGAATTGATGTTGGAAAAGTAGTTGTAGGCGTAGGTAACGGTGATCTTGGTGTCCTCGGATCCGTTGCTGTCAGAGTGGCCAACGAGAGAACCTTTCCAATGGTTGGAGAGCTTGTTCCAGGTGACAGTGATTTCGGTGACGCCGTGGGTGAGATCGAGAAGACCGTCGTAGCTGGTAAATAGTTTGTCAGTCAAGAACAAGAAAATGACAGCGTCAGGTGCTTACTAGTCCTTGTCGTGGTCTCTGTCGCTGGAGAGGTCAAGGTGGTCGAGCCAGACCTTGTTCGAGTTCTGAACGCCAATCGCATCGCCAGCATCAGCCAAAACCTTGGAGATCTTGAGGTTGCGGATGATGACGTTCGACGAGTCCAGGACGCGCAGGCCAACACCGACGAGAGCTGTACAAAAGCCGGAGCCTGTCTTGACTATCTGGGAACATCAAAGGGCAAGAACCGACGTACAAGCTCCTGATTTCCCGAGAACGGACGTGTTGCTTCCAACCTTTACGACGGTGTTGCCTGTGATTGTCCCTGTTATGGGTTTAGAGCATGGACTGGCTGATGTGCAACAATGGAGGGTGGACGAACCAGAGACGATGACGATTTTTTTGGAGGTGCCACTGACTGCAGCAGTCAAGGCAGCAAGGGAGGAGACTGTGGTGGTGGTCCCGCCCGCGCCGCCAGTGGTTCTGAAATTCAAGGATCAAGAGTTAGAACTGCAAAAAAATGAATGGGATAATTCACTTGCCCGCCGTTCAAAGTCGCGTAACCGAGGTTGGCAACATCGGACGGTGACGCCCTTTTGACGAGCTCAGGCGCGCCCTACATGGTCGAAATGCAACCCTTAGTTACCCGCCCAAGTGTAGAAAGAAGAGGTGACTTACAGAGACGATCTGGATAGCAGCGAAAGCGACGAGAGAAACGAGCCACTTCATCGTTGTGCTTGTTGGACCGGGTTAGAGAATTACTCTGACCTCCCAACAACCCATTCAGCAGGCCTTTATACCCCACATCGTCTGAGAGACGGAGAAACTCTACGGGAAATGCTACCACCTTCTCACCAAGAGTTTTGCGCCCGAGCCCAGCTCATGGCCTCCCAACGGACCGCCGGGAAAACGCAAAGATGTTAGCATTCTCCTTCTTATGATTCAAGCGAGCACCTTGCCTGGTTAAGACTACCGAGTTCTGGAGCATTGTATCACGTTTGAGGTATATGAGGGAGGTGGCATGGTCAGCCAACAGAACATGGCCTGAAGTGGGTTGCGAAGAAGCGGGCCGCCACACGGTTCTGCGCGTAAAATTAGAGGTTGTTTCCGCTTGGCGTGCCAACCTGAGCCAAAAGCAAAAGACTCAATCGGCATTGATCAAGGAAGCACGTCCGTTGAGACAGACAAGAATAGTTTGACACGGGGTTTGAGCTTAATCCTCTCCGAACCCTCAGGATTGAAAAAGATAGCTGAAAAAAAAATAGCAGCGAAAATAAGACATGTGCTAGAACCGTTACGTACTTTTTCTTCATGCGAAAGTGGGCATACGAGGAAGCAGCATCCACCAGAATGACCGCGGAAGAACCAATAGCACCCGCTCGTTCTATTAAGTCACTCGCCACTTCCTCTCTAGACAGGCTGTGGAGTGGTGTGTACACCTCCTTCGCGTTTGACTTTCAAGGAGAGACAGCAATTTTCCGAAGACCGGGCCGCAAGGAGTACGCTAGAATTTCACCATGCCTTCAAAGGCTGGATGCAAAGTTCGGACGATTGTTCAAACGCCCAAGCGTCGGGAGTCGAGCACGCAACGAAAACATCGGAAAAATGATATCAATAGGACATGCAAGACCACCCGTTTCGGTCACCTGTTCGTTCAGTTGGACCTCCATGCTACGTCGGAACTCGGTGTAGAGCGCGAGTCTGCACCCCTTCCTTCGTCTTCTGTGGCGTGCCTGCAGCCTACTGGAAGCTGGGTGATTCCGGTGACCTGGGTTTCTCCCGTGCGGGGTGACCATGGCAAAGTTAAACGTAGGAATATACAATCGGTGCGGTATTCTAAAATCAATTCTTTTGGGCTGGCTCCTAGGTCAGTTGCTCGTCACCCGACCCAACAGACAGACATACCCACACGGCAATTGAGTGAAGAATGTCGTCTTGACGATCTCGATTTTGCTCATGTTCGTTTCACTTGATAATTCTCCCAGCCGACCTCCTTCAGTTTTTCAACCTTTGTGAGCACCTCGTTCTGCATGTTCTGCATGTATGCATTTATAGCGTCGATAAGTCTCGGGATACCCGCTGAGAGGATGCGAACTGCGAGTAATCCTGCATTCATTCCGTTATTGATCGCCACAGTCGCCACAGGGATTCCACGCTGGACGAACAGGAAAAACCGACATTCAATCGTAGAATGGAAGACTAGCCGACAGGTGGCACTTACTGGCATCTGCACAATGCTATGCAGCGAATCTACACCGTCAAGTGTACTTCCCTTCACCGGCACGCCAATGACGGGTAACGCGGTCATTGCCGCGACCATTCCAGGAAGATGAGCCGCCCCACCAGCACCTGCAATTATCGTCCGGAGGCCTCTGGTACTTGCTGACCTTGCATATTCGGCCATCCTGTCAGGCGTCCGGTGGGCAGAGACGATCGTCAGCTCGTATGAGATCCCGAAGAGGTCCAGGATCCGAGCAGCGGGTAGCATCACAGGAAGGTCCGAGTCCGAGCCCATGATCACGCCGACGAGAGGACTAGCGTCTGAGAACCCAGATCCTGGAGTGGCAAGGGCAGGCGCATGGCGGTCGACTTCCTCTGACGAGCTCTCAGGTAGCGACTGCAACAACGGACGCAAACGCGCTCGCAGCTGGGCGTCCGACTCGGCAACGAGAGTGATGTGCCCCATCTTCCGGCCCTTCCTGCATTCGGACTTTCCATACAAATGTACGGAGGCGCCGGGGGTGTTAAGCGCGGTATTCGTGATCTTAGTGATCTCTTCCATCGATGATGAGTGCCCGATGAGGTTGAGCATCGCGGCGGAGGGGACCTTGAGCGCCGTCGAGCCGAGTGGGAGTGAGAGGATTGCCCTCAGATGGTTCTCGTACTGGGAAGTTTCGCAGGCCTCGATCGTGTAATGCCCAGAGTTGTGTGGGCGGGGTGCGATTTCGTTTACGAAGATGTCGCCTTTTGGATTTTAGCGTGCATACATCAGGCTCGAGAAAGATAACACACCGTTTTCCATGAGAAACATTTCAACCCCAAATACGCCTGCGCCAGAGAAAGCTCTAATAGCCTTCTCGGCTATGCTGCGAGCCTTCTGCGAGAGCAAAGGATCACGGCTACGCAAAGGCGCAAACACCAGATGGCAGATGTTCTCCTTGTGAATTGTTTCCACGACTGGGTACGACTGCACTTCTCCTTCCGCCGTCCTTACGACCATAACGGCAATCTCCTTCACAAATGGCACCCATTTTTCAGCATAAAGAGGCCGATCCCCCAGCGCTGAAATGGCTTCTTCGGTCTGATCGAGAGAACGGAGGACGAAATTGCCCCGCCCATCGTATGCCAAAGTGCGACTTTTCAGCATCAACGGAAGCCCTAGGTTCTGGGCTGCTCCATGTACCGCATCAACGGAAGATTTGACCTCAAGAAATTCGTAAACCGGAAGTCCGTGCGAGGAAAGGTGCTGCTTTTGCCAAAACTTGTCTTGGATAATTTGGATGGTCAACGGACTGGGGTGGATGGCAAGTTCACTGCCCTGGCTGGCAACCCGAACTTCCTCCAGCGTCGCAGCATCCACATGCTCGATCTCGACAGTCAAAATGTCGACCTTGCTGGCGAGTTCCCGTATCTTGTCCGGATCCGCAAAGGAGCCATCGACGTGGGTGAGGTGCGGCGCTGACGGGGCCACGATCTGCTTGGCTGGGGCATGTTCTCCTGCGTCCAGAATGATAACTTTGACGTTCAACAGCGAGGCTGAGGCCGCGAGCATGCGGCCCAGCTGGCCACCCCCTGATTAAAAATTGTTCGCTTTATTTCATTTGTCAAAGAAAGAACGATTTCTAGTTTGGAAATGAATAACGGGCACGCGAAAGTGAGTCCAGCCACTCACGTACACCGAGGATGCCAACAACTTTCTCAGACATTGGACGCCGATCTCGTTGGATTGGTTGGTTGGAGATGAAGGTAAGAGAAGAAACGACTGACCTTAACCTGATGTTAGGGTTTGAAGTTCGATGGTTGGTCATGTGCATTTTTCCACCCCTGAGTCGTTCAACATTTTCAGCCTTCAGCCCAGCTTCAGCCCTTCCAGCTTCAGCCCTCAGCCCTGCATGGGCTTGATCATTTGGATATTCTCACTGAAAACGAAGAGATAGGTGTGAGGTACATAATTTCCTTGAATTGGAAAACAACGCCTTAGACATTGCATTATGTGTACATATGTATCGTGTTGTGAGTCGAAAATCTGCTGCAGAGGCAGTCATTGGAACAGATCCGGGTCGGGATTCCCGTCGTTACTACAGAGGAGAAGAACGGAGAAGTTTAAGAAACTTTTCAGATAGAAGGGTCAGTCAATGCTTATGGTGGTAGAGCTCACCCGCAACAAACACAACAGGTGAAAATGTCCAAACGAATATACGCCTTCTCCTGCGACGACAGTTTGCGACGACACTTGTTCCATCAGTAATTCCGCGTAAGTTCTGATAAATAGAAAGGTTCAACAACAAGACTTTCTTATTTCCAGGAAAACGATTGAAACGGACCTTACAGCTCGAGGTGGAACAGTTCCGCTACAAAATCTACTGCTGAAGGCCCCGTAGCTGCTCCAGAACCAGCACCAGGCCGAAACTGCCGGATAGAGCTGGAACAGAGCCGGGACTCTATGCAAGCATGCATGCAAATAAATTGTTCAGAGGCGAGCGTTAGGAACCGAGTGTATGTGCCGGGCTTGAGAGGGAGAAATGCATGCTAACAGACTTGCGTCTCAGTGGAGACATGCAAGGCCTTGAGTTTTTTGATCTGAGTTGTAGCAATTTCGTCCTGGGAAGACTTTGCAGAACGGGTTACTGGAACTCATCGGGGAAACAAAAGGAGGTAGATTCACAATGATTGAGCCAGATTATTGACTGCGCTAAGTTGAAGAATCGGTGTCACCCCCCAGCTTCAGAGGATTGGCAACATAAGATTTGTGCACCAAGAGCGAAGATTGCAGCCGAAACGATCAGCCCCTCCGCACTTCTTCTAGCCTGCTTGTTCGTCGGTGACCGTAAACCATTGCTCATGGCATAAAAAATAAATCTCGTTACATAAACTTGGGACGGAGTGAGTGAGTAGTGGGTCCGGAGTCCGGGATGAAACGTACATAGATTGCTGATTGGTTCCGCAGTGAGAGTTTTAGGGCATTGATCCTGGGTATTCCATATATTGCCCCGTTCGCAAAGGACAATATGGGTTTTAAATGGTATGAAGGAAGAAGAAAAACACATTATTCGGTGCTTTTCGAGTCTTGCAAAGCTTTGTTGAGAGCAAAATGGTGCCGCGATGAGAAGACCTCAGGGACAGAGATCATGGTAGAGGATACGAGGTATCTTTGTAGCATGGATATTAGAAGCAGAATGGGAAGACTTAGACAGAAAGGAACACACAATTCAACAGTCAGTTGAGCAGGTCAACAAGGACCACACGTGACTTTGACCCCTAAGTTTCAGGAACAGCACCCACGATGAGTCGATGACATTTTACCGTTTCACGTCTTCAAGCCTGTCTTATTGGACATCTTTTTGCAATATTTTTAACCCCCGTCTCATGTTTAACATCTGTCGTAAGCAAACACAACCTCATTTTCTCAATTGCTTGTGTCGCTGCCATGAAACACGAGAGTCTCTCGAACTGTCATTGACGCTCAGGAGCCTGACAGCTCAGGAGTCCCCGGGAATCTACAAAGCAACAAGATCCTTCATGACGAGCAGCTCAGTCGCATCACTCAGTAGCAAGAGCGCAAGCCACAAAGAATCTTACGCCGAATTTCATGGACTTGGGTCTCCGATAGGCAAGCGCAACGAGCTAGGACAGCCTGGCGACATATATATCGACATCAAGCCTGGATCAACCATGCTGTACGCCAAAGTGTCGCGGTTCGAGTGGAAGAAGTGGCCCGGTCCTCTGGTTCGTATAGGGTGTTTGAGGCATCCAAGGTCCGGGAACTACATCCTTTGGTGTAGTGCAGGTGTTGGTGCTGAAGTTGGATGGTTTCCCCAGACGGCGATTAAACTCAATTGTACGTCGCCTCTTCGGCTATGCGGTCTGTTCTCATTTTCGAGTTTAACCTCTTCCCAGTCGAAGGCACCCATGAAGAAAACGTTGCACGCGTTCTTCAAGATCGAGCCGCTCGAAACCGCCAGCCAGACCCCGCGAAGAAAGCAAAGCGGAAAAAAACGACTCAGGGCACATCCCCGACTGCTAGACGACCCTCAAAGAAGCAGAAGATCTCCAACTCTACCGAGCATGATGCCACACCCCAATTTCCGCAGCCTTCCACCAAGGTGAGGGCTCTAACGAGTTATTTAGAAGTTCTTATCGGACCTCTGCTTCTTCGTGCTCCTTTGCTCAGTCTCAATTTAACCTTTCGTCGGAACAACCAACCCCTCTCTCAAATCCTTTGACCGATTTACGACCTATCTCGCATCATGGTAGCATCCAACGGCTGCAGGAGCAAACCTCTCTTTCAGATGGGTCTGCAGGGCACGAGGGTGATGGGCCACAGAGATCGTTGCCCAATCGTGATCCCAACGGCTTGCAATCGCTACACGGAGTACTGACATCAACTTTGGGTCCTGCCGATACAATTGCACAACGCGTGTCGCCACCATTGGTTCGGGATCGTCTACTTCCAGAAGAGGTGCAGGTACCCTCATCCATGACTTCGTCCCACTCGACTGCACATGTGAATCGTCGTTGTGGCGCACTAAGCGGCCCATCTTCCGATGAAAATCCTCCAAGTGTATTGAAGACTTTCGGCCCTGTGGACATCAATATGGGTCAACAATCGTCACCGTCGATTTCCAACGGCATGCCTTTAGAAAGCCTGCCTAATACGTGTTCCCCCCAATGTGTTATACATGCGCACCGGGAGAGTGGCGAATTAATTGACGCGCCATCCGACAAAAACGCTCTTGAAAATCTTCCAATTGCAATAATAATTGGCGATGCTCCTGAAGACGAAACCAGTCGCAGCAATGCTGGTGTCAGCGACGTGGGTGCCAAGTTGTCCGAGGACAATGGATTACCAGTCGAGAGAGCGAGCGAGCTCCAACTCGAAGTTTTAGGAGCGCAGCTGGAGGTCGCTTGTCCCGTCGGCCCGCCATCCCTGAGTATCAGTTTTGAGACGCATTGCATCGACGCTACAGCCCCTGTCTCTCAGACATATACCCCCGATTCGATTTCACCTTCAATTTCACCGGGCTCTCGTCCTCCTGAGAACGCTCTAACTCTCGTTGAACCGCCACCTCAAGCACTACACCCGACGGTAACTATTCAGGACACACGGTGCGTACATTCACCTCAGGCATTCATTTAGCTAAATTGATTTGCGGGGTCTGATCAGTTTGCCCATTGATAGTCTTGCGCATCAGGATCAGGGCGGCGTCGCTCGCAATGGCAGTACCGGAGAAACCCCCTGCGCCCCAAGCCTAAGCGCCAGAGTTACCGTATGGTCACCGACGGCGGAAATCATGGAGCCGGAGCGCACGGTTCAGGTAGCAGGTGTAGCATATGGCCCTGGGCGCCATGTCCCCGATGCGGATGCTACAGCTGGGTGCATAGCCGCCGCCTCCGGTGCTGAGACGATCCGTATGGATGCGCACATCAAGGAGGGAGTGAATGTGAAAGAGGAGCCCGAAGACACTGATACACATGCTTCCGTTGATGCACACAACGAGCGCGCTGTCCCACTGGGACGTCAATTGATTTTTCCCTCGGTTAGTAGCTTCTCTGCTTCCCGACTTATCAGCGCCTGTTGACGTTGTACGTTGTATGTATAGGGTGTTATAGTGAAGACCGACGTCGAAGTTCCAGAACAGAATACGTCGCTGTCGCTGGCCGGTGATAATGCGAGTGGTGCGTCCTCGGCGTTTGATACCTGACTTCCAATCACAGGCTTTGCAATGGACTGACGGTTGACCGCGCATTTACCCAGCTTGACAGAATCCTGGTTGACCCAATCGCATCTCGACGTGATATTTGTCTGGTTGGATTCGAAGTCAGTGTGTAGGCTGTGCTTGTAAGTCGGGTGTATTGCGTCCGTTGCCACGGAGCTCACTCCGTACAGGTTCTTCGGTGACATGAGCGGTTCAGAGTTTCCCTCTGAAGTATCCTTCGAAGATCTGGCTGCGCACTGCGTGAAGAAACATACAGATTTTATCAATGATATGGTAGGCCTTGATGCTGACCGATTGGTGTATATTAAGAACCGCATGGATGAATGCATGTGTTAGAGTGTTGTACACCAAATTAAAACAGGAAAGGAGTATTCACTTTATGACTCCAGAACCTACCTGAATCAATCTTCCCAGACACCCGCGGCTGCAGTGTTTGCTTCTGTAGGCTTCTACCAGTGGCGCACAATGAATAAGTGGCGCATTATTATTATTCGTGCTTTCCCACGCTCCATGATTGACGCCCATTTATTGTTGGTCTAGACCGTCGCTGCTACTTTCGAGGCCTGTTGCATATTTCTGTCGCTTTACCGCTTGCTCTCGGACTGTTCGACGCTCCCAGGTGGAAGTTTCCTCCCGGGTGCCCTCGTTTTCCTGGATTGAAGTTCTACCTTTATTCCGGCTTCCGTTGTCAAATCCGGACATTCCGGATTCATCAGGTTCAGACATGGAACCTCTGGATAACAGGGGACATCTGCCTGGATTCTGGCCTAGATTCCTATGGCCACTGAAACGCTTCAGAGCGCCCCATAGGAAATATGCGGGTATTCGGCGTCTTTCACGCCGCATATTCTCGTTCAGGTACTTCCAATGCTTTCAACGTCATCGTTTGTATTAACAGCGGTCCCGGTACTTTCGCTTCTCCTCGGGCTACGCGGTCCGGACTCTCACAAGTGCATCCGTCCCATCCGCATGTACTTAGTACTGCTTATCCGACAGTACACTGAAGTTACTTACATACTCCGAAGGCTTCTTCACGGGCGAACGTCCAGCAATCAGATCCGTCGGAACCGGCGACAGGCACTTGCTTGATGTAGCCTTTGGACCCATGTCTCTAAACATGCTCTCAAACATTCATTGGCCGGGTAATGGCTTCGTTCAATTGGAGGAAGGCTGGCAAACTGCATTGCGGATACACTTGGACGCGAGCCTCAGCAGTGTTCCTCATGATATCATCACTATAGTCATGGGTTGACTCGTACGAACCGGCGGGTCGCTCTAGGCAGTGCAGGCCACCCATAAAGAGTCTAACATTCGCTATCTAGCCGAAACCGCGATAGTACAGGAATGGGCTTCATTGCTACTTCCATATCGGCGTAAGATGTGGAACAGCGCCCTTCCCCTCGGTACGCCCTCTGTCCGCTTTTTGAAGGCCATCAAACAGAAGATACTGGTTACTAGCTCCCGCAAGTCCATTTGGATGGAACTGGATAGAGCACTGAATTGATGCCACCCAGTGATAGATATCGTTCATCCGATTGCAGCATCCAAACCCCACCTGATCATTTTACCTCTGAGTAGCCTGATATGCAGGTCCTTCCGGGAAAAAGAGCAGTTCATATGATGCCGCATACGACATCCATGATGCCACCGCCATCTAGACGATAACCACATCTAGTGTGATGCAAGAAGACAGCGTCGTCAGTGGAGGGACCCCATGCTCCAAAGTCACCCTCAAACGGGGTGTTCACTCTACTCATCATGGCCAAGTTTATTCCTCTGAACTGTCAGCGACACCAGTAGCGCCACACGCGGCCAAATTATATAGCACAAATAGCCGGAATGGACGTGCACCCCGTTCGGAAAATCCCTCTCGAGATCTCGCCGATTCTAGCGCAGTCAGAGGCATAGTACCATCTCTGTCCCGTACTCTGGCATCGTATCGTCTGCTTTATCCCCCAGTACATATGTGCCGTTTCGTGAACTAATAACATGAAAAAAGGAAATCATTTCGCGGTGTCTGCATCGCAGTCCGCCGTTCCAATCGGTGGAAAATGACAAATGGTGGTATGCGTTCCCGCTGTTTCGTTATCAAAGTTATCTCCTTCGGAGAAAGGCCCACTCATCTCTAAGTAGACTCTTTCCATGAGAAATGATATCATTGGGGAATAAACACCGTTATGTTTTTTATTCAGGGCCTCGAAACACGTTTCTTAACCAAGAGGCCGAAGGGCACGATAGTTTTGGTGAAGTTCCAGATTCGAGTCCACCTGATTATACCGATAGACATATAGACGGTAAGCGCTCAGGGTTGCGTATGTCATCCTAATGTGTCCAGCCACCACTATTCGGAATTCAGGACCTGTTTCATATTCCTTTTCATGTATTACCTCAAGGTCGCAGGATGGAGAAGATCCCTGTTTTTCATATTCCGGCTTTAAATCTCTTTAAATTTATTCGCAGAACCTGTCGGTGAGTGACGTACCTGAAGTTGTCGATCTATACACCGGACTCGTTTCTTCTGCCCCCCTATCCGCTTCGGACAGCTGAATTCAGAGCTGGTCATCCATCTTGCTCTAGCCCCAGAGCGCCATGGTAAGATCCCTTTGACCGATGCCAAAGGAATGCGCAGTCTGTCAGGCGTCATTCCACGTAACGCGTAACTTCAAACACGAAATGCGCCAGTGACCAGAAGCATGGTGCGCTTAGCGCTACGTCTTTCCTGTCTACGAGCCCGCTCACGTAGTTGGATTTACAGTATTGGATGGAACACCTGGGCAGGTGATTGGTCTCCTGGCTAGCTAGAAGCGGTCCTAGGGCCATTCAGACGCAGCGTGTTTTCGTTCCCAAGACCAGCATGATCACTAAGCCCCTTGTTCCCAAATTATCAATTGCCCACAAACGGCTTAGTGGCGCCTAATGACCAAAGCAGCGACAACGTGTTGTGATTCTTGCGTAAGTCTGCAGAAGCAAGATCTGCCAGGGGTCGTTTGAGGTCCACTTCTCTTCTTTGTCCATTAACGCCGGCGCACTGCGATTAGCGGGTCGCCAATCTTATCTATGGCGGCATCAGAATAGATTTTGCCGAGCGTCGAAACTTGGATTAGTGAGAGGGACCGGGAAATGGCTAGCCCGCACTTGTGACAAAATAGGCGGTTCGGAAGCATGACGCGGAGTTGAGAAACGCAGCAGCGAAAGAAGCGAAATTTGAGGCGCAAGGGGACCGGGATTGGGCGCGTCGGGGTTACACGCATCATTTGGAGTTCATTTACCGACGACCAGGTCCGAACCTCCTTGATTGGGAACTGCCCTTTTTGCTGAACTCTAAACCTTGGCCGATAAATGTTATCACTTGATCAAAGGCGATAGGCCCTCTGATCATGATCAATCATGTTAGCGAATTCTGAAGTCGATCTCAAGCGGGACATCGCTTCCGAACCTGGGCTTTAGACGTAAGAGACGGTTTGCATCTGGGCTTGTGGCAGCAGGGTAAGGGCGAATAGCTAACAAGAGTAGCCAGTTGAGAGGTCGAATTGATAGCTTGAGAACGTTGAGAACGATAATCGACAATCGGGTGTTCAGTTTGGGATATCCCGATATAAAGTTCAATCAATCCGAAGCAAAGGCGTTGCAGGACAAGAGGCGCGCGGTGCACATGTCTGACCGGCGCTTGAAGTCGGTATTCCGATGATGGGTCCTCCAAGAGGTGGTAAACGGATGGAAAACAACGACGGATGGCGAAGGGCGAGGAGAAAGTCCGGGTAACCGCTCCGAAGACGGAAGAATGAGATGAAGAGGTCATCTGTCGCCTCAAACTCTGGAGTGGTGCGATTTTTAGGACAAATTTGGAGTGCCTTATCGCAGTCGAAAGTCGCGCATCCGGTACTGCTAACAGCAAGTCTGGACGCAAGGAGAAACGTGTTTAGGAAACGGCATCCTATAGGCCGCCATAGAGGTGGGTTTGGAAAAAGGGAGGATCTTCATGTCCGAAGAGGTTCGAGGGACGATAGTCTGGATGCATGGTAAATGATTGTTTAAAGACCGACAAGAACACGAGGCGGCCAGAACGGTTGAGGCAAGAATTTGCAGGAGAGACGAAAGGATCCAGGTCTGAATCCAGGAGAATGGCGTTCCGTTCGACGTCTCCAAGGTAGGACCACTTTGGAATAGCCTGCACCTTATGACCATGGACAAGAGGTCGCCACTTTGAAGTTGTATTCACCAAGTCCAAAACGTTGAGCATTTTTGGAACGTATAGATTCTAGCGGTCGAAAAGAACAAATGTATTAAGCAGATTTCTCAAGGATGTCAGAGCGCTCTCACTGTCAGAAGGGTGCCGCCGTACGCAGCCGAACACCCTAGCCTCTTCGGGTCCTTGGAACATCATCACCAGTCGGCAAACCCCACGAATCTCCCGTCCCAACTCCACCAGATCATCTCGTCGCCCTCGTCGACCTTTTCACTGTCTTGTGTCTTCATGTCTAGCGCCGGGTGCGCATCGTTGTGCTCGATCGAAGTTGGATTCGCGTGCCGTAATGATCGTCGCCGAATACCCGTTCGAGGCGCTATCCAGACGCCTTCCACCTTGCTGTTCCTCTTATTCTGCTTGGGAACACCCGCGGACGGCAGCTCGAGGTCTGGGTCCTCTATTCCTGTTCCGAGCAAGAAGTCGCTGAGGGCCGCATCGAGAGAAGCTGCGATATTTTGACGCGGGATCCATGCAGGGTGCTCGAACCGCCTGGGGGCGCGTATGAGAACATGTGTCTGCGTCGGGGCTGAGGATCCACAAGGACAGGCGTTAGGCTTGGGTAAAACCGAGGAGGAAACGAAGGAAATTAGGGAAGGACGCACTCATTTCGGAGGTAATCCCATTTCCACCTGCGTCGGCAGTAGCTAGGATGCGAGATAGAAGGCGGTCAGCATTTTGGAGGAATCGCTGCTGCTCTGCGTGAGAGACGTATGGCGGCGGCGGAGATGGATTGTCAGTGACGGAATAATTCCCCGAGTCGGATTCGTCCCCATTCTCATCCTCGATACTCTGGTCTTCGTCGCTTGCTTCGTCTTCTTCTTCACTGTCTTCTGGCTCCTCTGCGCTTTCACTAGCTTCGTCGTCACTGTCATCTTCACTCCCACCCTCGACCTCGCTGTCATCATCGTCATCTCCTGCCTCTTTCTCTTGTTCCTTAGTCTTCTGGGCCGTCACCCTGTCTTCGCCCCACACACGCATCTCCAGGCCATCAATCCCGAGGAAAACCTTCGACTTCGCTGTTCCTATACTCGGCCCAACAAGGATAGCGAGGTACGCTAAGGCCACCTTGCGTTGCGTGTGACGTGAGCTGCGTGCTAATGCTGTTGACAATGCTGAGAACGTCGTGTCCAGATGAGATGATATTGTATCGTAAGATGACAACAACTCTGTCCGTTGCTTGAAGGCGCGAGAGTTCGTCTGCAATCATCGTTAGATTCACGGTGTGGGGAAAAGAACCGCGAGCGCACCTGGCCTCCTGGGATCCTTCCGAGCTGCTGCACCGGGCTACAATTAGTCGGGGTGAGACAACGAAAGACGAATTGAAGAATAGAAAGAACCTACAACGGCACTTGATTCTTCAAGAACAATACGTGCCCGAGCAAACTTGACGCAAGCCTCCCAGCTGTTTCATCCGTAATCGTGTCTGTATCCAGCTTGACAACTGGATATGCGCTAATCTCGACAGCTTCGCTTTCTCCCTCCTTTGCAACTGTCCCGATCTGCAAAGCGCTGTTTGTCTTCTCATGAATTGGTTGATGTGCGGTAGGTGTGGCTGTTGGTGATTGCATAGTCTTAGTGCATATGCCCCGGGGAGCCGGTGGTGCAATTCCATGTGTGATAAATGGCATTTTACTTGCGATAAATGCGCGTATAGGTCAACTGTGAGGCTGTAAGATGGTTGAAATGGACGAAGACGTCGTCCAGTGCACCAATACCTCATGGATTGCACGTGACCGTGTTTGATTACATAAGCTTCTTTTTAACCGACTCACTGCTGGCGTGTCTCCCTGCCTTCGTACTCCCATGGCGTTTTATCGATATCCATGCAAGTCCACGACAATTTCTCACAATTTCTATGACACTCCTCTACTATCAAGGACAGCTGTTCCGCGGACACTGTCGGAGCTCGTGAAAGATGAAGCCGAGACACCGTAGGACATCGTCAAACCTGGCGAACAAGGGCCCCATGAACGCGAAATATCCTCGGCGAGTCAAATCGACCCATTTTTATCGTTTTCAACGATCTACGCGCACTCCTGTGCTTCACGGCCGACTTGTATCACAGTCCAATCGCGTTCGAACCCTCAATGCCATTGTGTGCCTCCTCGTTGCTTGTTTGGAGTCTAATCCCAATGGTGTACCGCCTACAAACAGATATCCATTTGATTGCCGTATTCCGAAGGCAATGGTCGTTCCTCCTTGTCTACTCTCGTCTAGCTCGCGCAGGTAGCCTCATGGGCATAAGCGTAATGCAGGACCAACGTTTTATCGGTCTTCAAGCGTACATCACCAGCCGCGTTTCGTCAAAAGGAGACTTGATTTGATATTTCTCTCCTTGGGCTAGCTTGCAATGGATCGGGCGGCCGTCCACTGAGCAGCATTGCTCAACAAAGGTGCACATTCCATCCTGGTTCTAAATGAAATTACGGCGGTATGCATTCACCCACCTGCCGAGAGTATTGTGGCGACGTATTCTGCGCCGCGGAACGGGTATGTATTTTCGATAGATCGGGATATACTATCGTCTCTGACCGATGTCTACTTTGTAGGATGAATCCTATTGAGTTCGGACTCAAAACGTTACACCCCACCATCTTTGCACCCAGCTGCGCGGCAGATCATTGCGACGAGACGTCTTTTATGGTGCCTACCATCTTGTTCTCAAGTAAGAACAGTCGTTCCCAAAGTTGTGGCAAGTCCCACTTTCTTACCTACTTCCTTTGCAGCACTATGCTTGCTTGAGCGGTTGACACATACCCTGCCATCCCGACTTCAATTAAGTGACACCATATTTCCTGTTCGTCGGTGAGCTATTGAAGGACTAGTCTGGGTTGCTGGCCTGAAACCCTCCGCCGCTCAGCACGGACCTCAGTAATTGCAAATTTTCGGTCTCTCATGCTGCCTGCTGAGCCACATTTTTGTAATTATGGAGCTACCCAGTCTTTTGGACATCTGTCCGTACCTTGGTCAGGCCTCGTGTGCGCTTTTCGAGATTTTTTTTTTTCAAAGGCCTGGACGTCACTGGGCGCATGATTCCACATTGCCTTGCGGCTCCAAGTGTGCGTAATGATTTTCTCTAGAATTACCACCATCAGACACGGGTATTTTGTTCCCTGTAGCTAATGACCATCCCTTCAACGTTGCCTATGAAGTGGCGAAGAATCGGTTAGGCTCACGGCTGTAGGGCCTCGATTATTTCTTGGTTCCTTGGGTGCATGGATCGTGGTATCAATCAAGCTGCATCATTCACGTTCGCGTTTTATGGGTCTCGTCACCTTGGCTCGTATGTCTGGGCAACGGATCAGGTTGTTACCTGATTGAATGATTGGTGGGATGAGCATGTGAGGAAGATTCTCCGAACGCATCTGACAAAAGCGCAGTTCAGCAAGTTCCTGGGTGAATCGCAAGCTTGCAAGCAGCTTGCAAGGATGCGACGCGCTCCGAATCCGCGAAGCCGCAAGAACAATCATCTGCCGCGACGGGCAATAGCGGGTAATATGTGCAAACTTCCCCACATCCGCAATGTGCCCCTCAGACCGCCATGGATCTTCATCATACGCCTACACATGGCTGTCCCGACATCTTGTTCACCCAAGCATTATGGCCTTACGTCAGCGCAAGAACTCCTTTCGACCTCATTTGATGGCGGAGATCAGGCTCTTTTCGTGCTGGATTTCCAACCAGCCACGTCCGACCGCCTTCTCCTTGCATCATAGCGGCTGCTATAAATGTCCTTTTTCCCTGACCTTTTCCGATCTCGCACATGCCGTTTCGGATTAAGTTGGATCTCAGATTGCAGTGGTGATCGCGTTTTTTCGTGGCTTTATCTTGGATTTGTAAAATCGTTTCTACACTCGGCCAACGGAAGCTGTGTCCCGATCTCCCGACTCCCAAGCGCCATAAATGTCCTGAGGGGCAGACTTATGGCATTTTCTGACTGCTACAAGAACGGCGAGCGTCCGTTCTCTTCCAAACCGCGGGCCCGGACTCTCGATTCCACCCATGTCGTCTTCGTCATCATCACCTCTTCTCTCTACTGCTCGCTCCTCCATACTCAAGGCAGCGTCGATGCTGTCCTACCACGCCTACACCATTTTCCTCTTCTCCAAGTCGGACATTAAGACGACTTTGATCCCTGTGGCAAGTCCACCCTGCCCCACCCGTCGACCGTGATTGATGGCTGATGATGCGCGCCGCACGCACAGAGCTTCTTTGCACTGGGAGCCGCCCCCCTCTCTCCGACGCGCAGTCTCTCCCATGCTCTCCAGTCCATATTATGGATCTACCTCCACGTTTTCCACTTCAACCTCTGCAACCAAGTCCGCGATCCGATGGAAGACAAGCGGAATAAGCCTTGGCGGCCTTTGCCGTCGGGACGTATCACCCTGGCCAACGCCATCCGACTCAAGCGGATAGCTATTACCGCTTGCCTTCTCCTCTCCCTCTGCTACAGCCCAATCGTGTTTTACTCAAGCGCGTTCTTCGCTGCACTCGTACCCATGTACCATGAATTACACGGCGACCAACACTGGCTCTCGAAGAACCTCATGAACGCTGTGGGGTATGCGTGCTTTGCTATTGGTTCAACGTTGATCGCATGTGAGTGTTGCTTGTACTCTGTGATTCTTGTTCAAATTGTATTGACGCCATGCCCTTGTTCTCAGCCGCTGATCGATACAAGCTCGACTTTGTTAGCTCATTATCCATTTTTGTCATTTCGTCCATTCTGGCCACAACGATCCAAGCTCAAGATTTCCAAGACGTCGAAGGCGACGCGGAGGTCGGACGGAAAACGCTGCCTATCGTCTTCCCAAACCTGTCACGCTACACTCCTCTAATATCTCTATTGCTGTGGTCCCTGTACCTCACTATCATCTGGGAAATCAGCCTTCCGTCCAGCATAGCGTTTACCTGCCTTGCCCTAATCGTCGGGGTACGGTATTACTTCTGGCGATCGGTCAAGGACGACGAATGGTCGTATTTTTTGTATAACGTAAGTGCACGCAACACTTCCGGAGCCCGCATGCTGATGACGTCGTGCAGATTTGGCTTGCTATTGCGTTCTCGATGCCAGGATACTGGCGCATGTACAAGGAATCTGCCGCCCTCTAACGGGTTTGTTTATTTACCATTCTTTTTGGACTTCCCTTTCTTTTTCTCTCTTGTAATTTTCTCTGTACATTTGTATAACAGTGCATTACTTACGGCTCTTCATCCTGTCGTTATTCACGACGTACCCCTACAACCCGCGACGTTAAGCATGTAGTTGAATTTTACCATCCCGTAATTTGTATTACCATAGTCCTCCTACTCGATGCTTTCGAAATTCAGACTTGCTTTAGTTTTTTTGCTGTCTCCGGAACCGATTCATGGAAATCAGGTTGAACGTTATATCCCGAAACTTCCGGCTTTGACACAGCGCAAGATTCTCTATCCAAGACATACTAAAGAGGTTAATTTACATGACAAGTATTACGACGGCATAAATGCAAGGTTGTAAATAAATGCGAAGAATGCGGAATGTGGATATAACATGCATGGAGAGCAGGCTGGAACCGCGTCAAGAAGATTTCTTTGCGGTGGCTTTCCTCTTCTTTGGCGCCTTAATCAACGAGTCCTTCGTAATATCATCCGAAGCCTTGCTCTTGGTTTCATCGTCCGAGGCCTCTTCAATAACATCATCAACCTGACATAGACACGCCATCATTAGCACTGCAGCCGGCTCCGGGACATTTCGACACTCACATATGCTTCTTCGAGATCAGGTGCGGGACCGCCAGCAAGTTTTTTCGGTGCTTTCCCCAGATCCTGTGCCTTATGGAAGGGTATCGGATGCTCTGAGGAGTTGTATCTAGCGCCGCAGTCAGCAAGCTGATAAACATGAGGACAGCGGACCGATGCACGCACTTCCGAGTGAATGCAGTCTTCGTCGCGGCAGGGATTTTCTTCAGGATAAGATCATCCTTTTTGTCATCGACGCCAAGTTCGACTATGGTGTCCCAGTCCTCTCGTGACAAGAAGTAGTCATCCATGAGCGTAATGACTTCATCCACAGCGCTCTGGGACAGGTCTAGATCAGCAACGTTCACCAAGACACAAAGAAGGCACTTACTGCTCCCATATCCATGAGTGGCTTCACGATATGCGGGTGCAGCGCAGGGATATACGACTGTCGGATCTCGGACTTGTCGCCAGACACCTTGAGTCGCATGCGAATTTGAACGTCTCCGAGCTGGCGGCTGAGCTTGCCCTGCTTCGAGTTTTGACCAAGCCATCTGCAGAAAGGCGAGAGACGGACGATAAGAAAGTGGTATTGGCCAAAGAAAGAGCACGTACTGTGGGAAAGTCAACGGATTGGATCCACCATAATGAGGGGCATTTCCGTAAACATTGAACGCAGGAACTACGGTTGAACAAACAGCGTGCAAGGGCATCAGGCCCCAGTGTTGCTCGGGCCTGAATGAATTGGAATATAAAACCACGTCAGCCTACCCGCCTTGTGACACTGCATGAGTAAGTAACGGCAACGTACCCATGAATGAGTGCGTCGACAAGATCTCCATCCGAGATAGAAGACGCAGCCCTATCTAAAAGGCGGAGCTCGTGCATTGCTTTCTCTGGCCCGTCCTGGTTTCTCAGCCGGGCGGGCTGTGTCTTCAGGTAGTTTTCCTGTCATGAGAACAGTCAGTGTGAAAAACACCCTAGATTCTTAAGATGACTTTACATACTTGGATGAAAAGGGGCACGAACGAGTGATCCTGGAAGTAATACTCCATCTTATCACCCAGCGTCTCTCTAGAAGTGTGCGAGAAGACATAAGGTCCAAGCAACTTCGACGTGATATCAAACGGGCTCAAAATTGAATGCTTCTCATTCATTTTGGCACTATGAAGTTTTAAATCAGATTGATTGTCATCGGCGGTTTCATTGACGAAAAAGGGCGCATACAGATTCTTGCCTTCGTCGAAATCCATGGCGTCGTTGGAGAGCTTCCATGTCGACAGCATGTTTAAGACTTGACGGATATCAGATTGTGCCCCATTGATCAATTGATCGACAACGTTTGCAGGAATCTTCAACTTTTCCCTAAGACGTATTTGAGCACTAGAAGTTGCTTCTGAAGGTGCATACTAACTTGAAGGCAATGGATAGGATTCTAGAGCGAATGGCTTGAACTTGGGGCCTAAGATATTTGGTTAGTACCTGGAACCAGCGGTGAAGTCGGAACGTGGCGTACTTGTGGAACGGCAGGGAGAATGTCGACGCAATTAGAGGCTTCAACTTTTGTGCTTGACGGTCATTGGCGATGCAAATAATAGGGATCTGAGCCAACCTTTAACTAGCGGCTTCGAGTCGGAAAAGCGTTTGACCAACCTTGGACTTTTTGATCAGTGCATTCAAAGCTCCTACACCACCCCGATCACCCGCCGACATTCCATCGACCTCATCCATGATAAGACAGGTCCTGTCCGTGATGGCGACACCCAGTGAATTTGTTTCCTAGAAATGAAGAACAAGTTCTCAGCTTCACGACTAGACCACATTTGGGTGAAAACATGAGAACTTACGTGCCCGCCTTTCATGAAGCCATCCAAGGAGGTGTTGTTGATGTTCATACCATTCTACCAAGCGTAAGCATCAGTCAGAAAGGCCCTCGTCAGAGCCCGTGGCACAGGAGGCCACCTCACCTCAACAAGCTTCTTACTCCGAGTATCACTTGCGTTCATTTCTATCGGGGTAAACCCCTCCAACTTAGCACACAGGTGCGCACTAGTCGTTTTGCCGATACCAGGTGACCCGGTTATTAGGACCGCCCTAAATACGTTCATGCCGTTCTTCCCTGGCTTCTTGAAGCCCGATTTCAGGTTCGTGGACCTAGGCGAGAGAAGGAAGGCCGCTATGAGATAATCGTAACCAGACGACAAAATGAAATGCCATACCAGTCGTGCAGCCACTGCTGTAATTTCTCGACCTGGCCCTTGTTACCGCAGATATCCTTGATGCTTTGCGGTGCGTAACGAGCTGTCCAGAGCTGAGTGGATGGATCGATGGTCTTTCCAGCCTTCTTGTCCTTTTGCTCCTGCTTTTCCATCTCCTTCGCCGCCTTCTTAATATCCTCCTGCTCTTTCTCCATCTTTTTTCTCGTCTTCTCGTCGACCTTGCCATTTCCTAGGCCTTTCCGTGTTCCGATCAGGTGGAGGAATTCATCTTCGCTGAGAGTTTTGAGACCATGCTTCTTAATGGCAGCGATCTTGCTAGGTCCAGCATTGTCACCTAGAACAACAAAATTGGTTTTACTTGACGGTTGAAGAACAACGCGACTGTCATGGAACGGTGCTGTCAGCGATCCATTTCATAGAATAAAGGAATTGAGACATACGCGCCGAAACGTTTCGCAAGGTTGATCGCCTCGTCGCGAGAGAAGCTGCTTAGTTCCCCCGTAAACACCAACGACAGTCCCGCCAGTGCGTCCGGAGCGCCGTCTGGAACCTCTTTCGAGCCAGGAGCGATCGGGCCTGCAAGTTGTGCAGCTTTCTTCGCAGCCCAACTAAAAATAAATAGATGGATTAGTCAGGTCATCATAGCTATGCAAGAAAACCTACTCGAATTTCTTCGGGGGTGGAGGGTTAGATGATTCAGCTTTGAGCTCCTTCGAAGGGGTAGGTTTAGGAGCAGGCTTTGACTTGGACGAGCTCGCAACAGGTTTCTTGGCTGGTGCCTTTCGTTTCGCAGGCTTCTCCTCTTCCTCGTCCACGAACTCGTCGTCTTCTGAGCTTGATTCCGGAGATTCCATATCGTAGTCTTCATCTTTGACGCGTTTCTTGCCGTTCGTCTTGCTTAATGAAGGTCGAGGTTTACTTGACGTTTTGGAAGATATAGCAGGTTTCTTCTTTGCCGGTGTGTTTCCCTCTTCGTCACTGGAGATAACGGCTATCGATTTCTTGCGCTTCAAGCCGTTCTGCTGTTGTCTATGACAAAAAATATGACATACAGGTCAAGTATATAGGTCCAAAGCACGAACAGTTTCGGTTGCTCTGCTTCGACATCAGTACTTGGACGTGTAGCAAACATAATGAATAAACACACCATCACCACTTGAGACCACGGCCTTAGATTTTTTGTTTGTAGAAGGCTTCTTCGTAGGTATCAACGGTTCATCGTCACTGTCGTCAATGACCATGACATTGTGGTCTTTAGAACTGGTGCATGTCCCATTAACCAGAAGTCGCGGATAATCGAAATGTGGACACACCTCGCTGAAGTAACTGGAACGAGTTTCTGGGAATTCAATGCTGAGCCCTGAAGAATGAAAATGAACGACGCGTTTCTCCATCGAATGAACGTTATGTCTCACCTGCGAGCTCGCCACAGCAGCCTTCGGGAGGACTTTTGGCTGATTCCCACCAGGTCCAAAGAACATTCGTAGGTCTTTCCCACCATTTATGGTCTTCGTTGGCTTCACGGTCTTCGTTGAAGGCACCATTCGGCTTGTGGTGGTATACTGTGAGATGGCAGGTGCTGACAACCGTGTCACTAATCACTGTGACCAAACATGTGACGGCACGCGTTTAGCGTGACTTAAGACAAGTCTCTTGTAAGCTCAGTTCTGAGTTGAACAACCGTCATCGACAACTTAAGTCTTCAACTTTTGAAGTCCCAGAAAGGTGTCTCCAAGTCAGTAGCATCTCTTCGTTTCTTTAATGTTTCGATGACTTAGTTTTCCGTAGGCTCATGGCCCAATTGCCTCCCTCGTTGGATACTTTCCCGCACGAACTAGTGGATCACATATTCCACTATGGATGCATGATTTCAACTTCATTCTGCGTCGCGCTCGCGCAAACCTGCAGATGGACCCGACATATAGCCCTTCAATATATGTATACCACCGCTGTCATCGAGAAATACTCATCCAGTACTGCTTTTCTGCAAGCCTTGTCGACGCCTCACATATATCCTCCGTCTCCTGACTTTAACCCGAAATTATCACTCAAGAGCCTGTGGATGACGTCTGTTTCCAACCGAATACTTGACATATTTCGAATTTGCGACAATGTCATCAATTTAGCGCTACATCTCGACAATTTCTACTGGCTCGTTTATTCTTCGACCATAATGGCAGGGCGGACCTCCTTCCTGGCGGCTAGCTCTATCAGACGCAAGCCAGATATGAAGCTCCTCATATTAAAGGCGGACAGTCCATCCTGGTCCTCAGCTCGCGTTGCCCCAGACGAGTCGAAAGCATCGCCCTTCTTCGACAAAATCACACACCTGCGACTTGGCCTCGTTGGACATTACTCGACCCACCTCGACATCGCCCACTTCAAACGTCTCACCCATGTCGCCATCCCGTATCAAGGCCCGCAAGGTGGACAGTTAAATGACACTTTGCGCATATTCGATTTGCCAGCAACCATGTTTCTTGTCATCGTTCTCCTGACAGATCTGTTAACCGTGAACCACTATCAAGAGGCTCTAGTGTGGCTTGCGAAGACACGTATTACGAACTCGAAAGTATACGCCATTCCATCACGTACGGATCGTCTGCAACGCGAATGGGAGGAAGAAGTTCGTGGAGGGCTGAGCATATGGGATAAAGCGGAGAGATTCACTCAATTTTTCAATGATCATCATGAACGTGCGCCGCGTCATTATTCTGGGAGAACTTCAACCTTGCCTCACGCCTGTCTAGATTGAGTTGCTGATGAACTACCGTAGATTTAAGTATGGATCGCTGGTCGTTTCGACTTGCATACATGTGTCCACGCATGAGCTCTACCTGGGAAAACCATTCTCATAGTATGTTCCAGGAATTAGATGTCTCAGAATCCCGCATTCAAGCTTCTTCTAGCCTCTACATTTAGTCCTTCCGAGGCAGCCTGATCTCACGCGACCACTGCTCCAGCCGCCGTTCAATCACCATACTCCCATCTCAAAGTCTTACGAACATTCAGCCTGATGGCATCGTGGCCATGTGCCCTTCATTTCCTTATCCTCAGGCTCAAAACAGCCGCTCTAACAGCTCAGAAGAAGCGAAGTGAAAGATCGACACATGAAGACTGACAGCTGCTGCCCTGGCGTCAATGTAGATCGTTATCCCTATCACGACCGTGAGCAGCGGAGTAGTCTTCTGGTTCTCTCATCATCGATGCATCATCAGCGCAGTATTAGGGTCGCCGAAGGCTTGCGTAGGAGTTCTCTCTATTCCACCTCTGGACCTCATCTTGTGATAACCTCGGAAGAACGCTCATCTTCGGTAAATCGTTGCGAGGATCCACCACCGCGACCCCGCTCAATCTCCCCTTAATCGGAAGGAGATGCCCAAGACGAGTCTCGCCGGTCGCATCCTTCAACAGCTGCAATAAAAATGGGCAGATCTTGCCATACGTTGTTCGCCCGTCTTCTTTGAGAGCTCGGACTTCTCGAACGCGCCGCCACCACACGACACTTATATCTTCCTACTCTTGTCCTTGGTTGTCAGTGTCCACAGTTGTCCACACGCACCCCCGATGCGGCGCGACGTTGACTTCGCCTGATTCTTTTCCCAAAATAGCAAGTTTTCCCCGGTTCCTAACTTCGCGTCGCACCGCTCCAAACGATACCCGGAGGTATACAGATTATGGCAGCACTTGTACCCTCCAGGACCAAAATCCGGGGTGCCTTCGTGAAAGACTCGCGTTTGTCTCGGCGCTACCTTAACCGGGCCCACGGCGATGTGCAGTGCCCTTTAGCCTGAACGCATGAACGATTTCTTATGCTTCGTAGCATCCAGTGTGCTCCTCTCTCGATTTTCAGCCTTCTTCTGGGCTCATTCGAACCCTGCAGTAAGGAGAGCTATGCTTCGAACCACGAATAGCGAGGCGGTGGTCATGATCCCGTCTGTCAATCAGTGACCTGATACCGGGCAGGACTAAGAACCCGGCTCCTGGCACCTGCACATTTAATCGGTGTACATGGTGGATGGTACCATGCAATTTTGCTTGTCAGTGCCTGCATGGCGAGGGATTCTTCTCTACCATTCTTCGGCACTGTACGACAACCCTAGAAATTTATTCATTCCTTCTTGATGCTGCATACATACCGCTTGGCGCTTCGGCGGGCAGCCAGACCTCCGTTGCGGAAGAGCATGCGGTCCGGACGCTCCCACAGTTTCAGGAAGCAAAAAGACATTAAATTACCAAACTCGAGAGCACTCCAGCCCATTTACGATGCTCAAGATTCGAAACGATGCTGCGGAGCTGAACACTCGACCGCTAGGACCGTGCTGACACGGCGACAACCTTCTGTTTCTTTCGTTTCTGACGACGAACACGACCGAACTCCAGATAAATTCTGCAACAACCCCTTGCAGGGCTAATTGCACTCGGTCAAGTGATTCGTAGACGCAATCCTTGGGGCATCATGGTGAGGGTATCTCGTCGATTGTCGCATATGGGTCTGCTCCGGATTCCAGCCCTTCAAAAGCTTTCTACGTAAGTTTCTGTGCGTTCACACCGGCCTTTCGAACTCTGACATCGGCTGGGCTGGTCACCTTGCTGTGTTCCCTTTTATTTTTAGATGCCCGGCGCGAGAGTCGCCGTGCCTTTGCCGAGGACACAATGCACTGACCGGAGAAGGCAGGAAGAAGCGCTTCCGTCTTTGATTTCTGGACCCACAACGCCGCTCGGGTGCCCCTCATCGTGACGCCAATGTCTTCACGATGTACCCCAATATGCATGTCACATAAACGCAATAAGGCAAGGCTATTCCCTGAAAAAAGAGAAGAACAATAGGAATACCACTATTTTGATGGATTAAATTAATCTGCACTGCACATCGTTTTATCGTATAGAGCTACGTGCTCTGCGTGTCCTCAGCCCACAATTGTATCCTGTCGATCTCACTAATCCATGCTGATAGGTATTCCTGAGCTGTGATTCAGTCAGACAGCCCACAGTGCTGATCGATTGGATCTGGAGATGGAAGTTTGGACATCAGCGCCCACGAAACTCAAATCAGTGGACACAATCCCTTTCGATCGTACACGCAGATCAATCTTCCTTTAGCACCTTCTCGATCCACGCAGGAAGCGCGCGACAGCGCCCACATCCTTCAACACAGACAAATAAAGATATGATTATCTAGACCTATCTGCTCTTGCACAAGTATCGCCAGGTTAGTCGCAATTTCACAAATCGCCAGGGTGTGCGCTTGGCATATCCGATTCTCTGTGTTTTATGGCACCTGTTGACCCATCGTGTGCTGATATTGCTTCTCGATTTTCTTTTGCTTTTAGTCTCCCAACTCTTGGCACGTGTGGCAAGCCTCGCACCGTCTTTCCAAGCCACAACCATCTCACTTCCATCATTTATACCATTCATGAACAAGTGACCCGCGGCTAGTATCGTCAACTGAGAACTCAGATCTTTGTTGAAATTGTGCACCGTGCTAACCAAAACCATAAGTTCATCCTCAACAATACTGTAGACTAGGTCAGACGATTTGGACCACATAATGAAGCCTCAGTAGACTGATGAACAGACTGGCAGACTCGGAGCTTCCAGATTTGTGGTATACGTTTACAAACCCACCGCTTTGCGAAGGTGGGCATAATAAAATCCGGACTGCGGCCCGTGATTGAGACTCCGTTCCTCAACGAGCCATTCGTGCAAATCTAAGCTTGAACTTCTTCAACCACCATCATTTCATCACTTTGTGTGGCTCAGTTCACGGGCGCTCAAATCTTGTTGAGCAGCGAGAAGCATGTCCTTGTTAAAGTTGCCACTTTCAGCCCTGGTAATAGAGGCGTTGCGCAAAGCCAGCTGGAGCCAGTGGTGGCTCAAATGCGTTGCGCTGAGACCTTTAGCCAGCAGAACCTGAATACCAGACTGATGAATGCCATATATTAATATTACTTACATCTCTCTATAACCTCATATTTGCTGGAGAGCTCCACGCGATATCAGTCTGTGGGGGCGGTTGATCAACAGTTGATCTCGGTTGATATTTTCTGCTGGCTCAGTTTCCATATATAGGTTAGTTTCTGGAGATTGCCGTACCTGCGTGGATGAATACGATGAGATACTTGCATTGTCATTGAACTCCCCTGGCATCCAGACATACATGGCGCAATATAAGACTAAGCTAAAAGCATAGTCGCCAATTGGCCGCTACTGGCTACATGACACAGCGCAACGTTTTTGAGCCAGCACTGGCTCCAGCTGGCTTTGCGCAAAGCCTCTAATCTGGGCAGTCCAGACCACGCTAACTCCTCCGCAAGCCCCTGCGGAGACCCAAAAACACGTCGGCGCTATAGGCCTGGAAGTCACAAAAATTCCTCGATTCATCAAGGTGAATTCCTCTTATTCAATAATTGGTTCTTTAATGTTTGAAGTTTGGATCTGATCGTCCTCATAGATGTGCTTTTGGGTGACTGGCACCCTCAAAGGCATCGTCCTTATCACGAGCGCTTATCCTACCCATTTCTTGTTGGCATACATCCTTCGGAATCTCGTACATTTTCCTCAACACGAGATGCATACATCTGGGCCCTTCCTCGCCGCATGGATCACCAGCCTCTCCACCACCCTCATTCGTCGGCGATGCTACCATGTCCTTGGCCGGATGTTCACTTTCGAGCTGACCATCCGCAAGAATCACTGGTTGATCACCTCGGGACTGTATGCATATGTTCGACACTCTAGCTACTCGAGCGGAGCTCTTGCACTATTCGCCGCTCTCGTATGTCATCTTAGTCCAGGGTCCTGGCTCATGCAAGAATGCTCCACGATCTTTTCACCGGAATGGGTGCAAAGGATCGTGGTGTGCTTTTGGATTATTGCGGGGGTCATTTGCTATTTTGTGATTGCACCGCGGCTGACGAAAGAAGACAATATGCTACGAAAGCAATTTGGCCCTCAGTGGGACCAGTGGGTGCGAAAGGTGCCTTACAAGCTTATTCCGTGGATCTATTGACGTATATATGTTAGATACCTTTATACCAAATTACTCATAATTCTCTTTGGTGTTGCGCCTTTGCTCTTAGAGTGAATAGGATTTGAGTCCGTCCTCTGGATTCTGCATAGCGTGTGCAAGTTCAGGGTCGCAAATGAAAGGTCTCGTCGGCAACGGTCTCGGAAGCTCCCTGCTTCTTCCTCAACGACGCATTTTCCGACTGCACAGCTCAAGCAACATCACTTCTTCTTGCCAACAGTCTTTGACGTGACGTCCAGTGCCAGCTTCACTTTTAGGAGGTTCAGGTGTGGTCTTGAGACCGAGTTCGTGTAGTTGAGATGGTTAAACAGGAAGACGCTGAGGACAAGGTGCGTGTTTTCCCTTCAGTTTCGAGCATGCCACTTCAGCTTTTACTTCCAGGTCATCCGTGTGAAGGATGAACCTGAACAGGGTGTGATAATACTGGATAACGACACTGACACTGACTTGAGCAGCCCCGGGTCCACTGTGCGTTGTCAACCCAGGCTACTTGAGATAACTGGCTAATACTCAACAGAAAAGGGAGGACTCTCCCAAGGTGGAAATTGTATCAGCGTTTCTGAAGCCAGACCCTGATGATGAAGTCATAATCCTCGACTCTCCGAAGCGTCCTGTAAAGAAGCAGCGACTCGTTATGGAAATTGTCCTTCCTACTATGGTGCAACTAATAGCACAGAGGAAGAAAGAAGCCGTCAAAGTAGACAAGAAGATGATAAAGGGAATGAAGCTGACGAGGGTCCGTTCATCTATCGGACTCATAAACCACATTTGATGACAGTGTTTACTCTATAGGGCAAGAAGATTAAGAAGGTCGAAAACATGCAATTCAGCCTGGACACCGTCAACAACAGGTTGAAGCTAGTCAACGCTGTTGTACCATACGAGGTCACACTGGACAAAGAAATACAAGAGTTCACAGTCTCCCAGGATTTCATGTCCTCGGTATATGGTGGGAGCATGCAGGCTACACGTCCAAAAATCTCAGACACCTGCTTCCGAGCTCATGGGTACAACATGTTTGCTTACCTTCATGAGGAATACCACCCACATGCACCGCGGTTTGCTGGGGGACCAGGACTTTTCCTTGGCACAGAAGGTGGGGAAGACTGGGGCGGATCACAACGTGTCTTCACCAGGATTCTGCCTAACATATGGCAGTATATGGGCCAGTACCAAGTAAAATCAACCGAATCTCTGAAACCTGAAGAATGGAAGTGACAAGATGAAAAGGTGTGTGTTTCCTTGTTTCCCCTTCAACGATATGCCCACTGGCATACCCCTTCTAGGTGCGCCAGACCTGGAGCAACGAAATCTGCCACCAAGCTTGGGGCTCTTTAGTTTGCGCTCGTATTCTTGGATGAAAGGAACTCGGTCGTAACCCCACCAAGAAAGAAATGGACAAAATCCGCGACAGCGGAAGATACAAGAGAATTACCCCACAAGAGGTCCTTGCAGCCTATGATTCGGGCGAAGAGGTTTGTGGATAGAATTCACACCCAAAAACTTGTCATTAACACCTTACTTCCATCAGAGACTCGGAGTATGGACAATGAAATGCATTGGCTACGACACTAAATTCCAGCTTGAGCTCTACGAAAAGTTTCCCACTTGGGTTCCAGCACCGAGAAAGCCTCGCAAGAAGAAAGGAGATACTGAAGGCAAATCGAAGGGCAAGAAATCCGTGAAACAAGAGAAAAGAAAGGCTGTTCCTGGCTCGACTGTTGTTTCTAAGAAGCGAAAGCGCAACAAACTCTCCAACTCGGAGTCGGACCTTACTGAACTTGAGAGTGAAGATGAACCAGAACGCGGTGTGGAAGAGGGCAAGGTGGAAGATGGAGAGCCACTTGAAGAGCTACTGTATAAATCTAAAGGGACACGATCCCGCCCTATTTGCTTATGATTTCGTCCACTTGAATGATTTCAGAACTTTTGGGCTTTAGTAGCCTCATTTGGTACCCTTGTTTACTTTTTACTTTAGAACGTTTGCAAAGAGTATGCTTCGGTGTTGCCAATTAATCTTCCCATAAGTGGTCATGCCCTATGCAGCGCCATACTGGACAAAAATACAGATTTACGTTTTTTCCTCATAAGTCCCTCTCCAATCTGTCAGATTCAGGCGGAATCCATCCAATACGGTCCCAATCCGCAGGAAACACACCGATTAGACCCGCTTCGTTCGCCACCCAAAAAAAAAAACCAAAACCCCTCCTGATCTGCAACACATCGCCCTGATTCCGACCGATTCCGACCAAAACCATAATTTTTTTTTAGATCGCAAGGTCCCAAACGGTCGGATTCGTCCCGAATCCGACCGCACACGAGGGAAAAAAATCACTAGATGTTTCTTAAAAAAAGAATTGAGGAGGAATCCGTACGAATCGTCCCGAATCGTCCTGCGCGGCCAGATTCCTCCCGTATCGGAACGATGGGTCATAAAAAAAGGGAGGGTCGATCTGGCCGAATCGAGCAGAGACGGTGCGAAGATGGCGGATCCGGGAGGATAGCGTCGGTCTCGGGACGAAACTGGCAGATTTGGTCAGATTTGGTCAGGCTCTGGCCTAAATTAGGGTTTCTCATAAAAAAAAACTTCAATCGTGTATTTTTGTCCAGAACGGACCGTCATACCCCCCATAGCGACGGAAGCAAATCTCGCAGTGTTGTTTGTAAACCACTACCAGCCACTACCTCTTTTTTACGGCAGCCATGGTAGGCACACAATGCTCTTGATACTCTTCTGATTAACAACTCATATTGAGTTCCAGTCATCTATCAATATGAAAACGAAGATAAAGCTTGAATTCGACGAAGTATCGATCCCTCGTTCTTGTGTTAAAACACTCTCTGAATAGGTCTAGACAGCGAAACGGAAACCGAAGACAGAGGAGATAGAACCTGTTTTTCAGTCTGAGAGGGAGGAGGTCAAAACAGAATACCTCGATGCAGAGCCAGTGAAAGCAGAGGATACGAAACCCGCAAAGAAGGTGGAAGATAGTCCAGAGTCCCCAACTTTCAAGGAACCAGTAAAGCTGCATCCTGAACAGCTCGAAGAAGAGACATCTCCCACAAGAACAAAAATTATCAAAGCATTGGCCTCAGAGGAGCGGGCTGCACTTGTTGAATTGCCAAAAAATGAGCCAGGGACAGAGTCGCACTCGGCGTCGCCGTCACCTGGTCTTCGCGAAGATGTTGAGGTGAGATGGCCTTCTTAACCGGGTGCAGAAAGGGATGAAAAATTATTGTAGATGATTGATTTGACGTCAGATTCGGACGAGAAACTATGCCCTATGGCTGCTATTTCCCCGGACACCGTTCTAGTCAGGCAAGAAACGCCAGACGTTAGCATCATACCGACAGACCCATCGCCGTCCGCGCCTGATAACCCTCAATCTAGACGTCGTTTAATTGCAGAAATTATTGTTCCGACGTGGGCTCAACTACAAGCAGACCGTAAGAAGTTTCACAAGAAGCTCCAAGACTTGAAAAATGTGAGTGAAAACACAATAGTAGCTTTCGGGAATGCATCTGACTGAATGGACGATAAATAAGCCTAAAATCCACAAGATTCAAGACCTGGAACTCGACCTCGATACAGTCGCATCAAGAATAAAAGAAATCGGCTTCGATCCATACCCGGTTGATTTACCTGTCGACATTAAGGAATTCGCAGTCTCCAGAGACTTCCTGTCGAGCACGTATGGTGGAAACATGCAAAAAGCCTTCCCAACGGTTAGCAAGAAATTCTTTCGGCGCCATGGAATGAACAACTTCGCATTTGTTCATCCACACTATCAACCTGTTGGCCCAGAAATGCCGGGGGCACCTGGTCTTTTTCTCTGTAGTGACGTCGACGAGGATTTTCCTGGAAATTACAGGGTATTCACAAGGATTGGGTCAAACATATGGCAGCTTCTAGGTATTTATGAGATCAAACTCTCGATCCGACCGTTCCTTACAGTCGCTGAATGGGCCCGGCAGGATCTTAAGGTATTGCATGATTAAGATAATAGCTGATGGGCATGGGTTAACATGATTGCAGGTTCGCAACACGTGGTACAGGCAAATCTGCACCCAAGGTTGGGGTATCAGCGTCTGTGCTCGTGTAATCGGACGGAAAGAGCTTGGACGAGAACCGACTAAGAAAGAGGTCAAGAAGATTGAAGAGAGTAAGAGGTATAAGAACGTGACACCCGAAGATATTGCCAAGGCGTACATGAGGGGAGAGGAGGTACTATTCTCCTTGTACATGTATGGTACGCTTTTTAATCTGACTCCACAATTTCACAGAAAATGGGTGTCTGGACGATGAAGTGCGTTGGCTATGACAAGAAGCTTCAACAGGAACTCTGTGAGAAGTTCCCGCATTATGTACCGATGCCCAGGAAGAGCAGGAAGGGTGGCAAGGCTGGTGTTAGATCTTCTGGCGAAACCGGAAGGGGTAGCCGCGGCCGAAAGAGAAAGCGTTCAGAGTCTCCAGACTTTGCACAGGATTCCGAGCTGGAGAGCGAAGACGAGAAGTCTTCAGGCGGAAAGTTCATTCTGGTATCCGATGAAGAACAGGAGGAAGAGGAACTGGTTTACCGCAGTAGAGGCACAAAATCACGCCCGATTCACTTGTGACGTCTCATGGGATCTCTGCCATACCGTGGTCGGTTTAGTTAAGCTTGGATAGATGACATACTGCTTTGTATATTTGGTCTCCAAATTGTTTACAGATCGTCTGAATACTTTTGCGGGTGCTGGATGACGAAACCGCTGCGGTAGGGTTGTGCTGTCCTTTCCAGCCATTTCCGAACAACCTCGTTGAGCTTCTCCGGGTGCTCCAGGTGTACCCAATGTGCTCCCGGAAGGAGCTAGAAACGATTGTTTGTCAGATATTTACACGAGTACAGAAGGTTACGCACACTCGTTGTAAGGTCCGGAAGATAATGGGCGGATTTCAGCATCTGCGCTGCAAGCATCCAATCGGCTACAGGGTCCTGCGTAGATGAGGGTGAACAAAACGAGCCCTCAGATCCAAGTGTTCTCACCTCTGTCGGATACACGGCGAGTACCGGTTGTTGGATCGTGTGGTTTCCTTGCGTATGCGCTAATTTCCATGTTTGATATCGGTTCTAAGGTTGGAGCTTGTTAGCAGCTAAATGCTTTCCGGAGGGTAGTCTACGCACTGCATGTGCGTAAAATTGGAGAGCTGAGATTGTCGAGCCAGGATAAGTTGATGTCTTATAGGAGGCTTAGAGGAAGACATACTGTTTCTGAAACCGCTGATATTATACTGTTCGATGAAATACTTTTCTTCGTCGTGAGAGAAGAAGGGCACGGGAGGTATCTGATCCAAGATGTTGTAGGGTGTCAATAAATGGATGGTATAGAATAGCAATTCCTCACACTAATGCCGTCCCACGCTCTCAAGAAAGACTCCGAACATTTGAGGAAATCATGAGGAGGAGGACTTGCGACCGTTCTCAGAGTGGCGCGTATGCTTCTCTCGACATCCTTGCCAAGTTCCTCTGCGGCGACGTCCGGGACAGTGTCGAAGAAAAGTTGGTAATTGAATGTCGGAAACGCAGAGATGAGATTTTTGATAGGGACGAAATGAGTGGCTGCTGGGATGTACTACGGAAACCTTCGGCGTCAGAAAGGGGGACACACAGTGATACATACCGGAACGACTATCCCAACAACCCCTTGGAAGATGTCTGGGCGCCGGCGAGCAGCTTCATAACAGACCGCAGAGCCCCAATCATGTCTGAAGATAGTCACCATTTAGCGATTATACTTAATTATAGGGGAAGAACGTAGACTCACCCCATACAGATCGCCGAGTTGATCTTTGCATGCTCAAGGAGACAGACTAGGTCGCCAACCAGGTCCGCCATTGTCCCCGACGAGTCGGGATTTCCGGGGTGGTCCGATTCCCCAAAACCCCGCAAGTCAGGGACAACGAGATGGTAATCATTCTGCTCTGCGATTCAGATAGGTTCCAATACGTTGACGCGGAGAACTAACCTTGAACGCATCTATCTGGTACGACCAAGTACTCCACAAACTCGGCCATCCATGAACCATGAGGAGGGTTGTAGAAGCATTCGGGTTGATATCCACATATTCTGGGGGAAATATCAGATAGATGTGACGCAACTGGACCTGAGAGGAACGTACTCAAGTTAATGTCGACAACCTTTTCCACATGACCGCGTCGAACTGCCTTGCAGAGGGCATTGTTCTTGTAATATTGTCGCGGATTGAAAGTCGCTACGGCCTCCTGGGCGGTACCGAGGCAAGCAAGGAGGAACAGGCAGCGCTCCAATGCCATACCTATCATCGGGATACCGCGCTGTGAGTCTAGAAAATGGGAACAATGACAACACACGAAAGGAGTGGTCTTATCGTTTTAATGACCCGAGGCAACGAGTGAATGTCTGCGCAGCAGAACAGCCAAGGTGATGCTTTGTGATGTGTTTTGAAGAGTGGAACTGGGCAGCCGCTATTTATACGTCTTTTCGACGGGCGTCACGGTTTTGGTATTGGAACCTGCGCCAGGATGGAACGAAATCGATGACGGTGAGTTCATCTCGGAAGCTAGCTGGAATTAATACTTCTCATTCCTGGTGCGGCTGCTGTCTCCTCGACCCAGTACCGATCCCAGTGTAACTTGATGTCCTTTGGAAATAGAACAAACATCAGATACATTGAGGGTTCCGAGCAAACAATGATCAGGAGTGATGAAACCATAGACAACATGATGCTGTATGCAATTGTTAGATGCTTTATGATACACGATGGTGAAGAGCAAGAAAAGATATGATGCCAAATGAAAACCCAGACTTCTATTGCGAAAAGCAAGAACGCAAAGACGACAGCGATGAGACAGATGCGGTTGAGACAGGAGCGGAATAGACGGCGAGAAGTTGTCAACTGAGGTCTCAGTCGACATCCTCCATGCCGCCTGGCACAGGTGGGAACGGGAAAGGTAGCGGGGTCGGCGGCCCATGGCTAGGGGCGGTGGTCCAAACGAGAAAGACGCTATTGGTATAACCTGCGGAGAAGGAGTTGACGCTGTCGATGTTGGGGCTGGTCCGGGTACGAACATCGGAGTACTTGAAGATGTACTGGTGCGAGTTTGGTTGGCGCTGTTTCCCGCGTTGCGGTTCATTTGCCCTTTAATCGATGTGCGACGCGTGTCTCCACGACCCAAGTTGCTTTTCTTGCGTTGTACTTTCGTAAAAGACGAAAGGTTGCTCAGAGCCTCCAGGATGTGATTCTTGTTGGGTCGATCCCTTAGTCTAAGAAGATAGACAATCAAACCTGACAGGATAATAATGAAAGACAAGAATGCTTACCGGCTGACCATCTCGCTTATAATGTCGTTACCTCGCAAGTAAGGCATCTTCTCGATCGCGTTCGCATAAAGCCTCGCAAGAATAGGGGAACCACCCTTCATTGTCTCGCCCAAGTGCACCCACCCATCAAACCTCAATTTCAAGTTTGGTCGGAACTCCTCTCTGAGATCATCTAAGTCTGGGTCGTTCTGGTCCAGGTCGACGTAGTTGAGAATATCCGCATCATCACCCTCATCCACCCCTGGCAGCATAGGAAGACCCATCATCATTGCTGTGAATGCCAGTGGGTGCATTGGCCCGCTGGACGTTGTCAATACCTGTTCAACCCAGTGCTCGATACGGGTTTTCCTCGCAGGTGTCCCAGCGCGCAGATTCAGTATTTCAGCGAGTTCCTTCTTGTTCGGCTCTTCCTCGATATGCGCGAAACACGAACGGATGTTGGAATGGATCGCATTGAGAGAGTCTTGCAGCTCCTTCTCCAGTATTCTGAGAGCCTGCCTGGAATATGATGTGCCGTCTAGCGTCGCAACAGCATACTGCAGGGTAACAGAATCCCGCGGTCGAATGAGATACATATAGGATTCAAGAAGAGACGAAATCTTCGATAGGTCGCCATTGGATAAGTGGATATCGAGGGCGGCGATAAGGGTATCAGGGCTATCGCCTGCGATATCGGACAGGAGGGTTGAGATGCGCGCTTCAGTGGCTTGCAAATTACCACTGATGGCTAGAAGAGTATGGTGGAGGCGTACGGAGGGTGATTGGCGGAAAATAGTAAACAAATGCGTCTCGATACAGTCTCTGAGAGGTATTCGCTGTCGGTTCAGACTCTCTGGCCAGTAACTTGCGTGAAAGTTGCATGAACACCGTTCATTTTCGTCGCTGTCGTATTCAGAGTCATCGTCGACGCAAGAATAGTCTCCGAAGAGGTCATCATCGAAGTCCTCTTCGTCTTCTGAACCCTCTTCGTCCTCGTCCTCGTCCTCATCATCGTCATGCGCTACAACGGTGAGTGCATGTTCAACTCAGATGGGTGACATGCTAACCTGGCTTCCCTCCATACAAGAGCCTCTGCAATGCATTGTCACCAAGGATAGACTGGATGTCTTCCAGACAGTCAGGGACCTTACCCCTATCTCGTTGAGAACCCTTTGCGAACAAGCACACGAACAAATCACGCCAAATCCAGAGAAGGACGCGGTTGATGTTTTGAGGACCCATGACAGCAAATTGTTTCACTATTTTTCCGTGCTTGTCCTTCAATGCGAATTCCACGGGAAGATTCATGACGGAGCATTTGCATCTGCATTCAGGGTAAACGGGACGTTCAAAGTACATGAACACACCACGCACCCCCCAAGAGTCGAACTGTCCGCAAGTTGAGCTAATGCATCCGCCACAAAAAGAAGACAACTGTGAGCGACGAGAAAGTTGACGTTGTATTCGTAGACGGAGATCCATATGTCGTTGAGCCAGCTGACAAGGCTATCGACAAGCTCTGACAGCAGCTCTTCACGATTGCTCCGCTCTTTGATAAAGGAGACCTTCGCGTCTCGTCCTAGATCGTCGAGCAAATCGTTAATCTGTTTTCTCTTCCCTCGAAGATCGAGCTTCGGTGCATTCTTGTATCTGGTCTGAAGACGCGTCGCGGCGGATATCACTTTGCGTCAGAGGAGTCAGCAAAACAAGCAGTGGGTTCTTTTGAGAAACTAACCTTCTTTCCTTCTGCTCTTCGGCATTACATCCAACAATCCAGCTAAATGTTTCTCCACTAACAACTGCTGGGCCTCCGGAGCCAAAGTGTTGAAAACTTGTGTAAATCTAGCAATCAGGAAATCAATGTGAGCAAGCTTAGATGCTTCCGGTACTTACTTGGAGCTCATCTTGACATTCGCCTCGCCTTCTTGGTCTTCTCTCGAGAAAGAGGTTACTTAAGATGAGCTTAGGCTAAGAAGCGCGGACCGTCCTTCAAACTCCGCTCGGAAAATGCCGAATTGGGTGTGCAGAGTCAGAGTCCTCCTACTGGATTCCCAATCTCTTACACCGTCTTGCAACAAATGGCTACAGATTTCTGGGAAAGCTCGCACTAGTGAGGATAAGAAGGACTGTCGGCACTATGACGTGGCTCATTTCGACGTAGTAAACGGTGGATTGTTGACCGAGCTACGTTGGCACAGGCGAGATACGATGACCTCCAATACGTCGACGATCCGGAGTACTTGGATTTTCTGGCGATTTATTTTGCAAATTGTGAGTACTAGTCTCCTCCTAACAAGGTGGGACTCTCAAACGCGTCTAGTGATCACGAAATTGGGGAAGAAACTGCAATTTCGTCAGCGGGTAATTGCTACGGCTACGGTGTTCTTCCGCAGGTTCTACCTCAAGAACTCGTATTGCGAAACAGATCCATTTACCGTCATCGCTGCATGCTGTTATCTAGCGGCTAAAGCAGAGGAGTCGCCTATCCATATCAAAGTGATCGTGGCGGAGTCGCGGGCAATGTTCAGCCGTATGTGTCCACTAGCATGAAAGAAACAACCTACTTAAAACACGCCCAGAAGAAAACTACAACGTCAAGAATTTCTCATCAGATAACGGCAAGATTGCAGAAATGGAGTTTTACCTTGTTGACGACCTAGAAGGCGATCTGATTGTGTTCCACCCATATCGAACGCTCCTCTCGTTATGCAGGAAGGAGAGCAGTACTTCGTCATCCAATTCGGAAGAAGGAGAAGCCGATGAAGGACCTGGGGTGGGCATTGAAGATGGTCCTCGCTATTGGGGCACTGGAGAGGGTCAACTTGAGCTGCCATCAGCTGCTCTCCAGACTGCATGGTACGTTCCATTCAATACTCCATCTTCCCTTCCTCACCAGCCGTCCAGGTCTATCATCAACGACACCTACAGATCACAATTGTGTCTTCTTCACCCACCTCACCTCATTGCTATTGCTTCCATTTACCTAACATTCATTCTTCACCCCCCTGCCCGACCTGACGCCGCCCACACGTCAGACCATGATCATGCGAATGAGCCTTCTCCCGAGCACCCTACACCGGCCCGTCAGCCCCGCAGGTCATCGCGCCAGGCAAATCAAGCTCCGAGCCACGCAACATCACCGAAGAAGCCGCAAGATCCAATTGCATTTCTCGCAGACCTGAACGTCTCCCTGCCTCTAGTGGCCTCTATCGCGCAGGAAATCATTTCGCTATATACATTATGGGACCAATACAAGGAAGATGTCTCGTCCGAGGCCTCGAAGCTTGCACGCGAGCTCACCAACTCACCTATGTCCAGCGGTGCAAGCCCTCTGAAGCGCGCTGGAAGCCGCAGTGAGAGTGCACTGACAAGCGTAGGCGGTGGTGGAACACCTGGTGCGGAGAGCAGAGATGATACCGTCGATCCGGAAGGGAACTATATCACCCCTGCGTTTCTATCTTCGGTGCTGCAGCGAATGCGGGAGGCCAAGTTGATGGACATGGCACCTCGCCCTGTCGCAGTCAACAAACGGCTCGAACGGACGCTAGCAGCTGGCTAGCTCGCCTTTTCAGCGCTTGCTCCTTGTTTTTCTTAATTAATCCCCCGGCCGCCTTGTCGTCAGACGAAGCAGGCATCATGTATTGTTTTTGCGTGGAATCTACTCTCACGTTGTCTCCGATTACTCAAGTTTTTACCTTCTAGATTGCGAGCTACTACAACCGCCTTGATCATTCCGCCACCCTGCTCAGACCGAAATACTTTATCCCAAATGCACATCCCACATGAATGAGAGTGCGCTGATAATCCGCCGCTATCTTATCTCCTGTGCGGGGTTGACCGCAATCTAGGAAGGCTGTGTAACGGCAAAAAATGCATCATTCCGCCCAACACATCGCTTTCTGAATCATGATCAGCAACTCTCCTGCAGGCTGCATGCGATGATTTTGTGGTCTAACCAAGGTTTTCTAGTGGCACTCTGTTACGCAAGTGCCTAACAGCAACAGGCAATGCCAATGAAACGCACGGCGAACAGCCGGCTCGGCGTTCCGCATTTGTGCGAATCTCCATGTCAAGAGCCATAATAAAACCGGCACTCGACTGATGCTTCTTTCCCTTAGACAGCACTCAACGTCTCTGGAAGGTGTGTTATGTTGTGCAAGATCGGCATTTACCTACCTACTGATGATGACGGCTTGTGTATATCTAGACTGAGTGCCAGTCCGTAGAATATCCGCACCCGCTCACGAACGCTTACGCCCCCTTTACGACCCACTGAGCCAAACAACGACCTCCCTGTAACCAGTTTTCGTCTCTGCCTTTCCGCTTTGTACGTCAACTCATTTCGAGAGTCCTGAATGGATCACTGACAAAGAGTAGCAGCCCATTCCCACTCCCTCGTCTCCCCGGCCCACAGCAGATCATCATGGCGGTCGCCTTCAGCCAACCCTCTATTCCATTGGACATCATCGAGCTGATTATGGAACAACTTGCGAACGATGGAGACACCATGTCAACAAGAGCACTGAAAGCATCAGCACTCGCGTGCAGAGCCTTTCTGCTCATCTGTCGCAAGCATATATTCTCCTCCATCAGGCTTGATGGTCAAGAAGGAGACTGGTCGATTCATGAGTTCAAGCGCATCTTGGAGAGGAACCCCGCCGTTGCGCGCTATGTCCGAAAATTGCATTACTTCAATGATTTCAGTAGCAAACGCGGGCCACGAATTTTACGCCATCTTCGTCGCGTACGGGAACTCACAATTGGATCAGTCGACAGGATGGAGTACTCCCCTTCGCGCAAGGATTGGAAAACATTCTCCCCTCCTTTCCGGCAGTCACTCCGCTATTTCATCCAATACAACGACATTGTCGCCCTCTCACTCGTCAGCATCAGCAATCTCCCCATGTATATCCTATGGTCCTTCCCCAACCTCGTTGACCTCGAATTATTTAACGTCGCCGTTGCGGGCGAAACGTGGCCAAAAAAGTTCAAGGGCTCAGAGAGACCTCCCGAGTTGTCCATACTCCGCGTGAGGCATTGGTCCATAAGAGCCATGCAAGACATATTGTGCGCGGTCGAAGGCGGGGCTTCTCAAGTATGTGACCTATCAGGGCTGCAGGACCTTTATCTTGAGACAGAGGACGGTCGCGGGGGACGGAGTCTGGATTGCATCAACTCTATTTTGCGGTCTTCAAGGAGCTTGCGAACCTTGGAACTCACAAGTATGTCTTCCCTTTTCTCGTGCTATTGTTTCACTCATTGTCCTCGCACCCGAAGTTTACCCGGGTCTTATTTGCTTGGAAACTCTTTCGCAAAATCTGACCGAAGGGTCCTTGAAAACCTTGAAGAAGATCACAATCGGACCAGTCATCGATGGACCATCCCTCGACCCATATCTTCACTTCACGCAGGTTCTGGAGCAGATTTCCGGAAGAAACAGCCTCGAGGAGATCATCTTCGACATCCAGATCGATACTGATCGCCACTGCACTGTTGAGCCCACGACTTGGGAACAAATAGACACGGTCCTCTCGGGCAAGGGTTTCCCATCTCTCCGCCGTGTTCTGATTCAAGTTACTATTGCTTGGTATTCTCCGGGCCACCACGAGTTCCATAGTGGTGTTGAATCTCTCGGGATCACTGCTTTTTCACAGCTGATGGAGAACAAGGAGGTTGATTTTGACTTTGTTGTGAAGCTAGAGGAGGTATAACCACATCTTGTGTAATTATCGTCTTGCGGAAATGCAATGCCACCTTTTTGTGGCGATATTATTGCATAGCTGTTGCTGAGTGTTGCACTGGCTGGTTGCATACCAGTAATCATGAATTAGACGAGGATCTGGGATATACAACTGCTCTAGTCGATGATCTGCGCGAGTTCTAACAAACGCTCTTAAGAATGTCGAAACCGAAACCTCAACGCTCAAAATCGCGGCCGTCCAGTTTTCGTATTATACACATTTATTATACATGAACATACATATCGTGTACATGGTCTACAACTGGAATTTAATCATCATCGGCGGTAGTACAAAGACCTCTTCTTGCCAGCTGGCTTCTTCGCGGGCGGCCTTGGAGAAGCGGGTCTCTTTCCCTTAGCATTGTGCGGAGGCCCTTGGCGGCGAGACGGGCCTTTTTGAGGAGATCGGCTTCGGCTTTTTTGCGGAGATTTGCCTCGTTGGGGAGATCGACCAGGGCGTCCAGGTGATGGGTGCTTTGAACCGCTGGCGTGGGCGTTGGGGTGCTGGCCACCTTTAGCCGTTGGGGATGCCGGCTTCGGCGGAACAGCTGGAGTAGGCGGGGGCGGGGGTGGCTTCCAGCCAGCGTGTGGTGCTGAAATCCAATCAGCTTGACTCGATAGACATTTAAACAGGGAACTGACCCATTGCAGCCTTCAGCTTCTGCACGTTTTCGTGGGTCATAGGGTCTTGTCTCTGGCCAGTTTTCTCATCTTTCCATGGCTTGAGGTGTTGAAGAGACACTTGTTTGGCGGGACCGAGCGACACGTTGCCGTAGGCGCTAGAGCCTGGGTGGAATTGACCGACGGGCGCTTGAGGAGGGTCGTGCGGCAGCTTCTTCGAAATCATGGCAACTTCATATTTCCCAGTAACAGGATGAGGGCCGCTTAGGACCACTCCTGGGTGGATGGTGACTCTTTTCTGCAGGACAATATATCCAAAGGTCGAGAGAATACGACGCAGGATTCAGACGCACATTGTCGATCGTTTTCTCTTCATAAGCGCTCGGCCTAACTCCAACAAAATCCCCAATTTTATGCTCTACGGGGGCTTGTGCTTGTTTTGGCTTGTCGACAGGCGCCGCAAGCACCGGGACCAGGAACAACGAGAGCAGAAAAACCAAGATCGACCTCATGATCTACGCAAATGTCAATTTTCGAAAAAGTATTCACTTGGTAGTATACTCACGACGTAGAAGCAAAATGACAGAGGTATGAAGAAATATTGGATGAGACCAGCTCACGATGGCCGCGGCAAGGGGAAGAGACCAGCTCTGTTGAAGGAAAGAAAGGGTTGCGTGTCTGTGTATATATAACCTCTTAATCAACGCGGCAATGAGATTACGGCTTGTCACCCACCCGTATAGCATCTGCCATTCGGCAGTCTTGACCCAAGCTGGCCGTTTCTGACACTCCAATTGTTTGCAGCGCCCGGCCGAGGTCTGGTGGATGGTTTTCGGATGCGCACAGCTAGGATAAAGTTAGACTTGACGGTTGTCTCTGGAAGGCCCACAGCTGCCACAGAACGAGAGTATTGCGCTGCAGGTCTCTCGGAAAGACAAGTTGTTCATCGCCGCAGGAAGCACCCTGTGGACAGCCTTTTCAAGGAGATCACGGAGGGTTTTGATGTTATCATAACTGATGAAGCTGAAGGCGAACTAGTCTTCATTTGTAATTAGATCCGAGATGGGTTGGCGTCTGTTATCACAGCCAGACAAATGTCAGATGAGGCCTGTGGGCTGAAGTAGATGTGGGCGTTTCGCTTTGCTAACAATAAACAGCTGCTGTGTGCGATGAGCGATAGTGGGTCCAAATATCATAACAGCAGGGTACAATGGTGTACAAAATCTAATACACAGTGATTGAGACCTTCAGTGACGGTGAGGTGAGATACAGGTCATGCGAATCTACATACAAAACATGGAACATAGTTCTTGCTGCGATTGTCGTAAAAGATGCCAGGGGAAGTGTCACAGACAGTCCACAAACCCACAGTGCGAACCGCCATCGAAGAGAACCCATACGTTAAGGCTCGCGATTAGCCGAACTCTTCAAAGGATTTTTGTCTCCGAGAACCTGCTTGAGGAGAAGCTCCATGCGCTCATAATCTTCACGAGAACGCTGTAGTTCTTCCAACACGCGGGCCTCGCGTTGTTCGTATACTTCTCCCATGGCACTCAGACTGCCGAGCGCTGCATCAAGGGCACGTCTGAGGCCTTCTTGAGAGGAACTTCCATCAGATCCATCTCCGCCAGAGCTGCTCAACGCCGATGCTTGAAGCCGGTCAACGAGAGAAGACTTCTGAGGGCGAGTGGTACGCCTCTGAGCGGCCATACGAGCGAAGTTCGAACGTAATTCTTTCATGTTCGTCGAGCTCGAAAGCGCAGGCTGGCGGCGAATTGACCTTGATCGAAGCATATGCAGCTTGGTGGTGTGCGATGGGGACGCCAATAGGACCATCATAGCGTCAGTTTGTCGGTCAAGGGTTTGGAACTGAAACGAAAATCAGAATATGATCCTGCAGAGGATGCGAAGGACCCACCGCTTGGATAAGATTTTCCCATCCTACCTCCCATTTCCTGCGTCGTTTGCTGACGTTCTTGACGAAGGCAGGGTGATACTCCAACTCGATAAGATCGTCGTAGTCGTCCTCGTCCTCCTCATCGACCCATTCACCCTCCTCTTCTACATCCGGAGAGTCGTTCGGGAGAGGAACTTGAGCGGGCTCGCGGGGTGCAGCCAAAGGGAGAATGTCTGGAGTAGGGTCGAGTCGCTCTTCTCCAGCTGTCTCTTCACCAGAGGAGGAGAGCTCCGGACTCGTCTCCCTCGGCTGAGTACTTTCGACTCGCGGCGGGGGTTTGCGAGTGTATGCAGCCCTCTTCGTATGAGCGCCTCTATCTTTCTTCCTTGGGGCAAAATCAAACATCGGAAGAGGAATGGGTTGATGGCTGGGGCTCGAATGCATGCTCGCAGTCTCAAGCATCCCTCGCATCATCTTGTTCGTATGTAAATGCGCCCAATGGTCGTACAGATCACCTTGGAAAGGCGTCGACGTCGGAGACAAGGTCGAGTCGGTGATATTGCCTTGATTATTCTGAGCGAAGATCTGCCATTGTCGCGCGACCTGCTCTTGAATGGTGGCAGCGTCAAGCCCGTTCTGAAGTAGTCGATGGGTCTGGGATTGCGGTCGGTTCCGCCGTACGTGGTTGAAAGGGAAGGGATAAGGCGAACCGGCGGCGCGTGCTGGGCCACGATAATGAGGCATGTTGCCCATAAAGGGAGACGGAGAAGGCGCAGCGGTCTGGCTATGAGGAGTGGGTGGAACGGGTGCATCGGGACGAGAGGAATGGAGATATGCGTTGATATATGCAGAGGTCGACTCCTCGCCATAGCTGTGGAAATCGTCTGGGTAGACCTGTGGCGGGACGTATTGACCGTTGCTGCCATGAGGAGGGGGCTCGTGGTTGTAGGCATAGTCTTGCTGTGAGACGTATTTCGGGTACTGATGGCTGTCGTTTTGACCTCCGTTGACTGGCTGCGCATACTTCGGAGGGCGTTCAGAGGGCGGGAGTTGCTGAGCCGCGGATGACAATGGAGGTGCTTGCTGCTGGGGTTGCCGATCGAGAAGAGCACTATCGAGACCACGCATGATCTGGTCTCCCGAGCCATTTCGACCTTTACGAGCAGGCAGGGGGGCAGGCACTCTGATTGGGATGTTCTGGTTGGGATAGTACGGTTCGCGGGTGTCGTCGGGCAACTGTGCAGTAGGGGATCTCGGAGTATAGCCGCCAGACTCTTCGGTGCTATCCCTTTCAGCATACTGTGAACGTTCGCGATCCTCGTCGTCCTTCTCGTCTTCTCTGCGCACAGCCTGGGCGTTGGGCTCAAAGCGTTGAGCCGTGCCTTCTGGATTGAGATCAGAAGACGGTGTGGGCGACGACGAGTGGAAAGGATGTTCGTCCACTTGATCACTCGCCTGCCAGTTTGAGTGAACGCCGGAGCCATTTTTAGAGGTGACCTCATCTTCTTCTTGCACAGGAAGAGATCGGTCTGGGGTACGGGCGGATATGGCCTGCAGAGGCGGTGTCTGGCTGGCCATTGACGTATTCAGTCGCTGGGGGTCACTGTTTGGCGCCCGTCGCAGAGGAGGCGCATCTCGGGCGCTGTACTGGGCAAGGTAGCTAGCGGGGTGAGGCTCCGTTGGCAATTGAGGCGACATGCGGCGTTCTGGGGTCGATGATGGGAGCTGACCGAAGGAGGCGATGATGGGGGATGCAGGCTGGCGATTCTTGGGGCTTTCGCGGGCAACTTGCTCACGTCCCCTGGGTTGAGTGGTGGGGCTCGCCCTCTCAGCAGAAGCCCGAACGCGCTCCACATTCGGGCCTCTTCCCAGGGGAGAATCGTTGCGGGGGGCAGAGGGATACGACTGGACCTGGGACTGATATTGGGCTTGTTGTTGATCGGCACGTTCGATGTCTGCCAGAAGCTCATCCGTCATCTGCCAATGGTCGTCCATGCTTTGGAACTTGTTAGGATAGGCCGCAATCGGAGCACGAGGCGCAGGGCGTGGGTAATGGGAATTGACGTTCGATTGAGTTGGCGCTGGAGGCGGTGGCGAGCGGCGATCTTCCTGGAAGCTGGGAGGGTTATTGTGAGGGGGAGTAGGGAGTAGGCGAGTGACCTGGCCAAGTGGAGACGAACGCCGGGGTGCATTGCTGGGTATCGTTGGGCTGGGCTGCGGTTGGCTTTGCGAAGGAGCTTGAGGGAAAGCCGCCACAGAGGGCACCATAGGCATAGACTGTGTTTTCAATGCTCGCGGTCTTTGATCGCGAAGAGTAGGAGAGGGCGACATCTCTCGTTGTTGATGATTGAGCAGCGCTCCTAGAAAAGGTACTTATCAGTATCAATCCCTCGCCGATGGTCGAACGATGAAAGAGAAAGGCCCAACCACAACGTCCAAGATAACCATGATGCGAAGCGAGATTCCAGTCCGTGGGCAGGCTCATGTGATAGGAAGGCTGATAAAAGGGAGAAACGTACCTTGCTGCGTCTGTGGTCTGCGCTGGCGCTGGGGCGAATGACTTGCCATTGGCTCGATGAGTTGTGTTTGGAGGTGGGGAAATGGCAAGAGCCTGAATCGACGTTGCAGACGAGCGACGTCTATAAGGTCGCAAACGGCGCGTTTCCAACGTGTACAACGTCAGCGCAATGCACTGAGAGGTGGACAACGAGGTCGGCAGCCAGGTTTGGAAGCCCAAGGTGCCTCGAGGCAGTTCGACCCATTTGACGGCAAGACAAGAGAGCCTAAATCTATTTTTCACCTTTCCAGGTCGTCGACGGCGTGACGCTGGAGTCGGGCTTGATTTTGCTTCATTTCCGGTTGATAAAGCGATCCAAGTGACGAGCAATAGAAAGACTCAGAAAAGAGAAAAAACAAGAAGGTTTTTGTCGACGGTTGTTATCTCTTCTTCCAGAACGAGCAGGTTGCTTCTTTTTCGGACCGTCAGGGTCTCAGGGTCGTGAGGAACTTGGAAGCCAAGAGCGTTCGACATCGAAAGCTTTTGAGGATGTAGTGACAATAAGTACTTGGTGCAGAACAATTGTAAAGAGGGAGAAATTTCATACGCACTTGTCTAGCGCTGGATTATGTCCTGAATACCTTCCGATTTTGTGAGGAATTTGAGAAAACTTCCCATTCTTTCACTGACTACTTACATTCGTGTAGATCCGGTCGAACCGTGGCATTGAACCAGTTGGTGGAGAACTTAGGAAAAGAAAAATTCGTGCATCTATGCGATTATTGTTTGACTTTACCTAGGACTTGGAGATAAGATAAGATTGCGTCTCCAAGTCGAAAGGCTCACTAGAAATCGACTTTTTCTTTTCACCCTTCTCCCTCCAAGCAAATTTCAGATCTCTGTGGACTTAAGTCTCGTATCTTTGCCGTCCCTTAATATCACTCTAGTTTTAACGAACGTCTCCGTCTCCGGCCGCGGTGATCAGGAAAGAGGCCTCTACAGAGGTTGTCTTTGGGTTGTGTACAGCTTTATATTCCGGAAGCGTATAAATGGGACTTATGTAGGAAACTTGGCCGTAATTTGCCTCTTTGATACGGATTTTGCTTGAAGATCCACATCGCTATGCGTGCCTCCGTGATGAACAAAGCTCAAGGGTTTCGCTATAAATGCGATTATTGTCTGTCCATCAGCGGCGGACAGCGGCGATCCGGAGAAGGTTAATCCTGCCGATGACATGATAGTAATAGGTGTCTGTATACTCTACCAGCGCAGCTGATGAGCGGAAATGGGCGCTTATTTTTTAGAAGACAGGGACTGCTTCCAGGACCAAGGCAGTTAATGAGCTCGCAGAGTCCAGACGCCTGCAGAATTCTCCTCGGATCGGCCGTTCCACGTATAGTTAGCTTACCTTGTGGCGCAATTCGTATCATCTTCCGCACAGCACGGGAACCTCTCCCTGATGTCTCGAGCTCCCTTCGCCGAATCGGGCGAATAAATTTCCGAGACTATAGATTACACACCTGCAGAATCGCAATCACTCTGTTTCATCCCCGGTCTTCCGAGTCTTACACAGTGACGCGATGAACATCGACGTGGACTCCCTCCAGCTTCCCAACCCTCACACTCCAATGGCCTTCCTGGATCCAGAGCTCGCTTATCAGCTGACAATTGCTGTCTACGTCCACGTTGGCGCCTTAGCTGTGGGTTTGTTTCTGCAACTTATCAGTTCATTTGCAACCGAGGACATTGACGCGACATTATCTCTTTCAGGTACTGATATGGGACATCTTGAACAATCTACGTCAAGACATCTCGCTCGCTATAGGTCACCCACTTAGGTTCCCCACTGTGTTTTACTTCTTGTCAAGGTGGATACTTTTTCTGTTTAAACCGAAGATATAGAGAAATCAAGCCAGGTCGCGGACTTGCTAGGTTGGCATGCCTTTGTTTCGTTCTGTTCGTGGTGGTCGCCCAAAGTAGGTCCTTACCGACAACACAAGCCAGTTAAATTATTGATTTCATCTCGGGTTATATCCAGCCGCTCCAATAGACGCACCCTGCCTGGCGTTCGGCAAAGCCGCCTCCTGGTTCTACGCTCCTGCCGTGTCCATAACCTCACTCCTCTTCCTCATCCGCCTGCGTGCTATCTTCGACGGACACACGCTCGTCCGCCTCGTCTTCAGCGGCTTATGGCTCTGCGTCCTCGCCTCATGCCTAACACCTGCCCTGGGTCTGACGAACGCGAACATCGGAACGACGAAGTATTGCTTGCAGGTAGACGTCAAGCCATACGTCGGCGCTGCGACAATCGTCCCGTTAGTCAACGATACGCTGGTTTTCCTTGCAACCTCGTGGAAGCTGATGGAGAACGCCTATGTTGCTGCGTACCCGCTGACGGGTACGAAAGGTTTGGGGTTTCGCGTGAAGGCGTTCTTTCGTGGAGATTACCTCCCTGCATTTTCGAGGGGGCTGCTGCATGATGGGCAGGTGTACTACCTGTAAGTGGCGATGGTCGCTCCTTTCTCCGATAAAAAATAATACTATGATGCTAATTCGTCCTCAAAGAACCACGGTGACGACGAATTTAATGGTAGCGGTCGTCTTCCATTTTCCCTCCGTCCCAGCGGTCTATCAGTCGCTGCTCGTCATACCGAACGTGACGCTCATGAACATCATGGCGTGCCGCGTATACAGGCGTACCAAGCAGACCCGTTACAAGGACGCGGGTATCCTCAGTGGCAACGTGTTGTCTTCCCAACCACTCAGCTTTCCTCTCGCTTTTGCAACAATCCGCAGTCCGCATGGAACGTCGAATTTAAGAGAAAGTGGACAGGAAGGTATTGAATGTCCCAAGTCGACATTCTCTGTTGGGACATTTGCGACAATTGAACGGGGAGACGACGAGGGAATGCGGACTTCCGAAGTAGACAACACCGACACTCCTGCCAGTGTCACTGTAGTTAATAGTGCACGCAGATGAAAGATTTTATTCATAATTACTTCCTCCCAGGACATTATTCTATTATGAGGTTTGGATCATCCATTCCCAGATTTGGGGTCTTGAACGACTAGGAGGCTTATGGCGCCGATCGCTTTCCATTTTCGGCGTCAATAATACATAACACATTAAGCGCCCAATTTAAGCTTGGCGTGCGTTCCCAATAGGATACTCAGAGCTGACTTCAAATCCATAAGTTCCAACCCCTAGTCAAATCATCAATCGATACAACAAATCTTACACATAAAATACAACAGCTACTTATACATTCACATCCATCTCCCTCAACGCTCTCCTCTGCAAGTCCTCCCATCCATAATTATCCCCGAATACAATCTCTCGCTTCCTACGCTCCCTTTCCTTTCCCTTTCCCTTCGGGTCGTGCCTCTCCCGGCTCCTATCGCGACTATGGTGGTTCCGATTCGGGCTCTGACCCCGGTGCGGGTGCTGCTGACGCCCGCCTTGGTGCGGACTAGGACTCCGCCTCCTACCCTGATTCCGTCCAGGACTGGGACTCCTCCCTCTTTGTGGTCCAGGGCTGCGTCCCCGATGACTATCCTGTCTCTGCCTCTGGTTGGGGTACGGACCGGACCTATTCGGGGGCCTCGACTGCCTCGGAGGCCGTGAAGGACCAGCGACAGGGTGTACTTCGATCCCGCCCCGGCGCCTGCCTGAGTTCGGGTGAGGAGCGGGTGGTTGCCGTTTTTTAGACTGCTTGGGCGAGGGAGGCGGAGGCGTTGGTAGTTTCTTCCACCCAGCGTGTGGCTCTATAAGCAAACTTGAGCGTCTATCCTCGCCTCAAACTATCAAAAGTAGAAAATCCACTCACTCATGGCCGCCTTCAACCTCTCCACCCCCTCCTTGTCCATCGGCTTCTCCACGTGGCCCGTCTTCTTGCTCTTCCAGCTCTTCGTGTCCTTCGCGTGTACCTCGACAGGCGGGGCGAGCGACACGTCCCCATAGAGCGTGGTGTGCTTGTGGAACTTGCGGATGTCGGCGCGCGGCGGGCTGTGCGGGAGCTTTTTGGAGATCATCGCGATCTGGTACTTGCCCGTCTCGGGGTGGGGGCCGCTGATCACGACACCAGGGTGGATAGTCACCTTTTTCTGTAGGGAGAGGAGTGAATTAGATGAAGTTCAGTGAAGGTGTGCAGAACGTACGTTAGCGGCGCTCTTCCCCTCATAAGCGCCGGGTCGCACGCCCACGACGTCCCCGATGTTTGGGATGGGTCCGGGCGTCCAGTGGTCCGGAGACGGAGATTTATTCTTTTCCGGGATAGCAAGAGGCGCGAGCGATGGCCTGGATGCACGGCGCGTTGGAGAAGTGAGCGGTGAGAAAGGCTTTGTGGTTGTCGGGTTGGCTGGTGCTGGAGCCGAGAGGACTGCTAGCGGTAGGAGGAGTCCATATGTGAGGATGAAAGATAAGATGGAGCGCATAATCTAGCGCCATAGGCGCCGTCAGACTGGGACCGATGCGGCATATAATACGCATGGACGAACCGACGGTAGAATATACGATACAGCAACGTGCAAACCCAGAGAAGCGAGACCAGCTCGAGGGGGGGATCAGTAGAGACCAGCTCTGGTGCTGGATGGAGTCCAGCGTTTCACTCTGCTATATACAGCACCTGGCTGAAGCAGTGGGTCCGTTTATCTTGTTAGACGTACCGCCCCAGGCGTCAGGAGAGACGGAGGGGCGCACTAATCAGGGTACAGCAGTGCCCAGCCGAGACGGAATGTGCAACGATAAGATAAATCTGGGCTAGTCTGCATGGGACTGTGGATGCGGTATCGTGTTGGTGTCACTGGTCGGCGATCGGATTTTACGCGCTCAGCAGCACACAGGTGAGAGTGCAGTGCCTCGAAAAGGGCCTTATTCAGAACAGGAGATCCCGGATGATGCACGAGAACAAGAAAAGAAGTGTTGTTGTGCTCGGCGCTGGTCCTGTGCTCTAACATGACGTGAACGCGGGAAGGAGGCTTGATAGACCGGTTGGATGGATTGTGGGCTGTTAGTTTTGACCTGTGCTTTCTTTGGTTCTGAGTGCCGTGTCCTGACATTGGGCGCGCTCTCGGATTCCTGGAGTCTGGGTTGGTGTTTCTTTTCGTGTTCGGGTTGTGGGTGTGGTCGAACCGATGTTGCGTGTGCAATCTGTCGTCCAAGCAGCCGAAACGTCTTGATTTTGTTCGTAGGCCGATGATACTAATTTTCAGTATTGACCGTAGAGGTCACAACAAAAGGGTCTGAAAAAACAATTGTAGGATGGCCGTTTGTTTTGTTTTGGATTCCAGTGTTCGCGGTTGCGTTGATCATCCAAGCGCCCATATCGGCGCCTGTTGCAGATCGCTCCATGGTTCAAGACCCCGTAGGCGATGCTGATTTTCCTTGGAACGTCGCTAGGATCCGGTACTCTTGCTCTGTGATGCTGGACGCTCTTGGTTGAGATCTGACGGCTTGAGCAGCACTAAGTCCACTCAAGGAGGGGCCGGAGGAGGCACCTAAAATACCACATCCTTAGGAAGAATCCGGAAGCGTAGAATCGTCTTTCAGGAACGAGAAGCATCGAAACTCTGAAGCACAGTGGATGTCCATTGATAAGACTGAGGCAAGGAGATCCAACCTTAACGACTCTTCTTCCTGACAGTGACCATCTCGAGCCATTCATCGTACATCCTGCAGCCATAAGGTCGGCATTCGTCCCAGCTCGAGCTCTTCAACTTCGGTGTGGGCGATGTGGGGTTGAGGTGGAGATAACGGGTTGGATACTCTGTGACTAACCTGAGCGATTGACGGTGACGACGAAGATAGACATTCTTGGAACAACACCAGGATGCCGACGTGGACGATGAGCTCGACCCATTTGGTGGTCGGAAGACAAACTGGAGGTCGCCCCCGATCCCGGGATTGGTCGTCCGAAGTGACCCGACGCGGCGGAAAAGTCGTCACGCCGCACGGAAATCCACGCTCAAGCGACTTTCTCTCTTACACCTCGACCACCACCACCACCTCCACAAAAATGCTTGCCCGCTCTGCTGCTCGCGTCCTGGCCGCGCCCCAGACCCGTCTTTTCTCTGCCTCAGCAGCGCACCGCACCAAGGTGGCCGTTCTCGGTGCCGGAGGAGGAATTGGCCAACCTCTCTCCCTGCTCCTCAAAAGTGACCCCCTTGTCACCTCCCTCAGCCTCTACGACATCCGCGGCGCACCTGGTGTCGCCGCTGATGTGAGCCACGTCGATACTGGTAGCGAGGTGCGTGTTTTATGGGATGGAATGCGAAGGGATGTGAACGAGGCTTGTGACGTGTAGGTGCAAGGGTACGCTGCCGACCAGCTCGACCAAGCTCTCGAGGGCGTTAAGGTTGTTGTCATCCCTGCTGGTGTCCCCAGGAAGGTTCGTGGTCCACCTATACATGAGATTGCCCAAATACTAACTTTTTCCTTAGCCTGGTGTAAGTCTTCGAACGCGTTGATTATGAGCCTCGGGACTGACTCTCATTAGATGACCCGTGACGACCTCTTCAACGTGAGTAGTCCGGTTTTACCCAACTCCGCTCCCTTTTCACCCACTCTGCTCACCCACTCCGCCTCTCCAGACAAACGCCTCCATCGTCCGCGACCTCGCTTCCGCAGTCGGCCGCGTCGCCCCCGACGCCCACATCCTCGTCATCTCCAACCCCGTCAACTCCACCGTCCCCATCGTCGCCGCCACGCTTGAGAAAGCCGGCGTCTTTGACCCGCGTCGCGTCTTCGGTGTCACCACCCTCGACGTCGTCCGTGCCGCACGCTTCCTCGCTGGCGTCGTCGGCGCCACACCCGCGGAGACCGCCGTCACCGTCGTTGGCGGCCACTCCGGGCCGACGATTGTACCCCTGCTCTCGCAGACCAAACTCGGCAAGGACGTCAAGGGTGAGGTGTATGACAAGCTCGTGCACCGCATCCAGTATGGTGGGGACGAGGTCGTGAAGGCGAAGGATGGCGCGGGCAGTGCGACGCTCTCGATGGCGTATGCGGGTGCCAAGTTCACGAACACGCTCCTCCAGGGCTTGAACGGGGAGAAGGGCGTTGTTGCGCCTACGTTCGTCAAGAGCCCGCTCTTTGTTGACCAGGGTATCGATTTCTTCTCGTCGAACGTCGAGCTTGGCGTAAGTATCTTCTGTGTTTGGTGTAATGAATGATAGTAGCTAACCGTGTCTTCTCTCTTTTTTACAGCCCAACGGTGTCGAGAAGATCCACCCCCTCGGCGAACTGTCTGCTGAGGAAGAGAAGCTCCTCGCTGCCTGCTTGCCCGAGCTCAAGAAGAACATCGAGAAGGGCAAGGCTTTTGTCGCTTAGATGGTGTCGACCTAGAGTAGACGAGCCATATATTCCTTTCATGGTCCTCTTTTCACATCGAAAAGAAAGGCGTGGACTAGGAGAAAATACAGGAGGAGAATCCTGTCGAACTTGAGGAGTTTCTCTTGGGCTCATCGGCACGATAACAAAACCGGGCCGGATCCGGCGGACTTTCAACCTCATCCATCCCGGCATTGCGGCGAGCCTTGCCCTACTGATCAGTAGGGAAAAATGCGACGTTCTCATGAGAACGTCGCCAACCGAAGAGGATATACAAGGTTAACGTCCTGAAGTAAGTATATGAGCCATAACAGAAAGATAAAGTCGTAAAATAATCGGGCGGCATCAAGCGGCCGTTTTGTCGCTTAGGCGCTCATGAAGGCTTTCCTGATTCGGTCAAAGGCTACACAACTTGTACTAAAGCAAGCGAAAAACAAGAAAACTTTCGAATGCAAAACCGGAGACATTTAGATAGATAATTATTCTCGTGATGAGGGATTCTGCCTCGCGATGACACTTTCAATTTCGCAGTGCTAGGATTCTTCAATCGCCCGCTCCGAGTCCCTCTCGGGCCGTGATTTCGCCTAAAGCCAAGTCGATGGGCCCTTGTATCCTGAGACGGTTTCTCATGCACAGGTCTTCCTCAAGAACCAGTGCTTCAGAAGCAGTCTACACGAGGTGCATAAGTGACTGATACTCGGCAACTGTCTGACCAAGTACATAGGCTCTTGACTGTGACTGTGAGTTTTCCAAGGGTGTTAAGAGCGGAGCTGCAGCTCTACAAGTTTCTGCGAGCAGGATGAACGAACCATTTGACACCGCCTCGTAAGTAGGCGTATTATCCTACAGTGCGTAAGCATGCGCCTGAGAAGTTCTGATCGCATTGGTCACTGGAGAAGGCCGTCTGTCATCAACCTCGACAGAATGCGAAACTACAACAACATAGCACGTGCACCCCTCTGGGAATCTTGGCGATGAGAAAGGGACTTAGTACACCCATCGAAGGATGGAAGTGCCAACCCACCGTTATTCTGCAGACATGCCTTTGAACACCTCCCCGCCCGAAGTGGAGAAGGTTCTCAAGTCGAGCGATGGCATAGAGATATTCGCAAGGACAGCAGGCCGGTCCGACAATCACAGCCTTGTTTTCACCCACGGTTTCGCCTTCAGCGGGCATGTATTCGACGAGTTATTCAAGGACGAGAAGCTGTTGAGGGAGTTTTACCTGGTAAGCAATTACCCAGACTATTTTCATTTAATTCGCTGACGACAGTGACAGGTTTCGTACGATGTAAGGGGCCATGGCAGAAGTGGAAAACCGAAGAGGGAGGAAGATCATACCTCGGCGCTTTATGCCGCTGATTTCGCGGCCGTGGTGAAGGCGTAAGGCGTTCGACCTTGACTCGCCCATTCGTGTCGGGTGGTGAGTTGGGCCAGCGCGATTTGTGGAGAACTGTGCTGATGTTCCGTTGTGTAGGAGTATGGGAGGTATGGTTCAAACCACAGGGAAAGGGCATCGCTTACCAAGTTAACGACGCAGCGACTGTGGCCTGCGACGTCTGCGCACACCTGCCACCCAACGCCATCTCAGGGATCGTCTATGTATCAGGCTTGCCTTACATTGACAGAAACGTGATGAACTCCCTCGCTGCCCCAGGAGCTTTGGATATCTCCTCAGGACTTCTATCCACTGACGACGTCCTGTATTCCAACGTCGCGAAGATCGCGTTCGTCGACGCCAGCTTCACGGATACGAGCAGTGTCCCCGTCAGCGTCAAGTTGTCCTGGCTGGGAGCAGCAACAGTTCAGAGCCCAGTGGATAGGCAACTCGTGCTGTCTCGTGCGCAAGATGCAGAGAAGCTGCGTCAGGCAGGATTAAAGGGACTCCCACTGCTCCTCATCAGTGCATCTGCAGATAAGCTCATCCAGTGCGATCTTGTCGAGAAGGAAATGAAGCCCTACTTCAAGGATCTCGAGGTCCACACGGTCAAAGACGGGAGCCATGTTGTGTTCTATGAGAATCAGGAGGAGTTTGTCGAGGTGTTGACGCGTTTCGCGAAACGCGTGTTTAGGAAGAAGCGGCCTGGTAGTAGGTTGTAATCCAGAGAGCTCGATTTTGCCTGGCAAATTTAGGATGTAAATGATAGCGAAAGCCGTTCCGGCGCTTCGGCGCTTCGGCGTTCATTGTAGATTCCTGATTCGGCAAAGAGACACACAACTTTGGGTGAACTATAGTCAAAGTCTGACGGAGTATCACATATACATTGTATACGTAGATATCCACAGGAGATGAAACATGGCGGCCTTTAGGAAAATAAATACTCAGGGTGATTGTTGGCTGCGAGAGGTTCCGTTCGAGGTTGCCCAACAGGCCGTCGAATACATCCGCCTTGACAAACCAGAGTCCACCCCATACGAGAATAGGATGTTCACTGTACGGAGCAGGCGAATGAAATTAGAATCGCGCTTTATACTATGCAAGCCTAATCCCTTCCCAAACAGAATTGCGCGCGTGACTGAATAAACGGGTAAATCCTCTCTGTGCAAACGACGTTCAGTCATTCCCCAAGACTTCGTGGCGAAAAATCCTGACTCAGATGCATTGCGGTGACGCCTCCGGATTTGTAGGGTCTGACTTTTCCTAGCGGCACCCGCCAGGCGCCATCATACGGCACATTTCATCTTCGCTCGTCGCAGGCCCACTCGATCTTTTGGAGCACCGCGGTGAACAGGCCTAGGTGCAACGGGGGCGGGGCAGGTGATGGAAGGACGCCTCAAGGAAGTTGATAATCGGAGGAGTATAGTCGAGCCGCTCTTCGATGTCGAACCCATGTAAAGAGTATGGGTTCTCGCCTGCTTAGTCGCTACATCGAGCAGCCAGCTAAGCGTGATTTTTGGCATTTGATAAGGTGCGGTTAGAGTTCGAAGAACGTGCTAACCGAATCTAGTAGATCTAGTTCCATGTTCCAGAATGACATTAACGTCCGTCAAGGTTGAGATCTGTTGAGATGGTTTTCATTAGGGTGTCCAAATCTCTTTCTTTCCTTCTGGCCTGAGACACAAAAATGCTAGTCCAATGCACAGATCCTGGAAGTCAGAGGTGTCATCCGCTGGATCTCTGCAGTGCCTACGGTAAATGTCGCGGATGCTCTAGACTCGCTTGAAAGTCAACGGGATCAGGGGACCTTATAGACCTCGTGAGTGTTACGCGGTTTGTTCTCGCGCTCTTACACTTCAACGTAAAGGATATGTCATTCGGAGGTGAAGCTGTGCCTACACTCACTTGCAAGACGAACGGAACGGTCGAGTTAGGTGTGAGACCGAGCATACAGGGAACCTTCGCGAGTACCTGTCTTTCGCACAGAGTTGAAGTTGGCGCAATAGAATCAGCATGTTCACCGAACTGCCGTTCTAAATGTCGCATTGCGGCGATGGCGTCGATTGCTATAAAAACGCTGGCACCGGTGACGGCTCGTAGGCAAAGCAGCACTGGGCAGAAAATAGCACCGTAAGCAAATCTGACAGATATCGTTATCGAGAAAAGGAGGTTTGATCGCACCAGGGAAGACCACCCATGTCCACCTCGCATCATGGCATCATCCTCGACAGAAGGCGACACCGCGTCGTGGCGCGGCGCAGGTCCGGGGACCAGGAAGCCGGTCTTATTTGGCAATCGCCACTGATACAGATGGACGCCTAAAGATGGAGCACAATTACACAAGCTCCGCTACAATGCAGACTGAGACACTGATAGTGGGATGCCGATATAAGTATCGACAGATGCGAAGGGGAAGTGATGCCAGCCTGAGCCCACCTTCCTTATCACACAAGAGTACTCAATTAGCCTGCAGCCATGCCTTCGAATGTGCCGGGCCCCAGAGTTGGACAGGTCCAGAGGGTCCTCAAATCGAGCGATGGCACAGAGATATTCGCGAGAGCGACAGGCCGGTCGGACAATCCCAGCCTCGTTTTCGTCCATGGGTTGGCGTTCAGCGGAATGGTGTGGGATGAGTTGTTCAAGGACGAGACTTTGTTGAGGCAGTTTTATCTGGTATTTCCACCGATTAGTTTGGGGTACGGTGCTGACGGGAGATAGGTCTCGTATGATATGAGGGGTCATGGGAGAAGTGGAAAGCCGAAGAGGGAGGAAGATCATGCTTCAACACTTTATGCCGACGATTTTGCGGCGGTCGTAAAGGCGTTCAACCTTAAATCGCCTATTCTTATCGGATGGTGAGTGAATTCAGCATTTTGTGAAGACTTCACCTGAAATTTCTTCCTGCAGGAGCTTAGGAGGTGGGTTCGAAAGTTGAAACCAAAGTGAGGAACGGGACTCACCAAAATATAGGGACCGTGGCCTGCGACGTCTGCGCTCACCTACCCAACACCATCTCAGGAATCGTCTATGTAGCGGGACTGCCTTACATCGGACCAGTGATGAACACAATCGCGACTCCAAAAATTTTGGGGATGCTGCCCGGGTTTTTCTCGACCGACGACGTGGTCTATTCCGCCACCACCAAGATTGAATTCATCGACATCAACTTTAAGGATCCGAACAGTGTCCTCGTCAGCGTTAAATGGGCTTGGTTGGGGGCAACTGTCATGCAAGGTCCTGCTGATAGCCAACTTGTGCTGTCTCGCGCCCAGGATCCAGAGAAGCTGCACCAGGCGGGGTTAGCAGGGCTCCCGCTGCTCTTGATCAATGCATCCGCAGACAAGCTCATCCAAGGAGATGTTGTGGAGAAGACGGTGAAGCCGTATTTCAAGGACTTGGAGGTCCATACGGTAGAAGGTGGAAGCCACGTTATGTTCTACGAGGATCAGGAGGAGTTCGTCCAGGTGTTGATGCGGTTCGCCAAAAGAGTTTATAGAAAGAAGCTCCCTGGTAGTAAACTGTAGTCTGAAGCGAAATTGTAGACGCATTGGGCGTTTCAAACTTATCGCGATGATGGTTAGGAGCAAGTTACCCGATGCTCTTCCCCGAATCGTTTCCGTATGAAGCGTGCGAATACTTAGACTTTCGGCAGGTCGGCATTCCCCAGGACCAACCAGTGATCTTCGAAGCTCTTCGAAGTTTGGGATGGTGCAATTGATCTGCTTTCCAGGTTTCTCATAGGCATACTATTCTTGCTATCTCAGCTAACAAGCGGAATTCTCGATATATTTTGGGCCATCCAGGATGGAAGCGCTTGTAAAGCTTATCGAATACGTTCGTCATTTCGATCCCCGTGGGGTTCTTCTCACCGAGCTTGCTCTGGGATCACATCACGCCTTGAAGTTAACTCTAAAGTTAAAGGAATTTTCAATCGCCTCGCCGGAGAGCAGAACTTGACTTCTGAGCCGAAAGTGCGCCCTCATGGGAGATTAGGAATCGATAGGTGCTATTTTATCTGCTCTATTGCCCTGCTAATGCCTGTAGATGGTACCTGCTCAATACCTGCTCAATTATTATCACGGGCCTGTTCTCTTCAATTCTATAGGAGCGGGTAGTGTACTTGTGGAAGGCGACGGGGGTCAATTCAAATGGCGTGGTCCAGGGCCATGATTGCCCGTCCAAGGTGGACTCGTACAGCGCTTGCGTCTTTCTGCAAATGAAACCTTTGGGGAAATACCTCGCTCAAACCCTGTATCTCGAAAGACCGAACGCTCTAACAATAGATCACTCCATTGTGGGCGTAAGTAGATCCATTCGAAAGAAGCCTTTCGTTTCGATTCGCTTGTCATCTAAGTAAGTATCCGGAAAAGAAGGCGTCGATTTGAACGATTATCCAGATCAGTCGTCCTCACCGGAGTCTCTCCAGGAAAATGTCGTCGCAGTGAAGCAGGTCAGCGACTCGCAGCCGCTTCTCCTACGGTAAATATCACAGAGAGTAGCGATGGCATTCCGTGTACCATTGCGTTTTATCAGTCAAGTATTTATAGACACTCTCGTACCGAGCAAAGGGTATCCCAATATTCTATAATACACTACACTAAATTCCGAATTCAAACGAGGGTATTCTCGACAACAACAAAAAAACTGCCCATCATGGCATCAGAGCACTGTAGGCACGTCAACCCTCCCCTTCGAGATCCTAAACATCCTGATATCCTTCTCCCTCTCGCTCTTCTCCTCGTCATCCTGCACATCGAGGTCCTCCCCAAGGTTCCCCAGCGTACGCGTCATGAATGTATCCTGCGCCTGCGCATTCATGCGGCCAGGGTGGCTGTCGTATGCCGACGCCGCTGAGGTAGAGTAGCGTGTGATAGATGCGGACGAGCGGAGGTTGAGAACGAGGCGGGAGACCATCACCGCTGTGATGAGTTGACTGAACGAGGCACCGATGGCTTTGAGGTCGTCTTCGGCCAGCTGGATTATGGGATTATGCGTTTGATGGGTGGACGAGAGAGGAAAGGGTGAGAGAGGGGGACGCACGAAGAAGATGAGCGTGTTCATTAGATTCGCCATGAATATGGTAAAGAAGTACAACGCGCCATCGCGGACGAAGACGTGGATCGTCCTTTTGGGCGGGCTTGGTAAGAAAACTTTCGAAGAGAGAGGAAAGCGGAGTGCGCACGGAGCCTTTCCAGAATCCCGCAGGTATTCACGCGTACGCCAGATTGTCAGAATGAAGATGCAGGAGTCCGTTACGAGTGGGGCGACCCAGAGAGAAGCTGGAATCAATTGCCATGTCAAAACGGATGGCTTCGTGGGGGGTGGGCGGTCAACGCACGGAATACGGCGCCTCTGCCCGTCAGGATGCATCCTAGAGAATGGGGAGCTGTTGGGAAAATTTATGGCTGGACTATGGTGTGCTTACCCGTCAGGATAGGCGGTAGAGGGACGGCTAGAATGTTCTGGTCAACCATGTACTGGGAATCAAGATAACGTGTTGCGACTCACGGAACCCCGTTCTCAGCCCGACCACCGATACAGCAATCTGTGCTGCCCATAGAACCAATAAAAAGACCAGGATGGGGAGTGAACGACTCCAGAGGGCGTAGACCCGCAGAATCATGATCACTAGCAGGACGTTAGCTGCAGTCGGACAGCCATATTATGTATGACACTCACACTGGCAAACTGGGAGAAACCATTTCACTCATACATGTGTCGACACCACTTGAACCTGAGAGACTCACCAGCGACCAAAGACACCGTCGACGCTCCTTCAAAAATTACGAAATTATTGCACCTAAACCGAGATATTTCAGAATCATCTCGTCGAAACCCAGGCAGGTCCACTGACGCCTCCGTCGTCCATATGGGATCATGAAACGCTGCATGACAACACTCATCAATTAGAAGGACGCGGTTGAACGAATTGGCTGCGCGTACTCACCATTAAGAATTATGATGAACTGGAGAGGTGTCAAATAACGGTTGATGAAGAACAGCAGCGCTGCGCCCGAAAACTTCTGCTTCCAGATCCGATTCACCTAGGTTCCACGACTCAGCGTGGCCGGTCGACGGGGACGAGAACGTACGACGTAGACGCACCTCCTGGTCGAACGTCAGGACTTGTGGCAGGAATTAAGTAACGGAGAACGGAGAACGATACGAGATTGAACTCACTGTGATCGTAAACCAACATCACGAACCCCGCCAGCTGGAAGTACTTCCCAGCGAGGCTAATATACAGTCAGTTGCGCTCGAAAAGGTCGCTGGCGACTCACAGGTGGTATGCCCCACTCGCGAGGGCATCGAGCTCCGGAGAGGAAGACATGAAAGCATATCTCTTCGGACGTTCTTGCCTATATACCAAAGCGAACACACGCGCATCCGGAGCCTTGGCTCCACACACCTGCCTGGCACCTGCATATTTTGCGCAGGCCCCGTGCAAGGCGCAGGTTGAATTTTGCGCTATCGCCGAAATGATTTGATCGGGTTGTATTCAGGACAAGCACTGATTGGCATTTAAGCGAGCTTTCGTATCAACGTTCCGATAAAACGAGCCGATTTCGCATTCCTGAGTCGCTACGAGCTCCTTCCTCGGTGAAGTTGACTATTAGGCTCGACAATGCGATCCGCAACTATACTCTATGGATGATCAAACCTACAACTAGAACACATTCTGAGACTTACAGGTTACGTTACCAGCGCTTCATCCATGATTCCATATCGCCATTTGCCTTCATGAGAGAAAGTCTTGAGGTCCATGTGAACAGTTTGCGTATGAGGCCTTTCGGGGATAAATCCGAAGAAAGGAACAAAGTTCCTGGCATGATCGGCCGGGAATTGCCGGACCGCGTCTTCTCGTCTTCCTAAATTCATGCAATGGACTAGATATCAGAAAGAAGGCAAGAACACCCTACGTAAACGTATTCCTGCGTTTTAACGAAGCTGGCGCTGCTTTTAATGCCTCTTCTCAGTCCCTTCCCGGGAGCCGAAGGTGGATTTTTGCCTCATCATACTTAGGAAGGAAATAAATCTTCAAATACCTGCTCCAGAAGGAAATTGACAAGCCTTTTATCGTCAAAGGTATTTAGAGGCAAGAAATTTATGGTCACATGGTCAGGCGCTTATCCGGCCTCTAAGATCACTCAAATTTCATTCCTGCTATAGTCAACAAACCGCTTGTCGAAACTTCAAGGTCTCAACTAGCATCCTGACGAGATACTTCTACTTCTAGTCAAGCTAATCATCCACTTTTCTCAAATTATAGGGCTAAGTAGATGGACTGATGCCGACGTCTTCTTGCCTTGATTTGGTGTACCGACTATCGTGAGAGGGTATATCGCGGCCTGTAAAACGACTCTAAGCTCTAATATGGAACTCTTCGACGTCAATCTGGATCGTCGACTCGCGGTTCACGCCAAACGCCACGCAGACTGCACTAATCAGGAACTCGAATAACTCAACAGTGCTACCTACGCGATATATGATCGAAACTGCTTTCCAGGTGGCATGTAAAGGCGAGCCCTCCCTCATCTCACCAAGGTAATATCTCCTCTGCCAACCATTAGGCTTAAGCGCCACTGAATGATCCGTATCTCTTGTTCGAGATGTTTCTACCATGTCAAGTACTGTCCCATAAATTCTATCTGCCGACGCTGACGGAGCTCCACCCGATGATCCGGGATGTCGTTAATATAAAATAGCATCGAGGCGGCGCATTCAATGCGCTGAAATTGCGACAGTTTACTCTGCGCTTATCTACAAAGTGGAGTGCGAAAGCGCTAAGCGAGATTAGCGCCCTCGAAGCGTATTCTGACACATGACATCCTCGACCCCAACGCAAGACCAAAATCGACCAGCCGCGAGACTACGCGTGAGCGGCATAGTACGAGATTCAAGGCGACTTCACTGGCACTGGGAAAAAGGTAGTGGACGCTTATTTCAACCCCTGACCCAGTGAATGCAACCCAAGTCGACATCGACACAACATCAGGAGTGAAGGAGTGAAGAAAACAAAAAAAAATACGGCTCTATTGCTAGTACATCGTGCTCGACAGTATGCCCGTAATATATTTCGTTCAACCCAGGTGTCATGATAGTGCTTCTGGCGCTTCTGGCGCTTCTGGCGCCTGGTCTGATGTTATTTGCCCAGTGTGTGCATAGCTTGCTCTGGAAGAAGTACTGGCTAGACAGACGAACCTTCGATGTGGTAGTGGTGGACAATCAGCGTGAAGCATTTACGCGCTCGATGCAATCTTTTCTCTCTTATACATGCATCATACAGAACGGTCCCGAATTTTGCAGATCAAGGTCTAGGGGCCACCCACGCGGGACCGTCGCTCACGGAGGTAAAACTTCCCCGCACTCAAAAATTCAAATGGCACGAGAGGAGCACGGGAGAGATGGAGAGACTGGAGAAAATATAGATCCCGTTGTTAAGCAAGGAAGCTGGAAGCAGGCAATGGCGGGGACGATGGGGACGGTGGGGAGGGGAGCCTGCCTCAGGTAGGCATTTTATTTTTAGCAACCTGACAGATTTAAATAAAGGACGCCTGCCATCTTGATCTAGTGGTTATTTACAGCATTTTACTGAAGGTCGGGACTATTTGCTGGAAGAAAAAATCCAGAAAAATCCCCAGTCGATAGGAACATCTTCATCCCGCTACCCTTCTTCCGGTCTTCCGGTACCGCTGCATGCCATACCCGAACTCCGATTGCCCACAAAGCCAATGGCGAAATACTTCCTTGCGACAGGAAAAACCTGCACACCTGTGCGGACGTCGGGTCCGCTCAGTGCTGCCCTCTTCGGGAGCTGAAGGGCGCAGCAACAGGAACCATTTTTTGCCCTTCTTATTACTATACATAGAAGGCAGAGGTACTTTCCTGAGGCTTCTCCTATTTATCGTGTGTGTAACCACGTCGATGACGATAGAAAAAAAGCGAGCTTCCATTGCCAGGGCGTGTGCTTGGCTTCCTGAGGGCCTTCATATGGTTTTGCAGCAGCGAGTGAGGTCCATGGGCAAGGACCCCCGTATCGCCGCCAGCTTTCTGAACTAACAGGCGCCGTACTGAACATATACATGGTATCGACTATTGCTGAACACTAGAAATACAGTTGAACGCAAGACCATCTAAGTGACACAAAACTATCAGTAACCAACCCACCACCAAACCAAGCTAATACAGTTCTGTCGTCGACGTCCTCTTTTCTAAATCCGTCAGCGGTATCTCGCTGCCATTATTATACCACTCGAGGTCCTCCGCGAGGTGCGTGACGGTGCGTGTCATGAATGTGGTGAGAGGCGGCCCTTCCTCCGTCATGTGCTCCGACTCCCGGGCGGTTGACCGCCGTTGCGACGGTATTGAGCGTAGGTTGAGGACGAGCCGCGAGATCATGGTTGAGGTGATGAGCTGGCTGAATGAGGCGCCGATGGCTTTCATATCGGGTTCGCTGAACTGTTGAGGAGATTAATAAGGTTAGAATGTGCATGTACGCAAGTAGTAGGTGATCAGGCGTAAGCCAGAGTAAGGGTCACTTACGAAGAAAAAGAAGGTGTTGAGCAGGTTGGCGATAAGGATAACGAGGAAGTAGAGGACACCATCTCGGAGGATTAGCTGTAGTGTTCTGAGTGACAGATCAGCCAAAGTTAGGCTTTCATTTCTGTCTCGCTGACACTTACGGAGTATTTCGTGCCGCTCGAAAATGCGTCCTCATTCTCAGCACCGTCAGAATGAAAATACAAAAGTCAGTCGCAAGGGGCGTCACCCAGACCGCGGCTATTTACGCAGCTATCTGTCAGATTCCTCTTCGGGTTGACAAAATATCGCCGATACTCACGGAACAAGGCGCTCGTTCCCGTGAATATACAACCTTCGCGGATGTTAGCCACCACTAGACACAACGTAAAAGGAACGCACCGACGAGGCCGGGTGGTAGTGGGACCGCTAATCCAATTTTAATTAGCCCATTGTCCCGCGAAACGCCACCTTCTCAGACTCACCGAAGCCCGTAGTCATCCCAATCGACGAAAGTATCACTTGTAGCACCCACATCATGGAAAGGCATAGGAGAATCACCCAAGACCGTCCATAGAGGGCATACACGCGGAGGATCATGATAACTGCAAAGTGGTCCCCCGCCGGATCAGAAACGTGGTTGTGACAGGATGATCTTGCAAATCTAGACACCTACTTTCGCAAACTGAGGTCTATGATTAGATTGGGCCATGGACAGCCAAAGAAAAGCGACTTACTTGCGAGGAGAGCGACTGTTGATGATCCTTCGAACGCAACGAATTTATCGCAACTAGAGCTCTTGTATGAGTACGGGTATGGGGGAGCCGGGAAGGAGGTGAACACACGCCTGAAACATGCGGCGTCTCGTTAGCGAGCAAGCGAACGGAGGAGAGACTAGGACGTACTTCGTCTACCCATCCTGGATGCTGGAAAGCTATATCGCAGGCATCCTCAGCTCTGAACGTGAAAGGAAATTCAACAGTAATCACCGGTGACAATGATGATGAATTGGATAGGGGTGAGGTATCGATTTATGAGAAACAGAACAGTAGCCCCAGAGAAGTCAGGTTTCCAGATCCGCTCCACCTATAGAGAGCATCATGAAGACTGGCCGACAGTAGAGAGAGAGCAGAACGCACCTCGTCTGCAAATGTCAACACTGCGCCAATGATAACTCGTCAGAATGCATGATCCTCCTCAGAAGCCTTTGTCCCATCCTGAACGCACGATGATCGTAAATCAGCATCACGAATGCTGCCAGCTGGAAGTATTTCCCGGCCGCTCTGTGCGAGTCATTTGGAGTCAGATTTTCGAGTGCATGTCTGACCGCACGCCGAGGACTCACAAGTGGAGGGCGAGCTCGGCGAATTCTTCATTGTTCGTGACCGGAGACATTGAGGCCTCAGACCGTCCAGCCGATGGGCATACTTATGCTGAGGACAAGTTCACAAGTTGCCTGGTCGGCCAGCGAGGAAGGAGGAAATTATAAAGGGAGGTCGAGGCACATGTCCAAGTCCCTGTTGTCACTGCACGCCGCGAATACGGACGCCCAGCGTATTTCCGATCACCCGTGTGCGACATGGAGCAGTGCCGCCACCGAGCACCATCCAATCAGCGCGAATGCCGAAATAACGGCAGCTGGGTGCAATACAGTCAGGGCGGAAAGGGTCTATAGGGGGCTCGATAAAAGTTCTTTTCCTTCACTCCTTTATCACTGTATGAATACCTTGACTTACTGTAGGCGTCAGAATGCTTTACCGTCGTGCAGTGCACCGCACTCGACGCCAGCAGTCCTTTTTACTGCTTTCTAGGTGATTCAGGGCTCCACCTCGGCACTCTGACTTTCAAAACAACTCAATTGACTTCATATGTCGGCCTGATGCTGAGTAAGTGATCGTCTCACTGAATCTCACTGATTCCCGCTCCGAGTCCCGGTGCTGTGCTTCACAATGTTCACATCACTGACGCTGCTGGACGCATACCTGCCTTATTAATGTCCTACAGAGGTTAATATCCTGGCATCCATCCTGGATTCCGGTATACGTTAGGCGCTGGCACCCTTCCAGCTCAATCGACCTAGGAAAACCCTCGAAAGTTGCACTACTTCCGACCTGCCCAATCGGGCACAATCTTCCCTCACCCTCAGGAGAATTGCACCAGACGCTCGGCGGTAGTGATGTGTCCGTGTCGAGAACTTGGAAGTTCGAGGATCGCATATGGACGTCGGGGATGAAGCGAGCGTACGTACGTAAGTAACGCGACTGTTTCACGGACAACGTGGCGCATCGCTCGGCTGGTACAATTCCCTCAAACGGAATTGGTTTCATGTGTACGGGTACTTCGGAACTTGAAAGCTCACAAATCAGCGTTAGAAACGGAGACAGACGGCGCTATAGCCCGCTCTCGACGCCAGTTGCCGTGCAACAATTAGCATGCATAACCAAGAGCTCCGCGGACGGTACGGAGCGCCTGGCCAGATAGTACACATTTCACTCGTCGACGAAGGATCGGATACTTATCTCCTGTAAACAGCCTCCAGTCTGATGCGGACGATCGACTCCATACGCGGCCCGTAAATGCATCAACTGGATCTTCATTGGAACTTGTGGACTGGACCTCGGATCGACGCTTGACCTTTTCTGACATAGGTGAATAGTTTCAGTCACTTGTAGGCATCTCGCACAATCACCTGCAGCCTCTGGTAGAAGGATAGGCCATTATGTTGGCCTGTTGTTTTCTCTGGGACAACGAAACAAGAGGTTCAGCCTTGTTCGAATTCAAACAAAGGTGATTCGCGCCCACTGCGCAACCGCCCTATTTCTGGTATCTGTCTTGCTAAAATAGGAAGCTAATGTATCCACGCGAAGGTCGCCAGGTGGCTTCTGAGAAGCGTCAAAGGCTCTAGTGCACCTGGTCCTGACTTACTAGTGCATCCGCTCTGCCTCCGGTAGCAGCACTGCGGCACTTGCGAAGAAGTTCTCTCGAATCGGACAGTCTTCATCATGGCAAGGAACAAGAAGCAAGGGAAAGCGAAGGTGAGGGTTTATGATCAAATAAACAGCTGTCTTCTCGGTGTCGAGGTCGTACAGTTTTATGCTGACACTTGTATGGGGACCCGCTCTCCGCGTTATTACTCTCCGATGTCAGTATTTATCCCTCCCGCGATATTTTAAGGTACCACCAACTCGCCCTTCTCGGGACATTGGCACCGCGTATTCCGACGTCATCCTTGTGGGGTAGCCAGAACGCTACCCCAGTTATTGAGCATGTGTTGAACAGATACTAAGTCATATAGAAGGCTCGAAAAGTACTCCGAGTCTGCCACGGAGTAAAGGATACTCCTCGTCATGAACCTCTACCTTCAATCAACCTTCGACTCACCCTTCAACGGGACTTACGTCGACAACCAAGGCCAGCCCGTCTACCGCGTAGACACGCCGCTCGCGCTGACCGGGCGCACAGCTACTATCGAGAAGGCAATCTGGACGGCCAACTCCACCACGCAAGCTGGAACTGGCCAGGCAGGGATGGTGTACACGAAGCTCGCAGAGATCGAGTTCCACCGCCTGCGCTCGAGCCGTTTGAGGTTCCAGGGAAGGGATTGGAGGGATGATGAAATTTTTATGAAAGGAAGCCTCGGGTCGGTATTACTGAATTATGGAAGGTAAGTGCGGAGGGGAGGGGTGGTAACGTTAAATATTAATGACGTGGGGATGCAGGAATCATATTTTCATGGGCCCTGTCATGATGGGGTCGAATATTCGTGGAAGTTGGGGAAACAGGGGTCTGAGGTGTGTAGAGACGAGATCTTCCTGGATCCCTGTGGCAATACATGTCCCTAAATTACAATTACTTATGGCTTCGTCTTTCCAACGACGAAACAACTGTGGCACTCTTCCACCGGCTCACTCACGGAATTTTTCATGAAGCGTTGGATCCCTGGCTGAGCGGCTGTGATTCTGTGTGCGGATGGTGTCACGGATATAGGACTCCCGTGACTTCTGACCGTCTTGACCCTCGGTCTGACAGCGGTCAAAATAAACCAACCGCAAATTAGTCAGTCGGGATTGACCGGGTCAGTAAGGTCAAGCCACCACTGCCTGGCTCGAAATTACGCCTCGCGGAGCGCATATGATTGATTTGATCTTTATTACCTTCATTTATGTCGAGCACCTTAGGTTGGAGAAAAAGAAGCAAGCGAGGCAAGCGGCCGCACGATAGAAACCTCCCCCGTGGCTTTCGTCGCCTTAGTCCTGTTTTGCTGTATTAGTTAGATTATAGTTCCTCGTAACCTGTCTTCCAGATTAACCGTACAACCACTTTATGTAGAATAAATATCATTTCCCTCGTTGCATTGCCAACGGTGGCTATTACTTCCTCACAAATGTTCTGATTTCAGGCATTAGACGGCCTCACAACTATTATCCTAGAAGAATCAAATATCACCTCACAGGAACGAAGAGATCGCGGTCGTGTCGGAGTTGTGTGGCGCATAGTCAGATATTGCCTATCAGGCAGCCCGCCATAACCGTGGAGTTCCCAGGCCCTCCAAAACGCTTTCTGATCCCGACCACTATGAAGTCCGAAAGATCCTGGTGCTCGTCTCTCTTTTCTCTTCGCTTGTGCTCTGGGCGGCAGTAGAACGTTATCTCGAGGCTCCACAACACTGATACGAATCCCGCATTCAGTCAAATGGAACCGCACGTTCGAGCCAGAACTTGCTTGACGTCTCCACTGAGCCTGTGGGATGTCCTGGCTAGATTTGACATCTCGGTCTAATCCAATCTTGTCCACAGCGTGTCAAATGCTCCTGAAGATACACCCTGAACTCAGGCTTTCGCACCCACTCGGCCTCTTAACTCATCGCACCGTCTTCCATGCTGAAGCTTGGCATCCAACCACCAGGCAGTGGCTACGCGGACGACTGTTAAGCGGAACCTTCATTATGCCGATTCCAGGACGCTACATCAAATTGATGGATTTCACCTGACTTTCGTGCGTCGAAGATGCCCTAAAAGGCGCCTACGGTGGAGGGATAATTCCTCCTGCCGGTCGTGCGCGTCCAGCCGAAATCCGGCGCTGCCGCTGGTGTTCTTCCGGCTAAGAAACGAGGCCAGACTACGGGGAATAAAAGGTGGCTTTGGAAATGGAATACAACAAAACCGCCCTCTTCGATTGCCTGAGCCAAAGGATGTCGACGCGCACAGGTGAACTCGCTGCACTAGCCGCGCTCATTACGAACGCGACGAAAGTTGTGGAAGCACACTATGCGAAGGCCTCCAAACCTCATGTTCCGTCCTTGGATGATATCGAGCCGCACACCCTTGACACGCAACTGACGAACCAAGAACTTCGGACTGCTATACAGACGATTGAAGGTGCTTGTGCCCAGCTCTCAGCCACTGTGGCGAGACCCAGCCATACGATTGTTAACGTGGGCCGCCCAACCATTCGTTGTTTCATACTTCTGCTAATTATTTGCTTCTAAAAGAGACTCATGGGGGTACGTGACCGCGACCAGTCTACGATGTCAGCCTTAATCTGATAACGGCGTCTATGATCTTCAGTTTTATGAACCAGCGTGTTTAAACGTCGCCATCACTTTTAAAATCCCGGACATCCTTCAGGAGAAGCCCCACGGCATGCATATCTCGGAAATCTGCCAGAAGTCGGGCCTCGACGAACGGAAGATCGGAAGGATATTGAGGCTGCTTGCCACGAAGCATGTATTCAGAGAAGGTTCGTTCCTATATATTATACATTACTAGTTCATTCACTCGTCTATTAGCTTCAGAGAACGTGTTCGCCAACAATCGCCTCAGCATCCAACTCCTCTCGACGAACCCTTTGTCCAGCCTTGGTCTTCATTTGTCCGTGTCTTTTCTATATTACCGGGTCTATATCTTATTCACTCGACACTTCATTTTTTCAGCACTGACGAATGTCTGAAGTCCACAGCCCTCCTTTCAGAAATTCTCGCTGACAAGGAGTGGGGACACTCCAACGCTCCGAACGAATGCGCGTTCAACAGATGGAGTGGGGTGCCGGATCCCATGTTCATTTACTTCGAAGGGGTGCGTATCGTGGACAGCATATGAGATTTACGTCTTATGATCTGTGCAGGCTACCCCAAAAGGTGCTGAACTAGGCGCCCGCTTCGGGATCGGCATGCTTGGCTGGGGACTTGCATGTGAGGCGCAAGCTGTAATCCACGGTAAGTCTACCTGCCCACTCATTGACAATGACATCACACTGAATTTTTGGTTCCTCCTCCAGAATTCCCCTGGAAAGACCTTGGAGATGGCGCCTCTGTATGCGATGTTGGAGGAGGTATTGGGAACATCACGATGCAGCTCGCGAAGAACTACCCCACTCTGCAGCTCAAACTCCAGGATTTGCCAGAGAGAGTACACCAGGCGAAGACGGAGGTTTGGCCCAAGGAATGCCCTGAAGCGATCGTAGAGAACCGTATTCAGTTCGAGCCGATTGATTTCTTGAAGGAGGCGCCGGTGAAGGCGTGTGATGTCTATTACGTGAGTATTGACATTTCGTTGAAGTGTTTGGGATGCTAAATGTATCTTCGTAGTTGAAGAATATCATGTGAGTCAAAGATTTCCGCTTCCCATGTTATGTCCTGATCTGATTGTTTTCTGCTAGCCATGACTGGCCAGATGCAGATTGCGTCAAGATCCTTTCCAACGTCAAGAAGGCCATGACTCCGCATAGTCGAGTCCTCGTCCGTAAGTTCCGAAACCTCTTTTTGGTTTGAAATAATTTAAATTGGCACTTTTCACCATCTTCACCCTGCAGAGGAATATATCTTGCAAAGCGCGAACCGCGTCCCCGACTCGCAGTCTGAATTTAGGCAAGCGCCCACCCCACTCCTGCCCAACTACGGTGCGGGACGCATCCGTCAGTACAATCTGGACCTCGACATGATGACGATTCTCAATAGCGAGGAGCGTCGTCTTCCTGATTTCATACGTTTGGGAGAGGCTGCTGGGCTTAGGTTTGCGAAGTTGTGGGACTTTGGCGAGACTGGGTTGGTGGAATATAGACTACCATAATTTCTTGTAATCGGTGCCATCAGCCGCTCATTGCCTCCATGCTAGGCTTGACTATGCACTGCAAGCATTTGTGTAGGCTTTTCAAATTCATATAGTGACTCGGAGTACTTCAAATTAGAAGAAGGCGCCTGCGGAGAGTTCGAGGCAAAAGGAGACACGGCACTTTCGAAGGCAGAAGCAATCTCGAGCTCCCCTAATCTCCCCTTTCGGACCGTGAGAATTTTGATTTGCAGCGCGTTGACTGCAGCAGACGACCATCGGCCCTTCTAAGTTTTTAGACCTCAACGAGACACTAAACTCACCCAAAAGTACGCCATGTCGATGCAAATCTTTGGCGAACAGGTCATTTTATTTCGTTGTTCAACTTGTGAGAGCAATATACTGAAATCTCCAATCAACAGGCAACGGAGGAGAAAGCAGAGAATGCGCGTCTCTCATCCTTCGTCGGGGCCCTCGCGCTCGGGGACCTCGTCAAATCCACACTAGGGCCCAAAGGCATGAACAAGATCCTCCAATCCGCTTCTACAGGAGAGATCAATGTCACGAACGACGGTGCGACGATCCTCAAGGCGATCCAGCTCGACAATGCCGCTGCCAAGATTCTCGTGAACATCTCCAAGGTGCAGGACGACGAGGTGGGCGATGGGACGACGAGCGTGACGGTGCTCGCGGCGGAGCTGCTGCGGGAGGCGGAGAAGCTCATCGCGATGAAGATCCATCCCCAGACGATTGTGGAGGGGTACCGGATTGCGAGCCTTGTGGCATTGAAGGCGTTGGAGGGGGCTGCCTTGGACAATTCGTGAGTCAGCACCCGATTGAGGTTGGGTTCGGTGCTGAGATATGTTGCCAGGCAAGACCCACAGAAGTTCCGCGAAGATTTGTTCAACATCGCAAGGACGACACTATCGTCAAAGGTTCTGGCACAGGACAAGGACTATTTCGCCAATCTCGCGGTAGATGCTGTCCTACGGCTGAAGGTGCATCCGTTACGGCAATTATAGTGTTCTCTGCTGACCGCACGTTTAGGGTTCAATAGATCTCGAGCACATCCAAATCATCAAAAAAGTTGGAGGCAAGCTGACAGACTCTTATCTGGATGAAGGTATAGTCTTTTGTTTCTCTTCATCTTCGAAACCTTTTGACATTTTTTAGGCTTCATTCTCGACAAAACTATCGCCGTCAACTCACCAAAACGACTGGAAAACGCGAAAATCATGATTGCCAACACATGTATGACCTCGTGTATCTCCCCTTCGACATTGACGCGTTCTGACCCTCACTGCAGCCATGGACACTGACAAGATCAAGATTTTCGGCGCGAGAGTCAAGGTCGACAGCACAGGGAAATTGGCAGAGCTAGAGCGGGCAGAGAGGGTCAGTCTTCGCGATGTTGCTAGTGCTCTTCCTCGTCTGACCTCCGTCTAGGAAAAAATGAAAGCGAAAGTCGACGCCATCGCTGCCCACGGCATCAACTGCTTCGTCAACCGACAGTTGATCTACAACTACCCTGAATCGCTCCTTGCGGACAAGGGCATCCTTGTGATCGAGCATGCAGATTTTGAGGGCGTTGAGAGGTTGTCGTTGGTCACTGGAGGCGAGATCGCGAGCACATTCGACCGCCCGGACTTGGTCAAGCTGGGACGGTGTGAGGTTATCGAGGAGATCATGATTGGTGAGGACAAGGTGGGTTGTGTATAGCAGCTCTTTTAACGAAGTACTGAGGGAATTTTTTCTTATAGCTCATCAAATTCTCAGGAGTTGCCGCCGGCGAAGCCTGTACGGTCGTTCTACGAGGATCAACGAACCAAATGGTCGACGAGGCCGAACGTTCGCTGCACGACGCGCTCTCAGTGCTCTCGCAGACAGTGAAGGAGACGCGGACGGTTCTAGGTGGCGGATGTTCTGAGATGCTGATGAGCAACGCAGTGGAGGAGGAGGCTCGCGGTGTGAAGGGCAAGAAGGCGATCGCGGTGGAGGCTTTTAGCCGTGCGCTGAGGCAGATCCCGACAATCCTTGCCGACAACGCGGGCTACGATTCCAGCGATCTCGTCACAAGATTGAGGGCGGCGCACTACGAGGGTCACTCGGATTCTGGTCTTGGTATGTGTTCTTCCTTCTGGAATTAGCTCTGGCTGCTAAACAGACGTGCTTAGATATGGAGAATGGCAAGATTGGCTCTATGCTGGAGTTGGGTGTCACAGAGAGCTACAAGCTCAAGCGACAGGTGGTGCTCAGTGCGAGCGAGGCTGCAGAGATGATTATCCGGTACGAGGCTTTCTGACCGTCTTCTCCAACTGCGGATTGACCATTTCTTTTTCCTAGTGTCGACGACATTCTACGAGCAGCACCACGGAAACGCGAGGCGGTTTAGATCGAGATACTTAGACTTACATACTTCAAAAGCATATAATACGAAATCCTTTCTACTTCTATATCTAGCGTCTTTCTCGAGACTTCGTTTTTTTTTTCCAATCTTCTTGTGCGGAGATTTCGTGCCGTCATAGGCTTGAGCACTTCCAATTGCAGACGACACGTCAATCTACCACATTTGAACAACCTTCCTTTCCTTTCTCCAGCTTTTCTCCTTCTTACACGTATTCATCCTCCGAGCCCAGAGACTCCATCTCTACCCTAATGTCTGGCAATTTCAGAGCCAGGCGCCCTGCTTCGCCGCCTCCAGGGACCAGCCATACTGCTGCGGGCGCGCCAACCTTCACTTCCCAGCGCTTTCCACATCCACGCGAAGACCACCTAGACGCAGACGAGCGGCGGATCGCCGCCTCGAAAGGATTCGCTCCAGGGCGCACGAAGAACTACCCTTCAGGCGGGTTGAATCTGACGATGGGCGAATGGAAGTTGCTGTTTTTCATTGTGCTGCTAGCAGCGGGAGTGCGATTGTTCAGGCTGAGCAAGCCGAATAGTGTTGTGTGAGTCCATTATCTTCTCTTCATTCAGTGGAGGTCAAAGATGGTCGGGGGGTCGAGCGAGGTCGGTCATTGGAGTGCGTCGGAGGCGCAACGCCGTCTGGACCTTGTTCAATCTGGTAGTCTGTGGATGGATGCCGGAGTATCTTCGATTCTCAACGCGTTCCTGAATTGAATTCAGCATTTGCATTAAACGAACTTACTAATGGTTCGTATGATGTAGCTTCGACGAGGTGCATTTCGGCAAGTTCGCGAGCAAGTATATCAAGACGCAATACTTCGTAGACGTCCATCCACCGCTAGCAAAGTTGTTGATCACCCTAGCGGGGTTTGTGTTTGGATACGATGGCCAATTCGACTTCAAAGAGATTGGAAAGTGTGTATTCTCCTTGTGCCTCCCCGACCCACCTTGAACTCCTCGCAGGACCTATGAACATGTTCCTTATGTTGCAATGCGTATGATGCCCGCGACATTAGGTGTCGCCACTGTTCCCCTCGCCTACCTCACTCTTCGGATGCTCGACTGTCGAGCAACCACGGCCCTCCTCGCGTCGCTATTCGTCACCTTCGAGAACGGTATGGTCACCCAGTCACGGCACATCCTCCTTGACTCTCCTCTCATTTTCTTCACGGCTTTGACTACGTTCATGTGGTGCGGATTCTGCAACGAGGACAAGCATGGGCATCAGTTCTCCAGCTCATGGTGGACATGGCTCACCCTTTCTGGTTTGGCGCTCGGTGCGGTTGTCAGCAGCAAGTGGGTTGGCCTGTTCACGATCGCGACAGTCGGTGTTAGCACGGTTTATCAACTGTGGAATCTGTTGGGTGACCTGCGTATCCCGCCGAAGCTGTTTATTCGACACTTCGTAGCCAGGGCAGTCTGCTTGATCGTCGTGCCTATTGTGTTTTACATGCTTATGTTCTCGATTCACTTCGCGATTCTTGAGAACTCAGGTGATGGGGATGGGTTCATGAGCTCGGAATTCCAGCATACACTCGGTGGGAGACAAATGCAGGATACCTATGCCGGTGAGTGAGACTGTTTTCTGTTGAAGCTCTGCTGACTCTTCGCAGATATTGCTATTGGCTCTAAGGTCACCATTCGTCACGTCAACACCCAAGGAGGCTATCTACACTCGCACCCACATAATTATCCCGGCGGCAGCAAACGTAGGTGCATTATTTTCCTTCTAGAAGCATTAATTATAACTATTCGCAGAACAACAAATCACCCTTTACCCGCACCGCGACTCAAACAACGAATGGAGAATTTTCAACGCTACAGACCCCGACTTCGACTGGGAGAACGAACCCCTGCACTACATTACTCCCGGCATGCGCCTCAAATTCCGTCACACCGCGACCGAAAAGCACCTCCACTCTCACGACATGCGCCCGCCCGTCTCTGACGTCGATTTCCAGAACGAGGTCTCCGCATACGGCATGGCCAACTTCGCCGGAGACGCGAACGATGATTGGATTCTGGAGATCGAGCGTGGCGACAAGAGGGACAAGGAAAGCACAAAGCGGTTGCGCACGATCCGGACAGTGTTTAGGCTGAGGCATATCCTGACGGGGTGTTATCTATTCTCGCATAAGGTCAAACTGCCGGACTGGGGGTATGAGCAGCAGGAGGTAACGTGCAACAAGAACGCTGTGAAAGATAATTCGTTGTGGTTTGTAGAGACCGCGACACACCCCAAGCGTACGTTTACTCAACTATTTATCTTCGTCAAACAACTCAAATACGTTTATACGTAGTGCCGGCCAATGCGCCCAAGGTCAACTATAAGCTCCCGGGCTTCTTCGGCAAGTTCTGGGAGCTTCAACGCGTTATGTGGACGACCAACGCAGGCCTGACTGACCGCCACACTTACGACTCGAGACCTGATTCGTGGCCCCGTCTCCGACGTGGAATCGTCAGTGCTCCTTTCTCAATCCGATACTTTCCAGCTGACAATTTCTTTTACAGAACTTCTGGGTCAAGGACCATAGACAAATTTACCTGATCGGAAATCCTCTAGTATGGTATCTTAGCACCCTCTCAGTGGCGGCATATGTTGCTGTGCGAGGCTTCTTGATCTTGCGTGCAAAGAGAGGGTACAGGGACTTCGACAATAGTGCGTTCTGTCTTTTTCTTCTAGTGCCGTCTCTAACGCCAACGCAGCCAAGGTCGCCAAGTACGACACGCTCTGCGGCTTCCTCTTCCTCGGCTGGGCACTGCACTACTTCCCCTTCTTCCTCATGGGCCGTCAACTCTTCCTGCATCACTACTTCCCCGCGTTGTACTTCGCCATCCTCCTTTCTTGTTCGGTCTTCGACCTCATCACCTCCACTCTTCGTCCGCGTGTCCGACTCCAGGTCGCTGCCGTCCTTATCGTTTTGGCGATTTGGAACTTCCAGCACTTGAGCCCATTAGCGTATGGCAGCACCTGGACAAGGGCGAAGTGCGAGAAGGCGAAGTGGTTAAAGACATGGGATTTCAGCTGTGGTGATTTCTTCGAGACTGTGAGCCCTCTTTCTCACTTTCCATCGGAGGGGCGAGCTGACCCGTTGATTCTTTAGTACGCGCAATATGATGGCATCACAGCTTCGACACCCCAGCAATCGCAAGTCTTGCTATCCACAATAGGCGGCGAGGGACGCGCTCCCATCGTTGTCGAACATAAGAGCCCCCAAGGCCCCGAGAACGTGCAGACGGCGGCGGCGCTGGGCAAGGCCGAGCCTGGACGGGACGTCTTCGCTGGTGAACCCGTGAAGGACATTAAGAGCGACACCGCTGGAGACGCGCCAAAAGGAGAGGAAGCTGCGAAGGAAATCAGTTCAGTATCTGCCCCAGCCAGCACTAACAAACCGGAGGTCAAGGAGAAGGACGAGAAGATCGATCCTGCTGGTGTGGACCCGGTTACTAATCCCAGACCTGAGAAGCCAGCAGCGACGGATTCATCGACAACGACAACGACCGAGGCGAGACTTAAGGAGCCTGCTGGCCCACTAGGTGAAGCTGAGATTGAGGCGAAGAAGGCCGCCGAGGAATTATTCCCCGACGCTGGCTAACGTTTTACATGTGAAAAGTACGCCTGGTACGGCCTGTATGTTGGTTATTTGGCTGCTGGTTTGAGCATATCCCCGTATTGTGATAGTATTTATTAATCCATGCCCCTTCCTTTAGCGCTGAAAGTGGGTATTGCTTGCTATTGCTTGCCCTTGTGTAAGAAGGACTTCGTAGCTTTGCCCTGCAGCAATTGTCTTTACATAACTTTCTCACGGTTACAATTTTTTACACAACCTTAGTTCAACATCAGTGACACCCGCAGGTTTGATGAACGTCAACGATAACCTGAACGACTTCGAAACACCAGCTTCTGCAGAACTGCGACCTTCCACTTCCACGTTACTCGAATGCTCCGCAGGCTTCATGATAGGTCCCTCGGATACGACATATCCTTGGTGAGCTTCCTGGCTCGGATGCACCACATCCGAGGGTATGAAGCTGTGAAGGAATTGCTGCGCCGCTGATTGAGTAAGAGCCTTTTCTAGATGATCTCGACATCCGTACTGACGAAAATCCTCAGCAACAAGGGACCAAACTGCCAAGCGCTATGTTCTCATGATCCCATGTTTGCGGAACCGTATTTATAGTAGTTCTCATGTTCGGGCATCAAAAGGCGCCTCTTCCTTCCCTTCAACCTGATAGTAATACTGCAAGTATTAGAACAGCGACGACAATAATGGGCCTCACTCTCCCTCGAGGACTCGTCTATCTTGTTCGCCTAATCCCTTATTTCGCCGCACCATCTGCTGCTGTCTTTCTCGCGTTCCGCGTCGCGAACGACCAGTTCGATATCTCGGCTCCGGCATGGGCAGTCATCTCCCTCACCCTCTTCGCTCGCCCACTCCTCTTCTTTGCGGAACAAGAATGGTCCAAGGTCGCGAGTAAGAGAAGGGCAGCGGCCCATGGAGCTGTCCTGCCTCCTATGATCAAGGAAAGCGCTTTCGGGGCCATCAAGATATTCGGGGAGAATTTGAAGACGGGTTACCCAGGTATGTCACCAATATATGTATACATGGTAGCAGAACGTTGACCATATCGCCTGCTTGCTAGCTGAACCCATCCGAAAGTGGGCAGAAGAGTATGGACATACGTTCCAGATGCCTTTGTTGACGAGCAACCTTGTGCGTTCTGTTTTCCCCGGAAACATCTGTTTGATTGATTTTCCTTGTGTCTAGGTCGCCACCGACGAACCCGACCACATCAAAGTGCGTAAATCCTTGATGATTGAAGACTCCTGACTTCGATGTTAAGCATTCTCCATGCCTCGCAGGCTATCCTCGCAACACAATTTGATGGTTTTGACAAGGGTGCGTTCTGGATCCTTTACACGATCTTTCTAGACGTCCGAATTCCGTCTCGAAACAGGGCCTACCTTCCGGGACCAAATGAACTCTCTGCTTGGAGTCGGAGTGTTCAATGCTGACGGTAAGCCTAAGACCCACTCTGGACAAGGATTTCATTTCATTGAGCTAAATCTAAATATTTGATTACAAGGTGACATGTGGAAGTAGGTTACCTCAACTACGAAAGGCTTCTGGTAATTGAACAAGGAACACAAATTAGGTTCCATCGTTCTATGACCCGGCCTTTCTTCACTCGAGAACGGATCAGCGATTTCGAGATCTACGACCGTAACGCCGACGCGTCCCTCAAGCTCGCGAAGACGCGTCTCGCAGAAGGATATTCCATCGACTTCCAGGTACTTACGTCGATACACTCCAAACCAACGTCATACCCAAGCTAACTTAACCGCGACTCTAGGATCTGGTTTCACGTTTTACCCTTGATTCTGCCACCGAGTTCCTCTTCGGTTACAACGTCGACTCCCTCTCCGCCGGGATTCCCTACCCGCCTGCACACGCAGAACTCACACCCGCTTCCTTCCACGAGCACTCCTCGACCGTGTTCACGACGGCGTTCACTAAAGCGCAGGTGATCGCCGCCAAGCGCACTGGACAAGGGCCAGACTGGCCGTTGTTTGAGAAATTGCAGGACACGATCCATCCGTTAAGGAAGATAATGGACCGGTATACGGAGCCGGTGATTCGGGAAGGGGTGGAGAAGAAGGTGGCGGAGAAAGGGGAGAAGATGGAGGAAGAGAGCACCCTTTTGGAGCATTTGTTGAAGCACACCCAAGGTTTGTGGCATGGTTGGTCAGGGAACGGAGATGCTGACTTTGGTGTTCGGATTTCAGACCAGCAGATCTTGAAGGACGAGCTCGTCAACCTGCTTGTAGCGGGACGTGATACCGTACGTTTTGATCCAAAGTTCTGGCATGAGGAAGGCTTGAAAGTTCATTGCAGACTATGTGCCTCTTGACCTTCTCCGCGTACATGCTCGCCGAACACCCTAACATCGAACGCCGTTTGCGACAAGAAATCTATGAGAAGATCGGCCCTAACGGCTTGCCCACTTATGACAACATGCGTGAGCTCAAGTTCGTCAGGGCCTTTCTGAACGGTGTGCCCTCCCTTTATGCAACCTGTGTATGTGAAGCTCATTCTGCTCCCATTCGTGCTATGTGAAGAGGTGTTGCGATTATACCCTCCCGTACCCGCCAATGTCAGGACCACGACCAGAGAAGTTGTATTGCCTGCCAAGAGGCCTGGACAGCAGGCATTCTACATTCCTGCCGGTACCTCGTACGTCCTCCCCTGCCCTTCATCGACAGTATATCCTCATGTTTCTGGCCTGCTTAGAACCATCTACACCGTCATCAACACCCACCGCCGCCCAGACCTATGGGGCCCCGACGCACACAAGTTTGACCCTGACCGCTTCCTCGACGAGCGAGTGCACAAGTACCTGACGCCCAATCCGTTCATCTTCTGCCCATTCAACGCTGGGCCGCGTATCTGTCTCGGTCAACAGGTGAGCCGAGTCTCCTTCGCTGAATATTTGCACGTGTATTGACTTTTCAACGTCTAAGTTTGCTTACCACGAGGCGACCTTCTACCTCATCCGACTCCTGCAGCAGTTTACTGCTTTCACACTCGATAGCGCGACGAACAAGCCTCCGCCTGAGGCATGGGCCTCGATGGGACCCCTCGATAGGAAGAGCGTAGAAAAGATCCACCCGTTGTCGCACTTGACGCTCTATGTTTCTGTGAGTGTCTTTCGTTTCATAGTTGGCCCAAGATACTCATGGGTTGGGTGGTATTTAGGGCGGTCTTTGGTTGAGGATGCGGGAGCTACAGGCCGGAGAAGCGTGAGGGCGGCTTGAAAGATTTGAAGTTCTTGTAGGGTTGATCTATGGAGGCACGGGCTTGTACTTTACTGATGTGAATTGATAATTGCTCTTGGTCTGATAGCACGGCATCCTGGACGCGGAAATACGTATGCAAGCAGACATAGAACTGATCACCTAATCGATGAACAAGTTGAAAACAACACAGGCGTCAGGAAATCGCCGCTGGAGCCTCCTTTGGCGCTCGGATGGCCATCTCGCCCTAACCGAGCTCAGACCACAGCCTGCCGAGGTGCGACGTAACTCCACTGCCTTCTGTTCACACCGTTGATTGATTCCTTGTTCTATTCCTTCCTGATCTGGAAATTTAGGACTTAGGTATCTACCTACAAGCCCCGTAGTTGTCTTCTGACCGGGGAACTTCCTCCCAAGTACGAGCATCGATTTCGTACAACCAAGCTGTATTGGTAAAACTGCGCGTCATGGACGAAGCCTCGCCGAGAATCTTCGTCTCGTCGATTTCGTTTTTCCGGGCGGATAAAGGGGAGGATGTTTGCCTTAATTCCTGCCTCAGTCCCTCGAGCTTGTACCATGGAGATCCCACCCGGTTTCCGCTATCTCCTGCGCCACTTACCCTCCTTTCTCGCACCTTCCGTTGGCGCCTACTTTGCCCTCAACGCGCTAAACGACTTCGCGGGCTTCAGCGTTCCCCAGTGGCTCATTATTACCTCTACGGTTCTCGCAAAGCCGGTCCTCTTGATTGTGCAGATCAAGTATGCCGACTTCAGGGATAACCGCCGTGCTGCCGCCCATGGCGCTGTCCGCCCACCTGTCGTGAAAGACTCGCCTATGACTGTCATACAGAAAAGTATCAAGTCCTTTACAACGGGATATCCGGGTGTGTATTCTTCTTTGCTGCCCTTGCGGAATCGTGCTTAATGACATGTAACACTAGCTGAGAATTTCCTGGAGTGGGCCCAACAGTATGGGAATACCTACATGTTCAATCTGTTCACGTCGAGCCCTGTGAGTGCCCCTGATATTAATACAATCAAAGTTCTGAAGACTTTCTCCTTTAGTTTGTCACTCTTGAGCCTGACCACGTCAAGGTGTGCTCTGAGTCTATCATTGCACATTTGGAGTCTCCCATGATGGTTGTGTATAGGCCATTCTAGCGACCCAATTCGACTCCTTTGTGAAAGGTGTGCACGGATTGTCTCAATGGCTCAAACACCCGGAACCACAACGATGACTTTCAACTTGTAGGGCCAAGGTTCCTTTTGCAAGCGAACTCTCTCCTCGGATCAGGCGTTTTTAATGCAGATGGTGAGTCGCTGAGCTGTACAATATTCTCTCACACCAAGCTAAATGGAATGCTATAGGCGAATTGTGGAAGTGAGCTCGAATTTCGATCCCGCATAGTACATCAGTTCCTCTACTAATGACTTTTCCTCCAGATTTCATCGATCCATGACCCGACCATTCTTCACCCGAGAACGGATCAGCGACTTTGAGATCTACGACAGAAATTGTGACATCTCTCTTCGCCAAGCAAGAACTCGGCTTAAAGAAGGGTATCCAGTTGAGTTCCAGGTCAGTTGTGCCTCCTTCGTCAAAACGCAAACAAGGGCTTACACTCTTCCTCCTGGGATAGGATCTCGTCTCTCGCTTTACCCTCGATTCCGCCACTGAGTTCCTGTTCGGCCAAAGCGTCGGCTCCCTTTCTGCTGGTATCTCGTACCCCGCATGTGCAGCACATAAGACCCCCGATTCGTTCTACTCCCATCCTTCCAGAGTATTCGTCGGTGCGTTTGCCGAGAGCCAACATTTGACGTCCATGCGCTTTGGAATGGGAGACGAGTGGCAAATGGCTGAGTTCCTTGGGGATAAGATCAAACCGCTCCGGAAGGTCATCGACGAGTTCACGAAGCCTCTTATGAAAGCTGCGCTCGAAAAGCGAGAGAAGGATTTGCGTGAGAAGGCTGACGAAAAGAACATAGAGGAAGATAACTTGCTCGCGCACCTGGTTAAGCATACCCAAGGTAAGTAGCTCCACGTCAGGTCGAAGGTTATCGCTCATGAATAAATAGACGAGAAAATCCTGAAGGACGAGGTAGGTTGTTGTCCATGTCTTTCTAGCGTTCGGTACTGAAGTAGCAAACAAAATCAGCTTGTCAATCTCCTCGTTGCTGGTCGGGATACTGTGAGCCCACGCCTTTCCCTTCGCTCGAGTTATTTCCTCACCCTTGTCTTTCAGACCATGACACTCTTGACCTTTTCGGTGTACATGCTCAGTCAGCATCCGGACATTGAGCATCGTCTTCGCCAAGAAGTGTTCGAAAAAGTCGGTATCACATCCGCGCCTACCTACGAGAACATGCGCGAAATGAAGTATGTCAGAGCGTTCCTCAATGGTAAGAATTCCACTTCTTCCACAGTGCTCGTCGCTTATGACTGTCACTCAGAGGTTCTCCGGTTATACCCTCCTGTGTGCGTACTCTTTTTTGTCCCGAAGTACGACGTCACTTGACTGACGCTAAATGATAGTCCCGTCGATGCAAGGACTACCAACAAGGAAGTGATTCTACATGCGAAGAAGCCTGGCCAAAGCCCCATTTACATTCCTGAAAACACTAAGTATGTAAATCTCAGAGCATGGAAAGGACGATGTTCACTTCTGACCTCTTCAGCTGTATATATTCCGTCATGTACATGCATCGCAGGACCGACCTTTGGGGCCCCGATGGTGAATATCCTCATGATGAATTTCTCCTCGTCCCAATAGCTGACCATCATTACCTCAGCTCTCACATTCGATCCGGATCGCTTCCTCGACGAACGGCTCAATAAGTACCTGACTCCGAATCCATTTATATTCTGCCCCTTCAACGCAGGACCACGGATATGCCTCGGCCAACAGGTATGGCCAACTATTACCAATTCAACACTTACAGATCCCCTTAATGTGACCTTTCCAATTAGTTCGCGTACCACGAGGCGACTTTCTACCTCGTCCGGCTTCTTCAGAACTTTAAGGACTTTAAACTTGATGAAACGTCCAACATCAAGCCACCTGCGGAATGGAGCACGAGGGACTCGCTCACCCAAGCTGAGAAGATCCACCCTAGTTCGCATCTTACGTTGTACGTTAAGGTGAGGGCTCCTTTCCCCAGGTTGCGACACTATATCTAATTGTAATATTTTCCTTATCTAATGATCAGGGTGGGTTGTGGGTGACGATGAAGGAACTGAATAGCTCGGAGGTCTAAATGGACTTTGTTGCCGTTCCTATAGGAATTTGTCACCCTACTCTCACGAAAACATTCTATTTCTTTCCCTACGAGTGGTCTTCTTCGTCTAGACTCTGATCGACTGCCGTGCTGACTCGTCCTAAAAAGGCTAGTATTCCCATTTACGGGTATCAAGGTGAAGTGCGTGAGAAGAAGTTTGAATGCTGACTGGTGGCATTTGCGGGAATGTGCCCAACAAATCCCAAGTCACACCGAGCGCTGCTTCTGCGGTGATTTGAGCAGTGTCCCGTGCGTTACACGGACAAGACTTGAAGACGGCTGTATACTGCAGGTGTATCTTGTTCGACTTGAGCTTCAGCACTTCTGTCCTTACTATAGAGTAGTACCCGGTGACTCGGACTAGGGCCGGGCATCAGAAACGGTCGGAGACTCTGTTCCCCCTCTGGTATCCATGAGTTGAGGAGATACTAAAGCCACCTTTCGGTATGCCGAACCGGCGGACACCACCGACATGAAAGAAGGTACTGAGCTGACATAGACCACGTATTCCATTTTTTTCGCGTACTGGCTCCCATTCAGTTACTGTGGCTATTTGGTTATAGCCTTTACGCCTCTGAAGAAACCAATTTGAACGCGTCGGTAATTTTCATTAGCGTTACGTCGAACCTCGGCACCTGGCTGTTTGAACAGGCTCGGATAGTTCTCCGACCTCGTTCCGCAACATGCTTGCTTGCGGAGACCTGTGCGGGACATCCCGAATCTCCGTGACGTTTACGGGCGGCCCGCTCGGCTATCATAGACTTCAAGATGACTATCATCTTGGCATTTGTCAGACGAGGCCTGAGATTGGTTTTCGCCTCTTCTAGTAACTTGTGAGCGCTGTAAATCCTGCAACGAGTTCAACGGCTGCGTCGGACAGGCTGCGGGCGTCATTCCGGACTGTGAAACAACACGTAACGGGTAACCGCCCAACCGTCTCACCCGCTACTGTCGGCGTACATATTTAATATTTAACACCGAGGGCAGAATCTATTCTTTCCCCCAAGTTTCATTTCGACAACACACCATGCAGCTCTCACCAGGCGTTCGATATTTGCTACGTCACACGCATCCCCTCATTGCCCCGTCCGTGGTTGTCTATCTTACTATCAAGGCTCTCGACAGTTTCGGCATCACCGAATGTCCAACATGGGCTTTGGTCATCGCAACAGTCCTCGCGAAACCCCTTCTCCTAGTTTTCCAGGCGAAGCACGCTAATCGCAAGAACGAGCGGCTTGCAGTCGCCCAGGGTGCGGTACTTCCCCCACTAGTGAAGGACTCGCCCTGGACTATCATTGCAAAAGCCCAAAAGTCGATAGAAAGCGGCTACCCTGGTGCGTACCTCATTCGGACTTAGTTCCGCGTTCGAGAGCCAAAAACGAATCCTTATTCGATTCTTAAAGCTGATAACTTGTTCGAGTGGACCCAAGAGTATGGAAATAGTTACCGTTTCAATCTCTTCACGGCGAAATTTGTAAGCGCTCTCTACGTTCTTATCCTTTGTTGAGACACGACTCCTGAGCAAATTCTCGCTAGTTCGTAACTTTGGAACCGGATCATGTTAAGGTACTTTCGCGAGCTATTCGATTCCTGAAGCAAGGAATATCCATACCGCTCATCTGTAGGCGATTCTTGCGACACAGTTTGACTCGTTTGTGAAAGGTGCATATCGAACTGCTGTACATCCCATGTATCGCCTACCCTGATCTGACCGTCAACTTTTTGTCTTAAGGGCCAATGTTTCTTTCGCAAATGGACACTCTTCTGGGGTCTGGGGTCTTCAATGCGGACGGTAAGTCCAGAATAATCCATCAGGAGGAGCAAACTGAAGAGTCGTTGTAGGTGAGATGTGGAAGTAAGCCTCAGATGTATCTTCAGCACTTTTCCTTCCTTACAAGATTGCAGGTTCCATCGGGCCATGACCAGACCATTCTTCACCCGTGAACGTATCAGTGACTTCGAGATATACGAGCGCAACTGCGACACCTCGCTTAGTCAGGCAAGAGTTCGGCTGACCGAAGGATACCCCGTTGAATTCCAAGTAGGTCTTCTCCACGAGACGACAGCATCTACATTAACATGGAGCACTAGGATCTCGTCTCCCGCTTCACGCTGGACTCAGCAACCGAGTTCTTGTTCGGCGAGAGCGTGGGCTCCCTCTGTGCGGGAATTGCCTACCCACCGTCTGCAGCACACAAGACACCCGCTTCTTTCTACAATCACCCGTCGAGGGTATTCGCAGAGGCGTTCACCGTAGGACAAGAGACGGTCGCCAAGCGGTTTGCTTTTGGCAACGAGTGGCAGCTAGCAGAGTTCTTTGGAGATAAGATTCGGCCTTTCCGGAATGTCATGGACAATTTTACCAGACCGTTGATGAAAGCTGCGCTAGAGAAGAGGGAGCGGGAGTTACGCGAGAAGGGTGAGATCGATGAGAAGAAGGACGAAGAGAGCAATTTGCTGGCTCACTTGGTTAAACATACACAAGGTGAGAAACCAGCCGTCGAACTTGTTGTCCACGCTCTTTGCTCACAAAACATAGACGAGAAAATTCTTCAGGACGAGGTAAGAAATGCATCATGCTTCTCAGTTTCAACTCAACGACGGCTTTTAGCTTGTCAATTTGCTCGTTGCTGGAAGAGACACGGTAAGCGTCCATCCCTTAGTCGTTCTTCCCCAGATTTAACTGAATTCTTTCCAGACAATGTCGCTTCTCACATTCTCCATGTACATGCTCACCCAACACCCGGATATTGAACGTCGTCTCCGTGAAGAAATATTTGAGAAGGTTGGGCCGAGGGGCGTGCCAACTTATCAAAGCATGCGCGACATGAAGTACGTTCGGGCGTTCCTAAATGGTAAATTCGTTCCCATCTTGGCTCTATCCGCCTCTGACCTTTTGCCGTAGAGGTCCTCCGGCTGTATCCCCCCGTGTACGCCACCCGCTCTGAGATGTGATTGGACTCCGAGCGCTCATCACACCCCTACTCGTAACAGCCCGGTAGACTCGAGGACCACTGTCAACAACGTTGTGCTTCCTTCAAAGAAGTATGGTCAAGACCCTCTTTTTGTTTCCAAAGGCACAACGTGAGTGTTAAAGTATGCTAGAGTGGCTGCCAGGCCAATCCATACCCAAGCTCCATCTATTCCGTCCTTTACATGCATCGTCGTACTGACCTTTGGGGACCTGATGGTGAGCATTGATGAGCATCCGAATTTTATCTACACCTGTTCATACCTCTCCCCAGCGTTGACATTCGACCCTGATCGTTTCCTCGATGAGCGTTTGCATAAATACCTAACTCCGAACCCCTTCATCTTCTGCCCTTTCAATGCTGGGCCTAGGATATGTCTTGGCCAACAGGTATGCATAAGCTATAGCCATAAACCTTGTACACTCACCAGAACTGCCATACGCGCAATAGTTCGCATACCATGAAGCCACCTTCTACCTCGTCCGCCTTCTCCAGAATTTCACGAACTTCACGCTAGACGAAGCGGCGAATATTAAGCCGCCAGAGCACTGGAAGCTGGGTGATTCGCTTGTTCGAGAGGAGAAGATACATCCTATGGCTCATCTGACGATGTATGTCAAGGTGAGTATCCGTACCGCTCTGGTGATCGTGATGAGTGAATGATTATTTCTAACCGCCTTCACTTTACTTTCCTAGGGCGGGCTCTGGGTGCATATGAAAGAGTTGAATAGCTCAGAAGCCTAACGATATATATGATACCCTATACTATACATTCTACATCTTCTGTATCTAAATAAATAAGGTTGCATTTCGTGGCTCATAAGTACGCGTAAGAGAAGACAGGGGCAACGTTTTAGGCGCCCCTGCACTGATGCCGGACCGGCAGCTGAAGAAACCGTTACCGGACCAGCTGGTCCGTGCCACAAAACTCAACAATGAGCATCTACTGCAAGATGGCAATATTTAACAGTCGCAGCTCGGTCCACGCTTCTAAGCCACGTTGCCATCGCAGTCGGAGGATAGCAGCTATGTTGTCTTCCTGAAAAGAACCAGATTCCATCGATTCGTGCCACATCCTTCAGCACCGTTAGATTCTGAATCGACAGGCATGCTCGCAGTTTTTGAGAAACTGGGATACAGTCATACAGAGGAGACGTCTACTTATTCTCCCTCTTAAACCAAGCTAGTCCTTCGAAGTTCGAGACCATCCTTCGTTAGAGGTCTCTAACAAGGGATCCTTACCAATCAATTCTCCTCCTTCCGGCAGTCTAAATATCGTCAAGAATATGCTGCGCTTCAGGGCCACAAACTGTCGCTGCGCAAACGTGCCTATCGCAGGTTCGTACTTTCTTGGATTACTGGGGTCTTCTGTCTGACGACTTCGAACAATCGCACATAGACAAGTTGTCATTGGGTACATGCGCAGAAATTAGAATATAAGGGCCTGCAACAGGCCCGCAACTCCTTCGACATCCATTACTGTTCCAATAACAATCGTGATATGGAACTCCCACCCGGCTTTCGCTACCTCCTACGCTTCATACCCTCTTTCACAGGCCCCTCTGTCGCCGTCTACCTCACGCTGAAGGCGCTAAAGAGCTTCGGAAGCGTGAACTATCCCCGATGGGTCCTTCTTACTGCTACGATCCTCGCACAACCCGTGCTCTTGCTCCTCCAGGCGCACTATAGCAGTTTTACCCACAAGCGACGTGCAGCTGCTCATGGAGCCGTCCGTCCGCCTGCCGTGAAGGACACGGCCCTGGATATCGTTATGATCAGCGCGAAGGCGCACAAAGTTGGATATCCGGGTGTGTAGTGTCCCTTGTTCTAAGGATCTGCTCTCTGCCCATGCTGATGGGGATGGGATGCTAAAGCTGAAATGTTGCATGACTGGTCTGTGAAGTATGGAAACAGCTTTCGGTTCAATATGTTTACGTCGAACTTCGTGAGTGATCCAGGGTTATTGTCTTCCTGGGTCTGGTCTTGATCTAACCGCTGAATTGTAGTTCGCAACCTTGGAACCTGAGCATGTAAAGGTGCGGCTACGAGCGACGCGTGCAGGCATAGCCACAAAAAGCTTACATCATGAACACAGGCAATCCTCGCGACTCAATTTGATTCATTCGAGAAAGGTGAGTACATACTATGTCGTTTGTTCAGTTCCAACTACAGCTGCGTCGATCGACAGGCTCCATGTTTCGTTCGCAAGCAGACTCCCTCCTCGGTTCTGGCGTTTTCAATACCGACGGTAAGTTCTTTACAAACACCCTTTCCTACCTAATTGATTTTTGTTTGGAGTCTAGGCGACATGTGGAAGTGAGCTTCGACGTTTCGCCATGTCCCCAGCCATCCCTTTGTTAATCTCTTGGAAGATTCCACCGGTCCATGACCCGACCATTTTTCACTAGAGAACGGATCAGTGATTTCGAAATTTACGAGCGCAACTGCCATCTCTCTTTGAATCAGGCCAGAGACCGTTTAAGTGAAGGGCACCCTATCGAATTCCAGGTCAGTGTTTGGTAGCCTATATGCAACAAAATTCAGCATCGACCGTAGAATATTTACAGGATCTAGTCTCTCGTTTCACTCTTGATTCAGCCTCCGAGTTTCTATTCGGCCAGAGCGTCGGATCTCTCTCCGCTGGCATCTCCTACCCTCCCACAGCAGAGCGCGAGAATCCCGTTTCATTCTATAACCATCCCTCCAGGATCTTCGCTCAAGCATTCACCGATGCCCAGCTGCGCCTCGCTATTCGTCTGGGAGTTGGAAACGAGTGGCTCTTGACTGAGTTCTTCGGCGACAAGATCCACCCATTGCGAAAGGTCATGGATGACTTCACGGAACCGCTCATGAAGGCTGCCCTTAAGAAGAGAGAACGAGACCTGCAGGAAAAGGTGGACGAGAAGACCGAGGAACCAAATTTGCTGGCTCATCTTGTCAAGCATACTCAAAGTCAGTATGTTATATCATATTGGATTGTCTTTTCTGACGGCAACAACAGACGAGAAGATTTTAAAAGACGAGGTCGGCTAGTTCTTCCCAGACTCTAGATCCTCCGATTGATTGTATTATCAGCTTGTCAATCTCCTTGTTGCGGGGCGCGACACAGTAAGTCGTCATTCCTCTGGTTATCTTCAGTGCCAAACGCTCACTTGTTATATCCCAGACCATGACGCTCCTGACTTCCTCCATGTACATGTTAACCCAACACCCGGATATCGAGCATCGCCTTCGTCAAGAAGTATTCGAGAAAGTTGGACTGACGGCAGCACCGACTTACGAGAGCATGCGAGAGATGAAATATATTAGGGCATTCCATCCCTATGTATCTTCGTTACTTACCCCTTTTGCGCAGAGGTCCTCCGATTATACCCTCCTGTGTACGACACTGCCGTCCTTTTCTCTCTCTTATTCCTATTGAACTGACTTTTGATGACAGGCCGGCTGACTCGAGGGTGACCAATAAGGCGGTCGTTCTATCTGCTAAGCAACCGGGTCAAAGTCCACTTTATATCCCTGCAGACACTTCGTAAGTGCCATGGTCGTTTCATCTGGCAGATTTTGATATCTGAGCTTTCCTCCAGCTGCATTTACTCTGTCCTTTACATGCATCGTAGGACTGACCTCTGGGGTCCAGATGGTGAACCCTGATGGAATCCTTCTAGCACGTTCGTTGACAGACTTTTGTTTTAGCTCTGAGGTTTGACCCCGATCGTTTCCTTGATGAGCGCCTACACAAGTACCTTACGCCAAACCCCTTCATCTTTTGTCCTTTCAACGCTGGTCCGAGGATATGTCTCGGTCAACAGGTAACGGATTTTTCTGGTCGCCCCACTTCTACATCCTAATCAATCACCTTTCAACAGTTTGCGTATCACGAAGCTACTTTCTACCTTGTACGCCTTCTTCAGAACTTCAAGGATTTCAAGCTCGATGAGACAGCCAATGTCAAACCGCCCACGGAATGGAGGGATAGGGACGATCGGACAAGCGGGGAAAGGATTCATCTCACGGCACATCTGACATTGTATGTGAAGGTGTGTCTGCAGCCTTTCTGAGCCACTCTTGTTCTTATTTGTTTCCGTAAGGGCGGGCTTTGGGTTCACATGAAAGAATTGAACAGCTCAGAAGTTTAATGATGCCGCCATGATCCTCTCCTCTTCGCTCGGCTTTCCCATTGCAGCTTCAAACGTCGCGATGCGTAAATGTAATATCTTGCACACAAGTCAATACAGTCAAGTTTCCGGTGTCTACGTTTTCGTGCATCTCCTTTGACTGTTTTGGCAGGGATGGTGTTGCCACATCATCCTGTTCTGGTAAGTGCCGCACGACAATAGCTCGACGGACATTGGAACGCTACGAACACGTTGATGAGCCGGCTTCTACTGAAAAGGTTACTTGAAACGCCACAAGATAAGTAAGTCTGCTTCTCTCCTGATGAGGAAAGCTCCTGTATTTCGGAAGGTCAGCGTCCTTAATCGTCAAGGCACACTTAGCTAAGAATTCGTTTATAAAGAGTTCTTCTTCCTGAATCATGCCAGCCTCATTTGGTTTTCGAGTTATGGTACTCCCACCTGGCCCTGCGCGTATTTTGACCCTACTCCCCTCTTTTGCCTTTCCATCAGCCATCCTGTTTTTAATTCTGCACACCTCCAAGACCTATCTTCATTTAGAATTCCCCTCATGGCTCCTTATCTCTTTTTCGCTCCTTGGGAGGCCGATTCTATTCTTTGTGGAAGGATGGATAGCGAAACTGAACCATGAACGAGCTGCCGCCGCACAAGGGGCAGTCCTTCCTCCTATGGTCCAAGAGTCGCCACTTTCCGTCATCCCGAAATTTGCCGCGAGTCAGAGGGCTGGCTATCCAGGTGCGATTTTCACGACTTATGGTGTTCCTTGCAATGATTTACTCCATCCGATAAAGGGGATATTTTACGGGATTGGGCCAAAGAATACGGACCTGCCTACCGACTTGATTTATTCACAACTACTCCGGTAGGTCGTACTCGCCGTGCTATACGCTTTTTTGATAAACTGTGTCCTTTTTTTCGAGTTAATTACGATGGAACCTGAACATATCAAGGTATTCAACTCCCTTCTGCACCTCGTCTCTTGCCTGACATATCCCGCAGGCCATTCTAACAAGTCAGTTTGACATCTTCGAGAAAGGTGTGTCAAAGGGCTATCGACATACGTGTAAAGGTCTGATCGTTTTTTCCGATAGGCGCTCTCCTGGCCTCGCAGTTGCGCTCTTTGATTGGGGAGGGTGTCTTTAACTCGGATGGTAAGTTTGGCATGGTCATAATATGCGAGTCGCATACTAATGCTCATGTTTTGAAAGGCGAACTGTGGAAGTATGTAACTGAAAGCACTGCCAATTCATGCTCGTTTGCTTACCTTGCGTCGAAAGATTCCATCGGTCAATGACACGGCCTTTCTTCACCCGTGAAAGGATTACGAATTTCGAGATATTCGACCGCGTTTGCCACTCCGCGCTATCGCAAGCAAAGGAGAGGATGGTCGAAGGTTTTCCAATTGACTTTCAGGTGGCAGGTTCTATGTTTCCCCCGAAGTTCCCGTCGTTCTAACTTCGGTTCCCATGCGCTTTCGTAGGACCTGGTCTCCCGCTTCGCACTCGACGTTTCGACGGTGTACCTGATGGGGCACGACGTGGAATCTACGTTGGTTGGGCTTCCGTACCCCCCATCAGAGGCACATAGAAACCCGCCGGCTCATTACACTCATCCGTCCACAACGTTGACAGATGCTCTGGCAGAAGCGCAAGAAATTACGAACTCCCGCATTGCTTACGGAGCTGAGTGGCCTTTGGCGGAGTTCTGGGGAGATGCCGTGAAGCCATACAAGAAAATCATTGACGATGTCGTTGAGCCGTTCGTGAAGAGGGCGTTGGAGAAGAGGCAAAAGGAACTGGAAGGCAAGGAGAATGATGGTTCTGGCGATATGACTTTTTTGGAGCATCTGGTTACGCACGTACAAGGTCAGTTATATGGCCTTTGAACTGGTTTTACGCCACTTACGCTTGGATGACTGTCAGACCCGGTGCTACTCAAGGACGAGCTCATCAATATGCTCATTGCTGGTCGAGACACAGTAAGATACAAGCCCTTCTGCTATTATAACCCAGCTGTTAATCCTTGACATGACATCCTCAGGCAATGTCCTTCCTGACATTTGCCATATATATGCTAACGCAGCATCCTGAAGTCGAACGTCGCCTCCACCAAGAGATTTCTCAGGTTGTCGGAATATTGAACGCCAGACCTACCGACGAGATGATTCGTGACTTGCAGTATATGAGGGCGTTTTTGAATGGTATGAATGTCAAGTCCTCCCTGTAACTCTGCTCAAACGTTTTTCGACTGGCCAATTCATAGAGGTTCTGAGGCTGTATCCATCCGTGTAAGTGTCGAGTTGTGCTCTAGATATGCTCCCCATCCCGAGTGACTTGCGTTTGTAGTCCAATGAACTTTCGGTCAGTCGTCAAGTATTCTCAGCCGCCCTGTCCACACCTAAAATATACTCCATAGAATGGCGAAAACAGATACAATATTTCCGGCCTGCAGAGAGGGAGAGCAGCCCATTTTCGTGCCGAAGGACACAACGTAGGCATTTTTTTCAATTTAGCAAGGCATCTCCTCGTTGATTTTTCATAACAAAGTTGCATCTACCATATCATCAACATGCACCGCCGAACCGACTTATGGGGCCCTGACGCGCTAACCTTCGATCCCGACCGATTCCTTGACGAGAGGTATCAGAAATATCTGGCTCCAAATCCGTACATATTTTGCCCGTTCAACGCTGGACCCAGGATCTGCATCGGGCAGCAGGTAAGCCCTGGCCTACCACCTACCCACTCAGAAAAAATGGAGTCAACTGACGGGTGGCTAGCTCGCGTACAACGAGGCGTCCGTCTTCCTCGTCCGGCTCCTGCAGCGCTTCACTGGCTTCACGCTCGACGAGAAGGTCACTACGAAACCGCCGACAGAGTGGGCTTCGTGCGAGGGTCTGAAAGGGACCGATAAGATCAGGTTCACGTCGCATTTGACTATGTTCGTCCCAGTGAGTGAATTATATTGCTTGGCCGACGAATTTTGAGCTTATGAGAGCACAACAAAGGGAGGCCTCTGGATTCGCATGACGGAACTGGAGGACAATGAGCACGAAGCTTAAGACGACTCGGAGGTGCACTGCTCGATGCTAGAATGAGTGGTTTACGTTTTTATTCCTGTTGTATGTTGAAAATGCAAGTCCGAGTTGTTTAACATGAAATATGATGACACGAGACGACAATTCTTTCTGAAGGAACGTAAAAATGCCAGAGCCTTAGACACAATATCTGCAAAGATATAAGCAATATTGAAGGATCATTGCTGAAGCCCAAACTCACCTCCTCTCGCCGAAGTCACCCAACCCTGGAATTATATACGCCTTATCGTTCAGCCCTTGGTCGATCCAACCAGTAACCTAGAGGTCATCAGTGAAGCATAAAGGCACCTTTGCGAGTGACGCACTACTTTCAGAGATGGGAAACGTGAGCAGAATGTTTTGAGTCCTTCCGGTGCTGCAATCTAAAGACTAGCTCAGCGACGAGAGATGCTCTGAATGGATGAATGGACGTACAAGGTTGATGAAGATGATCCGTTCTTGGGGCACACCATGTTCCATGAGGACTTCAACTGCCTTTATGGCTGATCCTCCGGTCGCTGTAAGAGGCCTTTTGAGTATTCGGTAGGATAAGACGCGTCGAGGAGTGAAGTACCGAGCATGGGATCAAGGAGGAGGACATAGCGCTGCGCGATGTCAGGAGGGAACTAGATTACGCTGCACTTAGTCAAAGGCCCGTGAAACGACGATTGAGAAGGATACCTTCGAGTAGAATAGCTTGGGCAGCGTCGTCTCCTCGTCCTGTACATTATTATGAGCGTCCAGTTTCGATGTTCCCTGGTGCAAAGAACGCACTCGCTGGATCAGAATCTTGCCAATCCTCACACTTCTGCACACTTCGCGAAGACCTGCCTCCATCGCCTGCGGAACAGCATTTAGAACGTTCAAGGGTGGAGGACAAGCTTCGATAGCTACCTCTCCGGCGCGAAGGATAGATACACCACAGATCTTCCCTTCAAATGCGAGCCCATTGTAGATAGCGCCCTATACACGAAAATGTTTCTGTCAGTTTCTTTCCCATCCGCCACTCCCAGTTTCTCACTCGCACATTCCAACCACTTTTCTACGTGAAATTTGAAGATTTCAACTCACAGTTGGTGTCTCAACCGTCCGCGCGACCACAGGCAGGTGATTCAGTCCTTCTTCCACCAGCAATCTGATAATGCGATCTGAATAAAAGAGGAAATCGCCGCGCGAGGTCTCCTTGTCCCTAATAATCGTGTACAGTGCCTCGAGCTGGGCTGTCTGCGGGAGGGTGAAAACCGAGGGCGGCAGTGGGTTCATGTGGGCAAGATTGCAGTTTGGTGCCTGCGCCGGCTGGGCCGGTAGTGGCGGGACTGTGGCTGAATTAGGGACCGACGTCGATGCCATTCACTTACATAAATAACGGATTTCGAGGTCGAAGGTGGTGGTAGGCGACAAGGAAGTGAGACAAGCAGGTGGCTATATATGAACGGCTCTACGCCACGACCGTCAGCGTCGTGTGCAGCGATAGGGCCCTTGATCACCGTCCACCACATGGCTTCTTGCCAAAATTTGGTCAGATTGACCCGACGCGTGTATGGAGCTGCCTATCATCTTTCCCTCAACCATGATGTCTTGGCGCTGAAAGACGTACAGAGATAGGCTGAATGAAGGCCCACGGAAGCCCATGTCACGCCAAAATTCAAACTTGAAGGGTCAAAAGAAGATCACAAGAACACAGGGCACGTAAAGGAGACTTCCAGGAAGGTTTTCGACAGTGATTTTATGGGGAGGACTGGCAGCAACACGACTGTCTTTCCTACCAATTGACAATCCCGTTTATCGAGTTCGACAACGCGAGATCTGGAACGGATGGACGGACTAGGAATGCCGTGGGCTCATTTGCTGCTTGATCGATACCGTTCACTATTTCTATGCCGACTGCTTCCCCCGAATTCGACAGGACTAGCTTGCGTATCCGCACCCTCACAGCTACTTTGCGTAAGATGCAGCAAGCTGAACGCCCGCAGAGCACCCGCAGCGAAGTTCCCTCCTTTCTGCATCATATGGCAACTCTTCTTACTTGCGGGGGGAGCGCAGACCCCAAGCGAAACAGGTCGTCGCTGTTACAGGAGCCATCGAAGAAACTGGGGTTAAAACCCTGGTCGTGGTGCACAATGCATCATCTGGACGGGGACCACAACCGTTCTCCTTGCAAGGACGCAACATCACAAAGAACGACGAATTATTCGATGCGATTATCTCAGGGTGGGTTTTTCTTCGACGCACCGAGGCTGTTCTGATTTCTTTTGTAACGTTAGTCCTGGTAGCGCTCGGCTCGAGGAACATATCTCTGACCTCCTGGGTCTTTTGTCATGTTGCGATCCGACGGGTGTGGTGAAAATTGAAGACTTTTCGGCATTCGTCACTATGCGAAGTATCCAGAAGCTCTACTCGCGCTTGGTATCCGATAAGGAGAATTGGCATCTACGAGTGCATGAAACGCTCAAAGTATGGGTGCCCGACGAAGGCGATTCCTCACTCAAAACGCTTTGGGTGAAAAAACCTCGCTGGGCTGGCCACTTTCCTGATGATTCTGCAGCAAGGATAAAGAGGGGTGCGGGCCAGTCTGAGGAATGGGAATTCTCTCCGACGACTGCTCCAAGATGGGTTCGGTTTTTGGCAGCACTGCTTTTGGGTCTCGAGAGCTGAATCCAGGAGTACAGAGGCTCCCCCGGCGCCGATAAGCTAAATCCATTGCAGCCTCAGACAAATCGATCGAAGCAGGATGTTCAAAACACCTTGCGCGAAATCAACTCCATATCCTATTCTCTTTATACCTTTGTGAACCAAAGCACCGAAATATTGAAGATGCTTTTGGCCCAAAAATCTCTCGAGAAGGTGTTTTCCGCTCAAAGTAAGTGATCCATATGTGGACACTTAACCTTAGACCTGACCTGCAAAGAAAGAGAAAACTGGTGGAGTTGATTCCGCCATCCAGGAATCCTCGAAGGCACCTAATGTGACGGACGAACACAATGGTGAGCTGATACGTCTGATCTTGGTTCGACATTTATCAAATAGTTCTGGCGACTACTTCAAACAGAGATACCCGGCGGAGTTAATTCCTCCACTGAAGAATCCTCGAACCGGACGTGACGGACGAATGTGATGGTAAGCTGATATGTCTGATCTAGGTTTAATATTTACATAATTACCCTGGCAAATACTTCAATCAAAGATGAAGACTCGGAGCTAGCACTTGAAACTGAGGAGACTGAAGGCGACTGTGTTTATCGATATCTTCAGGCAATTGTTGCATGGCAAGCAGCACTCGAAGTTCTACTTCAGCCAAGGTACCGAAACGCCTTGTCAAATATTTCTGTTGGCATGGTCGAGGTTGTTGGGAGCGAATTCGGGCTGATGCAAGCGGATGAGTTTGTCAAGGAATATTTCGCGAGACCTTCAGTTCCAACCAAGGCCGAAGTTCGAGAGATACTCAAACCAGACATCCCCACGAAGTTCAACGGCACCGTTCACATAGAGGCGACTCTTATGGGTCTTCTGACCTATTTCTCTCATCAAGGCAATGCTAGTGACTATGCTAGGGATATTTTCAACATTGATATTCTGAAGGAGTCCATCGAACCTGTGCGTCTAGAAACATGTCGTCAAAGGCTATAGGCCACGTAAGGAAACTTGAAGATTGACCACCACTGGGCGCAAGTCTGGATACAATCCCCAGCCCATCAAGATCTCGTCGAGCTCTTTGCACCTGATTCGGAGTAGGCTCGCCCATGAAGCAGCATTAGGAGGCTTCAGCCTCTGGAACCTGGGTATGGATGAATAGTTCGATGGAGTGCACGCGGATGAGGAGGGAAGAGGTCGGAGACGGATCAGCCTTTCTCAGAGGCCAAAGAAAAATGTAACGTGGCCGACAAAACTATCCACCGCGCGTGCACCAGGTGGAGTGGCTCTGCCAAACGTTAGATTGGCCCACTGCAGGTTCGGAGACTTGGAAGGCTCACCAAGGCTGCACCCCTTCGTGCTCGGCGAACGTAAGCAAGTCATACTTCAGGATCTGGGATGTAAGGAACTGATAGCACTTGCGTTGAAGGTCAGCTAGGAGCTCTTCGCGCGGGCGATAGAGCATGGAGAGCATGGCGCCATGCTCTCCAGCTGGAACTGCTGGAGGACGTCCAAAAGCTGGTGCAGGGACGCCAACTTTTTATCCTGGGCCCTAACACGCTGCTTTAGGTTGATACCCTCGGCGGTCAACTCCCTCTGGATGTTGTCCTGCCCCTCCGCGTCCTTCTTGGCTTGTTGGAACTGGTACTCCAGCTGCTGGAGCCGTTTCTGCTGGGCTTGGAGTCCCTGCTCCTGCTCCTGCTCCTGCTCCTGCAGGCGTATCTGCAGAGCCTGATTCTTCTGCCGCTCGAGTTCGAGCTGGCGGGTAAGGGTATCAGAAGAGTGGTAACGGCAGTAGTTCACCGTGCTCACCTCGGCCGCAGGTGACAGCTGCTGTGTCAAACAGGGAGGGCGCTTCGGAGCGGTGCTGAGGCCGAATGGTGGCGTAGTAAATCCATCGGATAGCATCCTCTGAAGCTTGGGAGCGAGCTTCGTGGTTCGGCTGTCGCCAGGTGGCCACGTAGTGAATACATCGGCTACCATCAACATCCTCTGCCGCTTGGGA